TCAAAGTGCGACGGTCAGATTCACTCAAAATTCTGTGGACATGTCAGGCAGAGGTCACGTTTCTAATTCCTAAAAGTCTTAGTAAACGCTTTGCATTCGCAGCCGAGATATTGCACGATCTTTCCGGCCAAGAGAGTACGCAAAAGCGGAGAGCGGTCAGAGAGAAAGCACTTTTTGGCCATACCTTTGCCGGCTTACAGTATACTCTACTGCAGCAAATAGGTCTAAAACTTCGCATGCATAAACTCACATGAAACTGTCATAACTTGACAAAATCTCGTTCTAGAAATCCCATCATTTCTGCAAGGCGTGAGCTAGAGATTTCGAATCTTTATTAGAAAAAATAGCTCTAAATTTACTCCAAATTTTGTTGAAATCTGAGTGCGCAAGTTGAGAATTTTCTTGAAAAATAGCGCTACATTCTCCAGCTTCTCCATAATGCATGATTATACTAGTCAAACAGTCTGTCGGGAAAACAAGCACTCTGTAGGATCGAAAATCGCATCGCCGCGGAGAAAATGAATTGTGTCGCGGAGAAAATCATATTGCTTTTTGCTTCAGCGACGCGCTTGGCGCAACGACTACAATTAAACCTCTGTACAACGAATTGCACGGGACTGAAAATGAAAATAAAAATATTATTCGCTATGGAAAGGTCTCGTTTTGTGGAGGCTCGGGATGGCCTAGAATTGACTCCTGAGACCTTTGAAAGTCTTTTTTATAGACAGGTTCTGCTGTACAAAGGTTCATTGCACAGCAGTCACTGTGCCTCTAAGGACCTCCAGAATCCTTTGATTTGTCACAATACAGTAAAGCCTGTCTATTACAAACAATTTTAAAGGTGCCAAGAGTCCATTTCCCGGTAAAAATTAGACTTCGTACACGACAACCCTCCTATAGCAAAAATATTTTTGCATTTCGCAAAAACAGTAACACCCGCCCGACCTTTCGTCAGCCCTATTTGCATTGTGAAAGACGACCTTTTTCCGCGAGCCCCCCGAGTTCTTTTGGGTCTTCGTGTGTTACACCGAAAATGGCCCATCTTTCTTTTTCGCCCATCGCAAAGGCTGTTTTTGTGAACTTTTCGCCCTCATATGCCGATCGGAGCGGGGACCCTCAATTGTGGCTCCATTTCCACATCGGTTGTGAAGGTCGGCGGTGCGGCCGCGCTTTCATGTTGACAAGAGAGGGGAGAGGGAACGGAATCGGGGTAAATATGTTTAACGAGGGGAATGAGTCAAGAGGAGAGTTGTGAAATGAGTTGAGAGTGGTATGGAGAGTTGATCACGATAAAAATTAATATACAAGTGAAGTCAAGACACAAATCAGTCTGTCGGGAAGATAATGAGTGCTCTGTCGCATCTAAAATCTCAAAAATCGCATCGCTACTGAGAAAATGAATTGTGTCGCGGCAAAATTAATTGCTTTTCTTTCGTATCAGACTGCCGGGGAAATAATGGCAAGTTGTCACAGCAAAATGTTTTGCCTCGTCAAAAACAGTATGCAGTTGCGCACCAAATTTACAACTGCGGCAAATCGATGATAGGCTATTCCAAGGTGCGATAGCTACTGCGCAAAAACTCCTGAGAATTCATCGCCCCGAGTTTTGTGGCACTTTGAAAAAAATTCTTTGTCGCAAAAATGAGAATCGCGCACGACAAGACAAAAAGCTTCAAAATGCACTGTGCGCCAGCAACAAGCGTGGGAAAAAGTCAAAATTTGCCAAAGAAAAAAGGTGTCTACGCACTTTATGAAAAGACTAATAGTAGCACTTACAATTATTAGGGCAAAAAAGTCCTGGTACTTCGCACAGTGCGGTTTTGGCGCGTCGCTGCACAAATGGTGAAAAAAGTGGTTTGCACAGTGCCTATTTTGCAGAAAGATGGTTCGGTGTGACAATATTTTTGCGCGCGACAAATTATCGGTCTGTCGGGAAGATAATGAGGGAAAATAATGAACACCGTACGCGTCGCTGAAGTGAAAAGCGATTTGATTTTCTCCGCGACACAATTCATTTTCTTGGCGCTGGTGCGATTTTCGATGCGACAGAGTGCCCATTATTTTCCCGACAGACTGATATAACTAGACAGCTGCAGATTGACTCAAAAAAAAGTCAAAAAAAGACATCAACTCCATTGCATATTTTATTAGTTACCAAAAAAAAGAGAAAATTAAAAAAAAACGACTGCGTCGCTTCGATTCAAGACGCTTCTAATAATAAAACAGGAATATCAGGATCCGCAAAAATATGTGAAAGGGCCGGCGGGAGGGAACAGCTGTGAGTGTCCGCCTTACAATTGGATCGCAAACGCGAATGGTTCGGGAATGGGGCGAGCGGGTTATGACGACAATAATGCGGGTAATGAAAGGACGAGCCAATAATTGAATATAATAATTATTACGCAAGAAAGGAGGGGAGTGTTTGCATTCCGCAAGGGTCAGAGCGTTGGGTGGTTTGGCCAAAGGCGAATTTATTTATACATATGATATAATAGTATTTGTAATACGGTATGGGAAAGGGGGGAAGAACGAGATGATACACAAAAGGGGATGAGCTCCAAGTTAGATTTTTTGGATGCCTCGCCTGGGACGAACGAAAAAAAATGGCAACGGGTACCAAGGTAATTTTGAATTTTTTACACAGTGTGGTCGAAGTTGGAGCCACTATTAACCATTACACAGAATAATAACTGTCTTAAAAATAACGCCCGAGGCAAGGCGCAGAATGCAGGTAGCATGAAGGCATAGTTTTGGGGAGAAATATCAGTCTGTCGGGAAAATAATGAGCACTCAATAAAGGGAAATTCAGCCTTTTTTCTGCGAGCGCTACGAGCTCAAGAAGGCAATATCAGACTGCCGGGAAAATAATGAGCACTCTGTCGCACCGAAAATTTCATCGGCGAGAAAATGAATTGTGTCGCAGCAAAATTAAAATGCTTTTCACTTCAGCGACCCGATCGGCGCAGGGACATTCCGCTCATTATTTTCCCGACAGACTGATCAACTGCACAAAATGGCAAGTACTGCAAGTGCGACGCTTGGTGAAATTTGCCACACAACTTCTCCATGGGCCGCATATCAATGCCTGAAAGTTTTAGCTCGCGATTTGCTGGCGCCGTCGAGATATTCAACGATAGCCGAAATGCTGTTATATCACGCGAAAAAAATGGTCAAAGAAAAACACGTTTGGGCCACAAATTTTGGCACAGAAAAAAATTTTTTGGAAAAATTGAAAATGCTGGGAAATGGATCCGCGGAGACTTGGATGCGACGTACAACCACTTTTTCTGCTTTCAGCTTTTGCAAACCTGAGTTTTCTTTAGAAAAGATGAAAACTGACTTGTTATTGCGCACACGCTCTTACCCCAAGACAGAGACAGTGGGAGTGAGAGACGTCCCAATGTGTCAACTGTTTCCCTACTGTCATAGAAAACGTCCCAAATTCTAAAACTTGGAACAAAAAACCTCTACATGATCAACAACACTTCCACCCCATCCCCAACCCATATATTCGTCATCATTCGCGATAAGCCCGTCCCCTGACATCCCCTCTTCCCTTCTACATTCATTTACATGATGAATAAGAGCGGCGGTTTAAACCAATCAGCACCGCTGGCCCCGAGATTTCTTAATACATTTATTATAATCTAATAATAAAATTGTGGCCAGTTTTATGGCCACGGAAGGGAAATTTTTATGTTTTTGAGCACAGGATTTGCATAATAATCACGAGAAAGATATGTAAATGTAGGCCGGAAAAGGAAAAATTTTTATACGCTTTTGTATTTTTACTATGTGATCGTAAACTGTAAAAGGGAAATGAGTCACTGGATGCGTCATTTCCGTAGGGAAGAAGGTGTTTTGGAGGTCATGTTGTGGTAGATGACGTAAATACAATTTACGGCGACAAAACTTGCGATATCAGTCAGTCGGGAAAATAATGAGCACTTTGTCGATTTTTACCCGATTTTTGAATTTTCAGAAATGAGAGGTGACAGGTTATACGATGAAAATTTTTCATCGTATAAAATGTCACTTTCCATTTTAAAAATACACAAAGAAGTATTTCATTGTATAAGATGTGTTTTTGCCGAGGAGTTTGGATGTTTGAACTTTTAGACATAAGAGGCGACATGAAGAAAAATTTTCATCGTATAAAATGTCACCTTTCAGTTTAGAAATAAGTAGGAAAATATTTCGTCGTATAACATGTAAATTCTCATTTTGAAAATTCAAAACGCATGACTTTTCGGACTTCCCGTGGAAAACGAAAAAACCGGACTCTTCAGAGAACCGGGCTCTCCTGTAAACTTACGTCATATTCTACCCCGAGCTAGAAGTCTCGAATATGCCTTATAAAGAAAAAAATTCTATAACAAATTTGAGCCAAGTTTCATCAACTTCTGAGCGTCGCACTTGGAGAACTTTCTCTTCTCATATAATATTTTGTCAGTTCAGGTATCAAGACCTGTCGATTTTTGAGGTTCAGCGTTGATCGGAGCATATTCAAGTTTTTCAATTGCAAAAATACGTTTTGACACTACATTCGAGCAACCTTTGATCCAGTTCCGATATTACAGTAGGCATGAGTTTGTCGGGAAAATAATGAGAATTCTGCCGTATCCAAAAGTTGCCGAGGAAATGAGTTGTTTCGCCACAAAATCAAATTTCTTTTCCATCAGCGACACAATAGACCAGCTACATTGTTCTCATTATTTTCCCAACAAACTGATATCATATCAAAATCTCCTATTTTCTCTAGTTTTTAGTCAAATTCCCTGAGGCAATCAGTTGTTTTCAGGTGTGTGATGACTTGAACACCATCCCTCATCATTTGTCTTATCAAATTCACTCTCAAACTACTCAAAAAACCAGCCCTTATGACACAATAAAACTTCATTGATGTGTTGAACGGGCAGGAAAAACAATATAGAAATGAGTTACAATAAATCGTATAAATTATCCAATTACTCGATGAATGGGTTCGCATATGCTGAGGTTCAGGCGGCGTCCTCGTCCGAGTCCTGCGGCGCGTATCGGGACTTGTTCACTTGGGCCAGCTGTCGGCGGGCTTCGGTCAGCTCGCGCTCCTTGCGTATCACTTCTTCTTGAGCTTTCATCACCTAGAATGGGATGTTGTTAACTTGTTGACACAATGCGATTCATATCTCTTTCAATTTTCATTGTTTTATACTCTTTTTTTGCTTTCTTCTATATTATACTTGACATTTTTGATGATTTTTTTCTATTTTTCTCCATGATTTTTTGGCCTCTCTTGGCCACTCTCTTACCTGCGCAATACCATGCACCATGCGGTCGTTGATGACGACGATTCGCTCGTCGTCCGCCACCCGCTGTCGCGCCGCATTCACCAGACTCTCGGCGGCGACGCGGACCGCCTGTCCGGCGCTCTGCAGCCGCTGCATGTTGTGGCTGCCCTGGTCGGCCTTCACGCGGCACGCCACCAACAGTTGTGCGGTATGCGCGGCCACCGTCTTGGCGCACGCCGCCAGCTTCTCTTCGCTGGCGTGCCCCGCTACGACGCTGTTCGCGGTCTCGCAGAGTTGTTGGACGGCGGCGGCGACGGCTTTGGCGGCCGACACGAAGCCCTCGCTCCATTGGTAGTCGTTGCCTTTGAATTGTTGGGGACGGGGGTCGATCCGACCCTGCTGGACTAGCTCGCGTTGCGTGGAGCGCGCCGCCTTGACCAGCGCCGAGACGGCGTTCGTGATTTGCTTCGCGTAGCTGATGATGTGCACATCGAATTCGAGCTCCTGGTCGGGGTTCTGAAAGATTGGAGGTTACAGTACGATATTAAAATTTATTTTTTAAAATTTTTTTCGCGATAACTGGCAAGGAGAAGATAAATTTTTGAAAATTTGAATATTTAGAAATGTTGTATGCCCAAGATTGGAAAATTTGATAAAAAATAGGACAGTAGCCAGACATTCGCACTGCCTCCGATATGCCCAGCATTAGGGTTGCCTCTAAAGGAATCTAGAACCCAAGAATACTAGACATATCAGAGTCGGAGCCAAGTCTATGTGGCTAATGGGCAAGATATTGTAGGGCTATCGGAAAAGCAAGAAAGATTGTTCGTTATAAGGGAAAATGTAGACAGATTCCTTGTTCTACTGCAGCAGGAAGGCAGATTTTTTATTCTATGGCCAAAGCGATGCAGGTTCTTCCTTCCTTGCTCAAGGAAAGGCAGATATCTTATTCGTTAGACAAGGTAAGGCAGATTTATGATTCTCTGGCCAAAGCGATACAGATTCTTTGCTCTACGGCCACAGCGAGACATATTCTTCATCCTACAGCCGTAGCGGGAAAGACTCCCCATTCTATGGCCAAGACAAGACAGATCCTTCCTTCTACAGCCGTAGCAAGTCAGATCCCTCATTCTACCTCCGTAGCATGCCCTATTTTTTGTTTTACTACAAACTTATAGCAGTACATCCCATTTTTTATCAATTATGCGCGATTTTACAACAAATTACACCAACACATAATACAACAAAAACATCAAAATTATAGCCAAGATAACCCTACCAAACAAAATTTCCCGCCTCATAGTTCGTTATACCCAGCCTCCGACCTCCTAACCAGACCCAAATTTACACATCAAAGCCCCCATCTTGGATTTACGCAGACTGCACGCCGCATTAAGCGCCATTCGCCAAAGAAAAGGAAGGGCGAAGACGAAAAAAAAACACAGCAGGCGCGCCGGGCCCAGGTCAGTGATGTAATGCCATTAAGTGCACATGCGGAATCAGGTACCGTGCGAACCGCGCTCAAGTGCCCGCCGCCGTCGCAGATTACGGCGGGGGAAAAGGAGGGCATTCCCAGGAGGCTCCAATTCTTCCCATACCTTGGCGTGTTGAGTCGTTTCTCCGACCAACAACGCCCCAGGCATGAGGTGCAGAATGTCGCATTGCGATGTAGGGAGCATGAGGGAAAAGTTTTGAGGAGAAATTTCAGTATGTCGGAAAAATAATGAGCACAATTTCGCATCGAAAATCAAGAGAAAATGAAGTGTGCCGCGGAGAAAATCAAGTTCTTTTCACTTCAGCGACGCGATTGGCGCAGCGGCATTGTGCTCATTATTTTTCCGACAGACTGATAAGAGGAGAAGATCCAAAAAATTGGAGTAAAGAAGAGTTTAACGCGCCTTGAGGCTATCATTTAGGAGGGGTGTTTTTTAGCAGAAATTCGGAAGAAGACAGCAGCCCCAAAAAAGTGCCGATCTAGTTGAATAAAGGAGCAATAACATCTTCCAAGGGGATATAAACCCTCATAAATTAACTAATCTCTGTCTGTCGGGAAAATAATGAGCACAATGTCGCTGCGCCGATTGCGTCGCTGAATTAAAAAGCAATTTGATTTTCTCCGCGACACAATTCATTTCCTCGACGGCGATGCGATTTTAAAAGGCGACAGAGTGCTCGTTATTTTCCCGACAGACTGATATGAAAGTATAAGGCCGTATGTGACCTTATATGATGATATAAATAACGCAAAAGTCGTATTCCCCACCAAATTTTGGCTAATTTGAAAAATTGGGGTACCCGCACATCAAACGCTTGAAATAACGAAAAAATAGGTAGCTCGTTGAGAATGCGCTGAGATTTGGTTCACAAAGCCTGACTTCAAAATCGACCAGTCGTATCAGTCTGTCGGGAAAATAATGAGCTCTCTGTCGCAGCGAAAATCGCATCGCCGCTGAGAAAATGAATTGTATCGTAGAGGAAACAAATTGCTTTCAGCGACATGATCGGGGCACCGGCATAATGCTCATTACTTTCCCGACAGATATATCTTCTATTGTGAAATGAAAAAATCAAATCTCCCTCAAATTGGAGGCTAATTTGGCAGCAACCCAGCAAAAAACTCCTTAAAATCTCGCCAACCCGATCTTGACGATCTGGAAGTGGCTCGTTAGGCGCCAAATGTGGCTGTAATGACCGCGGATCGGCGGGGCTAAATTGGGAAGTTGAACTCCCCGTGGTCCATCAATTACCACTCCCAATCTCCTCACTCCACCCTCACCCCATTTGCGGATCCGACTGTTCCGGGGGCCTGGCCTTGAAACAGTCGGAGAAAAAGCGGATGGAATTCGCATCGCGAATAAAAGACGATTGGGAGGAGTGGTGGGATCGCCGCGACAGCTGCGCGACATGAAGACGATGACAAGCGGAGGGGGCGGCGCGCGTCACACCTGGCATCCACCCCTACTCAAATAGGGGGGATGCCAGATATTATGGGGTTGGGTGGGGGGCGCGCGGATGTGACATGTGTGCAGTGTTTGACAACATTATGAATACGCGAGTGTTAAATCAAAGTTATTGGCGCTGCACATGACAGACGGCCATGAGCAACATCTGTCTCGGGCGAGAGTGGGAGAGCAGAGGCTTCGAATTGAAGTCTAGTGTCGTTAAATTTGCCTGAGACACTTGAGAATGGGCAAAAAAGTAGGAGAGAGCTTAGAGATTATACTATAAATCTGTCGGGAAAATAATGAGCACAATGTCGCTGCGCCGATCGTGTCGCTGAAGTGAAAAGCAATTTGATTTTCTCCGCGATATATTTAATTTTCTCGGCGGCGATGTGATTTTCGATGCGACAAAGTGCTTATTATTTTCCCGACAGACTGATAGTTTTTTTCATAAAGTGCATGGACATGTTTTCGCCTTCGCACAGTGCATTTTGAACTTTTTCCCAGGCTTGTCGCCAACGCACAGTGCAAACTTCAAAAAAGCCGTTTGCACTGTGCAAGTTCCTCACAGCGACGTAGTTGAAACTTGCTTTTGTCGCAGCGATATTTATAATTCGATGCACTGTGCAAAAGCCGAAAGAAAGTGAAATGCACGGTGCAAAAAATTGGTAATTTTTCTGCACGGTGCGGGCCGCGACAAATGTCCATGTGACTTTATGAAAATACTCTCAGGTTGTCGGGAAAATAATGATCACTCTGTTGGATCGAAAATCGCATCGCCGCCGAGAAACTGAATTGTATCGCGGAGAAAATCAAATTTCTTTTCATTTCAGCGACGGGATTGGCGCAGCGAAATTTTGCTCATTATTTTCCCGACAAACTGACCATATAAAAATAAATTTAAGCCTAAAAATTTTTTTGATGGCTTCCGAAGTCATCTTATCAGTCTGTCGGGAAAATAATGTGGATTAGTCGCGATTTGGAATCTTCCATCATCGCTATGCCGACACCTAGAGATTTGGCGAAGCCTAAATTAATCCAACGACTTTACAAACCGACTAGTAATTCTATTCAACGAGATCTTTGACTTTTGTCAAGAAGAAAACAAATTCTTAGCCCTTGGACTTGAAAAAAATGCCAAAAACATTGAATTTTTGGCATGCTTGAGCTTCAAAACCGCATGGTAGTAGCAGTCGTACGAGGCGGGAGGACAAAACCCCATCACTCCGCGACGACGCTTGTTATGGCCGCGAACAATGGGTGGCGCACAACAAAAGCGGGGATGGCCGGTTTTCTTGCCGCTTTCCTATTCCCGATGCCGGGGGAAACGGGAATGCAACAATGGCGGACGGGGCGCCTCCGGTCGTTAAAGACAATTGACCGGATGCCGGAAATCGGCTGGAAGTCCGCTCAAGGGTGAAGGAAGGCCCCAGTGGGCCCCGCCCACCCCGGAGGGCCTTTGTCTTCGAGGACCACAAAAGGGCCCCAGAATTGGTCGCTGTCGAAACGTTTTGGACCAATCTTCAACTATTAGTTTGTCGGGAAAATAATGAGCAGAATGTCGCAGTGAAAATCGCATCGCTGCCGAGAAAATGAATTGTGTTGCGGAGAAAATCAAATTGCTTTTCACTTCAGCGACGAGGCAGCTAAATTGCGCTCACTATTTTCCCGACAGACTGATAAATGTTAAGCCAGAAGCTATGCAAAGTGCTAACCACTGAAAGTAAAGTTCAATCGCGGCGAAATGCATCGAAAAATACGGAAAATTTTGCAAGGGAATTGCTAAAACTGCGACTCTTATTGTTAGGCTTTCTTTACAAGAATTGTATTTTTATTGGCGTTCCTAATTTTATGCGGAACATGAGTTACAAAATCTGAAAGTTGTGTTGATCAAGAAATATGACAAAGCTAGCTGCCCAATTTTGGGTTTAGGGCTCGGAAATTCCCAAAACTGGCACAATTTCCTGATAAAAGGCGCAGGCATTGCAAGCGATAAAAAGCGCGGTCGATCTCTTCATCGGTAAGAGACCGACTTAAGTTAGCCGTGGCTATTGCGGCAGTCTGGAAATCAAGAGGGTTGATGCCGCACGGGTTCAATTTCCCCTTTAGCCTTGAAAGACTTCTTTTTGCTCTGTAAAATCTCAGCCGTCAGCACCCATACTTATCAGTCTGTCGGGAAAATAATGAGCACTCTGTCGCAACGAAAATCGCATCGCCGCCGAGAAAATGAACTGTATCGTGGAGAAAATCAAATTTCTTTTTACTTCAGCAACGTGATTGGCGCATCGACATTGCGTTCATTATTTTCCCGACAGACCGATGGCAACCAAAAATCAAGTTTGCAATCCCTAACAAATCTCAATATTTGCCCTCGAATTTCCGAATTTCGAATAGGAAACGCGCCGCCGCCGCCGCGGAAACGTATAGTTTGCCAACAGCGGAAAAGCAATCGCCTAAGAGGCGGGGCGGAAGCCGCTGAAATTTGAATAAAATTGTGCAATTCGAGTCGCGCCATGTGCACTTGGCATAAAAGCGGCGGGAATTTTGGGGCGCTTTGAACTATGAAGTGGCTCCGAATCTCCTCACCGAAACAAAGCCGAAGGAGAGCGAATTTAATCGCGATTTTACGAGAGCCGGCTAATTGGAAAAGAGGGACGAAAAAGCGTCAGGATTAAGGGAAATTCAGCGTTTCCCTGCGGAGTTTTGACCTTCTTATCCGAGGTTAAGAAGATCAAGAGGGCGATACGAGTCTGTCGGGAAAATAATGAGCATTCTGTCGCAGCGAAAATCGCATAAAATAAATTGTGTCGCGGAGGAAATCAAATTGGTTTTGAGGTCAGCAACACGATGGGTGCAGCGACATGGTGCTCATTATTTTCCCGACAGAGTGATACAACGGTTTTTCAAAAAAAGCGTTCATTTTTTGACGCTTCCCAGGGCCGTTTTGTCGCAAATTTTGCACAGTGCAAACCCCGAAAAAAGACATTATTTTCCCGACGAACTAATAGTACTCTATGTAATACAGTAATTACAGGGATTTAAAAAAATTTCATCAATTTCTGGGAGAAAATTTTAAAATTTAGCCTATTGATCTAACAAGGGCAGTACTCCAAGTGCGACGCTCAGATTTACTTCAAATTTTGCATAAATCTTCTCTCTCCACTTATCAGTCCCTGAAAAGCTTAGCTCACCTACTAAGCCTTTGAAACCCCCAGGGAAAAGCCAATCTATATTACAAATCAAGTCCATTCAGCCGGCTTGACCGCTCAGAGAGCCTTGAAAAATCCCTCAGGCCCTAAACTGAGGAGAATGTTTTATGCATTGGCCAGTGCATGCAAAAAACAGCGGCCGAAAGAATTGTCGCCCTCCCTACTACTATAAATCGGAGGGCGATCCTTTGCCGTGACCTTTGCCCCCTTTCACCTCTCGAAATGCCCGCTGTTTGAGCGGGCATTCCTCTCCATATTTCTTGAGGCGTTTGGGCCAAGGAATCAGGCTCTCCGAAAGCGGGAGGAACGAACTTGGACTTAACGACCTTGAGAACGGCGGATTGAATTTGAGGCGGGCATAAAATGCATAATGACTTAGTTAGAGTTGGCTTCATTGTGCGAAACGCGCGGATCTCTGGGCCATAAGGCGTTGGGATTAGGAGAGGCTGAAGGCGCAGATCCCAAGCGATAAAGTTGGATGCGCCGCCCGACATTGACATAACGATTGCTATAAGGAAAAGTGAGGATGATATAAGGACACATTGGGATGATATAAGGACACATGGGCTGCAATAAGGACTCATAACGAACTGGAAGACCAGTATTTTTTAACTATTCAGTAGCTAGGCCTCCTGAGGAAAGCTGACAATGAAATTCGATGGTATAATGATCGTTTTTGTGAGAGAGTACGATAAATGAGGAGAGACTACTTTTGAAGTGAAGTACTTCAAGTGCGACGCTCAGATTTTGATGAAACTTGGCACTAGATTATTTTTTTATAAGACATATGCGAGATACATAGCTCGGTATTTGCAAAAACGACCGAGATTTTTAGATCTAAAGTAGAAAAAAATGTGAAATTTTTTTGTGAATTTTGGCATGAAAATTTTCATGGGTATTTTTGCTGTAGAGGGTAATGTTTCCACAAAAAATCAATTTTTTCTGCACGAAACTGGTAAAGATATGGCCAAAAAGTGTTTTTCGCTAGCCACTCTTCGCATTTTGCGTGCTCTCTTGGCCACAAAGATTCTTGGATTTCTTGGCTCTGGCGGCAAAGCGTGATCTAGAATTTTCAGTGATTGATATGTGGACCAAGCCTAAAATGTGAGCAAAAGTTGACGCAAATCTGAGCGTCGCACTTGGGATATTTCCAGCCCAAGAATTAGTGTTTATTCCGAGCTAATTCGGCCGAAAAAGAGTTGCATTTCCTTAAAATTCTGATATGAAATGACCAAAAATGGATTTCAGATGAAACACGAACACTTGAATACCTAAAAACCTTCAAAAAGTGGCCATGCCTCTACGGAAACCAGCCCGCTATGCCTTAAAAAAACCGCTGGAGAATTTTCGCATTCATCGACAGGCAGGAGGTTAAGTGACGACATGAAGGCCCCATCTACGGGCCTTCATCGCACTTCAAGGCCCACTCGAGCGGCGTCTGGAATTGCCGCCCACTTTTAATTAAAGATAATTGCGCGGAAAAAGGCCTGGGATTAGTGCGGCATGTCCGAAACAGAAGCCGCAGAAGCCAGAGTTCCGGCGGCGGCGGCGGAACGGGCCTTATACCGCAGAAGGCGGACTGCTGTTTATAACCAAATCCCCGAGGCGGAAACGCGGCCCGAAGCTAAACGCAGTGTTTTTTCGGAGGCAAAAGTTGTATACGCTGAATGCATTTAAATAGATCATAGGCCATAACTAATCCATTAATGCGTAATGGGGTTCTATGTGGGGCCCACATACGACGCCCGAAAGAGGTTCAGAACTCGGAATTAATGGGCAGAGACTGGTTAAATGGAAGAATGTATGATGTGGTGCGGGGGTCTTTTGGGATCCCTGAACCTTCATTTTAATCGCTGGAGACGCTGAAATCTTCCGCTATGCGTCTTATAACTTCGTGTTTGTCTAACAGTCTGCCGGGAAAATAATGAGAATTTTGTCGCATCGAAAATCGCATCGCCGCAGAGAAAATGAGTTGGGCCTAGTCTTGGCCCCTCAAATAAATATGAATTATCGGTCTGTCGGGAAAATAATGAGCATTCTGTCGATGGCCAATCCCGTCGCTGAAGTGAAAAGCAATTTGATTTTCTCCGCGACACAATTCATTTTCTCGGCGGCGATGCGACTTTCGATGCGACACAGTGCTCATTATTTTCCCGACAAGCCTGTGCGACTGGTCGTTTCCAAAGTCAGGCTTTATGAACCAAATGCTCATCATTTTCCCGACTGCCTGATAGACAAACTAAAGCAATAAGACGTAAAAACGCCTAAAGAACACGAGGAAACGATAAAGACAATGGCCTTTTCACCCGCCTCCCAAATGATGACATTATCTTCGAGTGTTTGCGAAAGAATTTGTCACGTCCCAAAACCCATCCAAAAAACGATGGGGCCGAAACCTTTGGCCCCGCCGAAGCCGGCCAGCTGTTCGCCGGCGATTTCCGGCGGCATAAGTCCCCAGCACCGGCGGCGGGGCATGTTTTTTCGGGGGGGCCGCGGCTGTTCGAAACGTTTCGAATCCCGGCGAAGAATCGAAGCCGGGGCATAAACAGACCCCGAAGTGCAAGGTCTTAATACCACATGCGGCCGGCCGGTCGTAAACCGGAGACGAATGTCGTCACTTGCGACAAGTCAATACACAATTTCCGACTTGGGAAGCGCATAACTTTGGCCATAATTTTTGGCCAAATCAAATCACAGTTGAAGGGGGGAAATCGGATTTGAAGCCGGGGATTTGAAGCCGCCCGCTTAAGCAGCCCCATCCCTCTCGCTTTATGGGCGGATTAAATTTGAATAAATTGAGCAAAACGAGGCGAGATGCGCGAAATTGGGTTAGGCGGTTCGCAAATCAAACACTTTTAGCTACTGTAGGAAACAGAAATTTCCTTGGAAGGGCTGTGGAATGATCAAAAATTGGTCAAATTTTTTGCTCGTAGACTTTCAGAAAGTAAAAAATTTGAGATATCAGTTTGTCGAGAAAATAATGAACACTTTATCGCAGGGAAAATCGCATCGCCGCCGAGAAAATGAATTGTGTCGCGGAGAAAATCAGATTGCTTTTTACTTCGGCGATCATAGAGAAGAAAGACGCTGAGATATCAGTCTGTCGGGAAAATAATGTGGATTTGTTGCAGCGAAATATCTCGCCTCGTCGCAGTCGCCTGCCAAATCTCCAGACGGCCGTCAAGAAAGCGATGATGGGAGATTCCAAGGCGCTACGAGACCACATTATTTTCCCGACAGACTGTTGCTTGTCCGTTCGGACAGTCGTTGAAACAATTTTTGGCATTTGAACCGCGAAGAAAAAGTCCAGCGATGACAAGAAAAAGAAGTCTATTGCAAAACTGTTGTTTTTGCACAGTGCATGTCGCAAAAACCAATTTTTCACCTCTAATTACTGTAAGATGACTTCAGATGCCATCACCCTAATTTTTGGACTCAAATTGACCCTTATACGGCCGAATTCACACATACTTAATAAGCCTAGCGAATGATTAATTTTTGGTCACAATCGCTTGAAATTTAATCTTGAATATTTATAGACATTGCTTTCCCTTGCCAGTCAAAAAAATCGCCAAAAAATAAAGTAAAATACAATAAAATTCAAACCAAAACCAACCTGAACTTGATGCCTGGGCTTCAGATGTTGCAGTCGTTCGGCGGCGGCCTCAATCGACGACGCGGCGCCGAGCAGCTCGTTTTCGGCGGCCTCGATCGCATTCTGCGGCTCTCTGCGTTCGGTGGACCAGTTGGAGCGCAACGCCTCACAACAGTTGGCCAAAATCCCGACTGACTGCAAGAAAAAAAGGGGATGAATAAACGACCTCTCGGCCTCCCCCCCTGAAAGACCGAACGACGAAAGAAAATATCGCAGAAACAGATGGACAATTTTTTCGTGCGCCGGCCCCGCTTCTCGCTCTTTTGACGGCGAGAGTTGGTTCGGACCCTCCCGACGTCCCATGCTTGTGCCCTGAGGGCCTTGGGGACGGAGGGCAGCGGCCGGGGAAGGGGAGTGATGTATCAATAGGCGTGAAGAATGGACCAAAACTTGAGATGTTTCGAAACGATATCGCCAATTGACTTTTCGGGACGTTTGTTTCGGAAATTCGGGCCCTCAGGGAAAGGACTAGTCAATTCGGACCCTTGGGGAAAGGACTAGCTAATATAGACCCAGCAAAGAAATCCCGACTTACATTAGACACCTCCTGTGAAGCCAACAAGATCAGCTCCTTGCATGAATGATTTGCGGGCTGTGCAACATAGGCCAACAGATGTTGAAGCAGTTGTTTCACCTGAATCGCCACCTCCCGTCCCGCATTCTTCGTCTTCGCCCCCAATTCGGGAGTGTCGGCGTTCAGCGAAGCGGACAAGGTAGTGGACAAGAGGTCGGCGACAGCTTTGCGCGCAAAGTTGGACGCCGCAATCACACGCTCGGTGTCGAGGGCCGACGCCATCGTTGTGGCGCGGGTTGAGGCCTCGGTGACTTCGCGGGTGGCTCGAATCACATCTTCGGCGGTAGCGGGATCGGTGCGCTTGGGGGATTCGTTGAGGTCGTATTGCTGAAAAGTAGAGATTAGAATGTACTGCTCGGCGGTGGTATATACATATCAGTCTGTCAGGAAAATAATGTGGATTGGTCGCAGCAGAATTTCTCGCCTCGTCGCAGTCGCGCAACAAATCTCCTGCGAGCCGTCGCAAAGCGGTGATAGGCGTGACAAAACATATGATTTTCCCGACACACTGATAGTATCCCCTAGCGTTGTCCACAAAACCGCCACTTACCCTGACAGCGAAATCAATGGCATCCATAGCAGCCTCGAGGGCATATGCTCCTCCCCGATTCTGCTCCTCAAATGATTTCACCGTCTTCAACAAGTTCGAAACATTAATAACCATCGTCTTGGCGGCGTCCTTCAGATTGCTCATTGCCGGGTCTTGCGGGTTCCTTCCGGACGCCCGATTCGTGGCGTTAATGAGGTTCGACAACGACGCGGCCACATCGCGGCATGCATGGAACACGAGCACTCGCGACTCCTGCGAGTCCTTGGAGAGGACGGACGCGCCGCGACGCACGGCTTCCGTGAGCTGCATAATGGTGCGGACCGAGTTCTGCGCCGCCACCGCGAGTTGCTCTTGGTTCGAAGCGGCACCGGTGACGAGTGCTTTGGTATCTTCGATCAACGCCTTGGCGGTACGAACAATTGTGTCGCGATGCTCCTTGGCGCTCTGCGGCTGATGCTGCGGAGAGGCTGGATTTAGTGAGCCGGAAGTGGCAAACAAGATGGTCGTGTCTAGATCTCCGATGATACCGGAAACAGTGTTGGCAGCGTTAATGCAGGCTTGCGTTCCCCGTGAGCCTTCGTACAGCGCCGCCAAGACCTCTTCGCAGCGTTCCACGACAACCTCCGACGATCGTTGGAGATCGTGTCGAATCCGTTCGTCGTACGGATGGGAGCGACGTTGACCGGCGACACGGACCAACTCAATGGACGTTGTTCCGAGCCGTTGAACCGAGACCTTCAGCTTGTAGGAGAGGTCGGAGTTGGTCAACAACGAAGTTGCGACTCGGCCATCCTCAGCCAACGTTCGGTAGAGCTCGGCCAAAGTTAAGCTGTCCTTGCCGAGGTCCTCCACGTCTCGGACAGGCATATCTTCGGCGATCTTGCGGATTTTCTCCAACCCTTCGACCATTCGCGCTTGCACATTCGGGAACGAGTCGCTCGGGTCAACCGCTTTGGACTGGTCGGTGATAGCGATGCTCCTCGTAATCGTCTCCACGATTCCATGGATGACCCCGGCTTGACTGTCCAGCAAGTTGACGCTTCTTTCCAGGTCGGACAGTGCTCGACGCAGCTGATTCGCCCATTCATCGACGACCGAGTGGAGTTGTTCGGCCTTCGGGTTGCCTCCGGCATCTTTTGCGGCAATCATCAGCTTGAGTTCGGCTTCGACCACCGTCTTGCACTGCTCGAAGAACTTGTTCTGCGCGTCGGAGTCATAGCTTAATGAAGCCGCTTGAACCGCCGACTGGACGAGTGTTTCGGTCGATTTGACATGTTCGCGAACTTCATGGCCCAGCTGCTCGGCATGCGATTTGGCGGCCGCCTTGAGCGGGTCAATGTGCTCCAATAGGGTCTGCGTACAGTAGACGATTTGTTGATGAACCCGTTGTTCGGAGATGTTGGATCTGGGCAGTTGATCTTGTGCCGCATCCAAGGCAGCACGGTCAAGTTGACGAATCAGCGCGCCCAGCTTCTCAATCGCCAAGTCGAGGTCGGCCTGGCCGGGAGCTTGGTCGCGGATGGTGGTTACCAGGTTCTTGATGGACTCCGAGACAACGCGACTGTTGTCCGCAATCTCTTGCCAAGTGTTGGCGTCGGTTGCGTTCACCGCCAACTTTTTGGCCGTGCTGAACATCTTGGCCGAAGCGTCCAACATCTGTCGGCCTGATTGGAGCAGTGGTTCTTGGGACTGACGACCTTCAGCGCTGATCTTTGCCGCATTTGGCGTGAAGTCGGGCCGATCAACGAATTGAGCGAGCGTATGCGCTGCATCGTTCAATTCCAACGCTCGTTCGTTGACGTCCTGTTGATGGTCGATGGATTCTGGCTTGGCTTGAAGCTTTTTCACTGCCGCAATCAGTTTGGATGTGATATCGGTGATGTCTCGGGCGCAGTTGGTAAATTGCTTCTTCGTCGTCGAGCTGGATGTGCGTTCTGTGGCATCGCGGCAAATCTGAGCGACATTTGAGGCGTGCGCGGCGATTGCTTGCATTTCCGCGACCAGGTCGGAGGTCTCAACCTGTCCGTTGACAATCTTCTCGGTGATGGCTTGAATGGCCAAGAGATTGCGGTTCAGGCGTTCCACATCGAACAGTGCGGGTCTTCCCCCAACGCTTTGAGGGTGTCCGGCACCGATTAGATAGGCGGATTGGACTGCATTCTCGGCCAGTCCGCAGACCGCATCACCCGCTTGATGCACCGCTTTGTAGAGCTCGTCGCCATTGCCATGACGAGCGTGATGCGCCATTCCGGAGAGTCCACTGCCAAGTCGTTTGGCCTCTTCGGTCACGGCGTCCAAGCTTTCATAGTAGCTGTTGTGGTTCTGCGGAACGATAGCTTCATTCAGAATCGGTCGGACGGCCTCGATCTTTCGTAACGCGTTGTCGCACTCCTTCACCCATGGCGCTTCCTGGCTTGTAATGTTAACGATCGTTGTGACACTCTCGCTCAGCTGACGAGCCGATTGACTCAACTGTTGGGTATGGACCAACGATTGAGGGTCCAATTGAGCGCCGCTAAAGCGCTCCAAAACGTTGATGGCGGCGTTGCGCGAGATCTCCAGGTTCTCCAGGATCTCTCGTTTCACCGGTAGCTCGCTGACTTTCTCGTTGATGTGGGTGCGAGTCACGGCGAAGAAGGTGATGTAGGCTTCGACGAAATGGTCAACCCGGCCTCGTTGTTCAGGGGCTCGAAGGCCGGCGATTAGTTCGGAGGCAGCTTCAATCAACTTTCCAGCGGCTTGACGCAGATCCAACGACGTTGAGACTTGGACGTGTTCGGCTTGAGCGATTTTCTTGACCGCCTCTTCGATTGAGGCGTGATCCGGCAGGACGTTGAGCGTCTGGCGAATTGATGCTTGCACAGTGTTCAGACTGTCGCGCAGACGGCTTGGCGAGGCTTGATTGCGGACTTGAACAAAGATGTTTCCCGAATCATGGACTACGTTGCGAGTGTTGCCGATGAAACTGAAATTGGAGGAAGTTTTAGCATTTTTTGTGATAAAACAAAGCGTATAGCGTCAAAATTACATACGTATCAACATTGTTTCCACAGCTCGGTGCGATCTCTTGAGCATTGTAGGTGAATCGCCTCAAGGCGTTAGAGACATCCATCGCCGACGCTCCAACATGTTGCTTGTCCGCGCTTTGGGCCGCCGAAACCAATTGAGTCAGAGTTGAGCTGACCTGTCTTGCCGCATCATTTAGCCGTTGGCTGGCGTCGCCAGCGGCCGCGGTTGGTCGGATATGGCCTTCACGGACGTCTCGATTGGTCTGTTGCAAGGCCTGATCCAACTCTCGGATCAACTCCTCGGTATGATCAAGTTGTTGATTGTAATTGAGCTGACGCGCCTTGTTCAGCGTAGTTCTGAGAGTCGCAAGTTCCGTTGAGAGCTTCTGCGAGGTTGACTGGAGATTTGAGGCGCTGTGAGGCTCTTTGACTTCGGGCACGGCACGGCGGGCAAGATCAACGAGTTGTGAGGCTGGCGGAAGGAACTCTTCGGTCTCGTAGATCAGACTGGATTGGGCACGGAATCGGTCGGATGGAGTGGCGGCGGCTTGAGATTCTGGAATGAAGATTTTGGAGTTTTGTGTCGCATTTTTAGTTAATTCAAAAATTTAAGGGACAGAGTGACAAGGGCAAAACCCCAAGTGCGACATTCAAATTTTGACAAAACTTGGCACAAAGTTATAATGATTTTTTCTCACACCAGATATGCAAGATTTTCAGCTTGCGCTTTTCTGAACCACATTATTAGGTCAAAAATTGGCAAAAATAAGATAATTTTTTGCGCACTTTGGCATGACGATTTTTGCTATGTCTACCGAGAACACTTGAACGTCGCAGTTGGGGCACTTCCCTTGTAAATTTGAGTGCTCAATTATGGTGAAACTTGGGTAAAAATTGAGATTTCACCATTCCAAGGCGCCTGTAGAATTCAGGGAGGCTTGGTACTCTCTATCTATCAGTCTGTCGGGAAAATAATGAGCACTCTGTCGCATCGAAAATCTCATCGTCACCAAGAAAATGAATTGTGTCGCGGAGAAAATCAAATTGCTTTTCACTTCAGCGACGCGATCGGCACAGCGGCATTGTGCACATTATTTTACCGACAGACTGATATAGAGGTAAACAAAAACAAATTTCCTTTGTAAAGAAATCCAATTTTTTCCTCTTCAGCGCTCCTTCTTACCTTTGATAGCCGTAATGACGGGTCGAACATGATTGCTCGTGATCTGCGACTCGATAATCAGCTCCTCGACGGTCTGATGGTTGTGGATGTGGGGCTGGGCCGAATTCACGGCCGAGACGGTTTGCGTGACTGCGGCCGACGCATTCTTGGCCGCTCTTTCGAGGCTGCGGAACGAATCCTCGGCGATTCGCTCGTTCGCAGCGGCATTCGTTGCCTGCAACAGTCCGGTTTAGAATGGGGTTGGAATCTAGTCGGGTTTTTAGTCATCAAATTTTACTGTGGCTTGCTAGAGGCTGACTTTTTGGAAAGAAAATTCTTGAAGAATGATCGGGCATGGCATTTTGGCAAAAATTTGGAAAGTATGGCAAGGTGGGACCAAAAATTTTTTTTTGAAAATTTGATTACTTTATGAACTTTTTGGTATTTTTAAAGCCAAAATTACACTGTAAAATAACTCTTGCCCTCAAATTCAAAAGAAATCGTCTAATTATGTTAGTCTACCTAAATCATTTCTACTCCACACACATTTGCTTCGCTTCAACAACCCAAAAACTCAATTAGACCCAAAAGCGGTACCTCGAACTTCGCGGTGACAGTGCGGAGAAGATGTAGGTGAAAGATAGATGGAAGAAAAGTGGGGAAATAGTATTGGAAACAGAAGATTTTTGTATTTCTCTTTCGAATTTTCGCATGGAAAGCAATGCAAGTGCATCTTTGCTGTTAACTATGGAAATATCTACAATGTTTACGGGTGATTTTCACTGCTAATTGGCTGAATTTTCGTTGAAACGAAGCAAATATGGAATTTTGGGTTTTTGAAAAAAAAATTTTTTTTTGAAAAAAATTGAAAATTTTTGAAAAAAAAAATTGTTACGGGTGCCAAAGGGTCGACTGAAATTCTCAGAAAAATCGGGGGGATACAACCGGACTGTTGCGCAATCAACCGAAGCCAAAAAACAACTCTGCACTCGTTCGTCAAAAACTTGGTTATTTCCATGGAAAAATTCAAAAAAATCATACAAAAACCGACGGAATAAAAAAAATTTTTTATTTGGAAAAAATCTCAATTTACAATACTCGATAATAGGGGGTTAGTAGGTTCAGAAAGTGGGATGGACATTTTTTCGCGCGCGCACAGTGCATTTTGAATTTTTTGCATTGTGCAGACGACAAAAAGGCCGTTTGCACGGTGCGAACGACAAAAAAAAGTCTTTTGCACTGTGCAACCGACGAAAAGGCCGTTTGCACTGTGCAAGCGACGAAAAAGCCGTCCGCACAGTGCATTCGGAACTTTTTCCTACGCTTGTCGCTCGTGCACAGTGCATTTTGAACTTTTCGCACGGTGCAAACGACGAAAAGGCCCTTTTGCACTGTGCAAGTGGCGAAAAAGCTGTTTGCACTGTGAAAGTGGCGAAAAAGCTGTTTGCACTGTGCAAACGACGAAAAAGCCGTCCGCACAGTGCATTCGGAACTTTTTCCCACACTTGTCGCTCATGCACAGTGCGTTTTGAATTTTTCCCACTGTGCAAGCGACAAAAAAGCCGTTTGCACTGTGCAACCGACAGCAAGCCGTCTGCACTGTACAAAGTTAAAACTTGCTTCTGTCGCAGCGATATTTCGCCGCACAGTGCGAAAACCAAAGGAAATGGGAATGCACAGTGCAAAATTTTTTACTTTTTATGCACAGTGCGAGCCGCGAAAAAACTGTCCGTGCACTTTATGAAACCACCCAATACAAAAACTGAAAGATAAGACGGATTCGGACTAGAAAAGACGACTTGATTAAAGCTGATGTGTCACTAAGAGTTGCGCAAAAAGGTTGCTGCAGCAAAGAAGACTGTAGCTGAAAAAAGGCCACAATAACCGCGGGTCACTGTGGAATCATATGTCTCAAATGCATCGGGGTCTACGAGAGTAAATCGTCTTGGACGGCGAGATGCCCGGAGGGCATGTAGACGGATTTACTGGGGCAGAGCCGAAAGGTGAAGAAAAAACGAGAAAGTTTGGTTGATTTGACGCAGTAAACAGGAGAGATTAAAGCTGTGATGGACGATAGAGATAGAATAGAGAGTAGGCGTGGTAATTTTGGTAATTTAGAGGGCGGGCGGGGTAAAGGGGGACCAAATTTTAAAAAATTTTTAAATTTTCAAAATTCAAATTTTGATAAAATTTTAAAAATTTGTTGTGAAATGGTATCTAAACTTTGCCTACATACCAAATCAAATACATAACGCTAACAAATTCGCTAAAAAAATTTTAAAATTTTATTAATAACTAACAGAAAAATCAAGTATAATATGCTTAGGTATAACTAACAATTTCACTAACAAAAAAAAAGTTTTTAGCATAAAAAATCGGCCAGATTTTCCTCCAAAAAATCCCACTTACTTTTCCGTAAAACTCGACCTTTTCGTAGCGCCAACGATAGATCGTATAGGCCATGAGGGAAATGTATTTTCAAAAATTTTTTGCTTTGAAAACCCCTCGCTATTATGCAGTCGGATTAGTGGCGTTGCGCGAATTCGAAAAAAAATTGATGCGCGGTTATGAAAGAGCCGGAAGAGCGTTAATAATCCGCTGAACCGGCGGCGTAGAGCAGCTGATCGGAAGGGGGAGTGGAAAACGTGCGAAATTTTTCGAAAATTTTTGAAAATCCTGGACAGAGACAGATGGATGGATAGAATAAAGGGAGGATAATGGATTTGAGAGGGTTTTTGGAGAGCCAAATTTAAGAATATGACAAAAAAATACAATTTTTTGATAAAAAATCAAAATTGCGACACTCAAATTTTTGATTTTTTCGAATTTTTTTGCTCATACGTCCATCATGGTCTACTTATCAATTCCTGAAAGTTTTAGCCCGCAATTTGCAGCGAGAACTGAGATATTCAACAATCTTTGCGGCCGAGAGAGCACGCGAATTGCGGAGAGCGGTCAGAGAAAAAATTTACTTTTTGGCCGTATCTTTGGTAGTTTCGCGCGGAAAAAATTGATTTTTTGTGGAAATGTTATACTCTACGGTAGAAATAGCTATGAAACTTTTCATGGCAAAATTTGCAAAAAAATTTTACATTTTTTCGAAATTTCGATCGGAAAATCTTGGTTTTTTCTGTTAATTTGCGAGCTGGAAATCTCACATATATCTAGGAAAAAGTTGTTCTAAATTCGTGCCAAGTTTCATCAAAATCTGAGTGTCGCAATTTGAGTAAAAAATCAAAAAAATTCATTTCAATTTTTTTTTTATTTTTCAACAAAAAATTGCTGAAAATCCCCCAAATTCCCCTCAAATCATCGCCCATCCCTCAAGAACAAAGAAACAGATAAATACATGCGAAAAGTTCGAAAAAATTCAAAAAAAGTTTCGATAGAATAGAGCAAAAACAAAGCTGTCTAGGACTTGGCGTAATTATGACGTGGTTGCTGAAAGCATCGCAATTACTCGCCGGCAATCACCGTATATGGAAGCGAAACACCGAGGGAAAACGGGTTAATGGAATGCGTTGGGAAAGGTTATCAAGCACCAGGAAAATCGGAGGGAAATAATTACTTAAGACACCTCAAACTGTAGAAAGGATATGTGAAGAAGTGAGTGATATGGCACAACAAACGGGTTGAGAGGCAAAACTCAAATTTTTTTAACGGAATCGACGGGAATATGGGCTGGTTTTGGAGATTTTTTGGAGACTTTTGGCCAAAAAAATCAAAAAATCTTGATTTTCGAAGTATCAAAAGTTCGATTTGCGGTGCTCAGATTTTTTTTAGATTTTGCACATACGTCGACCATGGACTACATATCAATCGCTGAAAGTTTTAGCTCACGCTTTGCTGGGAGAGCCAAGATATTCAACGATCTTTGCGGCCGAGAGAGTACGTAAAATGCGGAGAGCGGTCAGAGAAAAGACACTTTTTGGTCCGTATCTTTCCCAGTTTCGCGCGGAAAAAATTGATTTTTTGTGGGAATATTGTACTCTACCGTAGAAATAGACATGAAAAATTTCAGGCCGAAATTTGCAAAAAATTTTCCATATTTGGCCAACTTTGGATCAAAAAATCTCGGTCATTTTTGCAAATCGTAAGCAAGGAATCTCGCATATGTCTTAGAAAAAATTATACTAAATTTATTCCATTTATTCCAAGTTTTGCCAAAATCTGAGCGTCGCACTTTCTTGCACTTTCCTACTCAACAGTATACTTCAAAATCCGCTACCATAACCCATACTTTTCTATACACTAGTCTCAATCAGCAGCCCATACTCCCAACGATTGCGTTCGTCAACGATATGTACAACACTAAACTCCATAAAGTCCTCTTCGTAAAACTGTAACCCATCTGCACACCAACCCACCTGAACCAAGTTTTCGGCCGCCGACTTCAACGCAATCTGCGCTTCGGCCTCTTGCGGTCGACTTTGCGCCTCCTGCGTGGCGGTGATCATGTTCGAGGTGGCTTGAGCGACGTTTCGCGCCGCATTCAACAGCTTGTCGCGTTGGTTGGGGTCGGCTTCGGCGCCGTTTTCGAATTGCTCCACGAGGATTCGGGAGTGGCGGATGGCCTGGAAATGGAATGTTGATCAATTTTCAAGGCGATATTGAGAGGAAAATTGTTGTATTTTAAGAGAAGATTTTGATTCTCTGAGCTGCAGAGGCAGCAAGGAGAAGCATGGCAAAAAAGGGGTCAAATTCAACCCAAATTTGGTATCAAAAAGTGTTATAACTTATGAAAAAGGCGATTGAAAAACTTCGGGTTGTCTCAGCGATACGTTTTGATACCAACCATGGCTTGTGTTTATCATTTTTCAATCGAAAGTGGCTAAAGACCACACGGCCGCTATCAGTCTGTCGGGAAAATAATGTGGATTTGTCGAAAACAAAATGTCTCAGTTTGTCGCAGTAAAGCCGCACCTCACCGTCTCAAAGACATACTGACGATTAAATGGCGAATCCACATTATTTTCCCGACAAAAGTGAAAAAAATGAATCCACGTTACTTTCCCGACAGACATACATCGGTTCCACATTATTTTTTCGACATATGTGGAGAAATGAATCCATATTGTTTTCCCGACAGACAGATATCGGTTCCACATTATGTTCCCGGCAAATTTCTACCGGTTCCCCGTTATTTTCTCGACAGCATATCGCCTATCCATCCCGCCCTACCTGATTGGCATCTCGTTGCGGTTGAGCGCCGGTAATGACTCTGTTCGAGCTTCTCAACACCTCCTCGTAGTTGTAGTTCTCCTCGTGTCTTCTGTGACCTCCTTGACCTCTGGGACTGGTCCGAATATGATCAATCAGATCATCCAAGGCATGTGTAACTTGTCTGGCAGCCGCAGTCAGATCTCCAATCTGGTTTTGTCCGTTTCCAGAGCGCGAATGCTGAACAGCCTCGCGGGAGTGCTCAACCAGCGTCTCCACGGTTCGGCTGACATTCTGCGCGGCCTCGGTGAGGCGCTCCTGCGACGAGGGATGCTCAATGGTTGGTGCTACAACCCTAGTGCACGCCACCAGCTCGGACGTGGCGAAGGCGGTCTGTGTGGCGCTGTTGATGACGCGCTCCTTCAAGCCGTCGTTGCCGCAGTCGCTGGAGATGGTCTTGGCGTGCATGACAAGGCCGGCGGTGTTCGTGGCGACATTCCTGGCGCGCTGAATAAGTTGATCGTGGTATTGGCGGTCTTCGTGGGTCTCGTCACGCATGGTCTTGATGACGTCGTGAGAGGTCTCGCCGACTGCCGATGCAGCGGACAAAATGTTGGCTCGTTTCTCGTTCTGGTCGGGTCGGACTTTGTCGATGAAGGTGCCGAACGCATTCATCAAGCGTCTGGAGGCTTCGATCAAATCTCCACGGCGCTCTTCCTCAGGCATCATGTGTGCCAGCTCGCGGACGCCACGGCCCATTTCCGGCAGATTGGAGCCGATTGTGGCGATCGCAGTGCCGACACGCGAGTCCGTGTCGTCCGGAATGGCGGTGAGTTGGACGACTTCGGCCGTAGCCGCGCCCATGGCAGCCAATCGGTCGCTGACCGCCTCCTTCTCCACCTCAACGCGCCATTCGCGGCGGCTCGGTTCGAAGCGCAACAAGTCGATCTGTGGCGGGCGTTGAATCTCCTCCTCGGCCTCTTGAACGGCGCGAATGGTCGCCTCAATGGTCCCGATCAACGCCCTCTGCGCGCGTTCGCGCGGGTTTACATAGCGCACTCGTTCGCCGCGCGGCATCTCCTGCGTGGTGACGTAGCCCGACACGGCACCGTACTGGGCGCCATTCGGCAAGCCGGACGGCGTACTGGACCGTGAGCGCAGCGCACCCTGCGGCAGGCCTTGCAGTTGCTGTGGGCGTGTGATTTCGCCATGACCGATGAGCGTGGCGCGAGCCGGAGCGACTTGGTCCTCCAGCATTGTGGAGCCTTCGTCTCCTTCGATTCCGAGATGGTCGGCCAACTTTTTCTTCTTCAGGATGATGTCGATGTAGCCGCTGATGAGGGCGGCGATTTTCTCGCCGTCCGGGGTTTTCACACAGTAATAGCCGTCCTTGTAGTCGCCAAAGTCCTGAAATTTTAGGGGATTAGGGCCGAAGAGGTTGATTTTTATGTGGTAGATGGTTTACCAGTCTGTCGGGAAAATAATGTGGATTTGTCGCGCCTTGGAATTGCCCATCATCGCGTTGCGACGGCTCGCCGAGGCTGGAGATTTGGTGGGTGACTGTGACAAGGCGAGAATTTTTTTTGCGACAAATCCACAGTATTTTCCCGACAGACTCATACTAGGCGGGCCAAAAAGTCTTGACATGTCTGCACAGTGCGCCGCCGTGCACGAAATTTGTCGCGCGGCGACAGAAAAAGTAAAAAATTGAGTATGTCAGTTTGTCGGGAAAATAATGAGCACAATGTCGCTACACGTCGCTGAAGTGAAAAGAAATTTGATTCATTTTCTCAGCGGCGACGCGATTTTCAGTCTGACAGAGTGCTCATTATTTTCCCGACAGACTGACCTACAGCACTCCGAAAATTTCAAAAAACTCCAAAAACTCACCAAAGTGAACAACTGGGCGCCGGGCGCGTATCGTCGCACCTGCTCCAACGGCCACTCCTTCAAGACTTGCTTCGACTTCTCGTCGACTCTCAGCACCGAATCCTTGTTCACCCCCAATAGTCGGGGGATCAGTTTGTTCTTGCCGGGCACCTTCTCCTTCACCAAGAAGAAGGTGACGCCATAAGTGGGCAGTGACTGGCAGACTTCACAGTACTTCTTCTGAAGCTGCACTTTTTCGTTGTAGATGATCAGCTCTTTCCATTCGTCGACAATGTTCTTCTCGTGCTCCTTGGCTTTGGCGTATTCTTTGGGGAGGAGGTCTCGCATGCTGGAAGTGGAAAAAATTTTTTACTGAGCCGGTAGAAACACTACGATAGCTAGGATATCCTTCAAAAATGTTGTGCTGTTCGCAACGTCGCTGGAGTGGAGTGAGAAAACGAATACAAAAGTATTGACCATATCTTTGTCAATTTCGTGCGGAAAAAATTGATTTTTTGTCGAAAAATTACTCTCCACAGTAGAGATAAGTATGACAATTCTCATGTCAAAATTCGCAAAGGTTTTTTTTATTTTTCTGATCAAAAAAAATCTCAATTTCCACGCTCTAAGTTTACGCCAATTTTCCATCTTATTCATTATGCGCTATGTCGGGCATTCCGCAAAGGTGTCTGTCGGGAAAATAATGAGCAAAATGTCGCTGCGCCGAATTCATTTCCTCGGCGATATATCCGACAGACTGAAAAAGAGGAAAAATCTTACTTGATTTTCTTCTCCACGCCCTCTTGATACTCTCCAAACTCGATGGCACACTGGAGTGCGGCCAGTTTGATAGCGATCTCGCGCGAAACGGGATGCGTCCCGTCCAGCACGCCGTCGCGGCACTGCGCGTAGAGCATGCCGAGTTGGGCCGGGTCGTTTGTGTTCAGGTTGGTGTCGCTGACGAAGAATTTGCGTCTGAGGATCAGCTCTTCACCTTCTCCGATCCCTTGCTCTCTGAAAATGTTGAATTGGATTGGAATTTTCCAATTTTTTTTATCAAATGAAGTACCCCAAGTGCGACGCTCAGATTTTGATGAAATTTTGCGCTGATCTTCTTCATGGATCATATAACAATTGCTAAAAATTTTAGCTCGCGCTTTGCAGGCAGAGCCGACATATTCAACGGTCTTTGCGGCCGAGAGAGTAGGCGAAACGCGGAGAGCGGTCAAAGAGAGAGGTACTTTTTGGCTATACCTTTGCCAGTTTTGCGCGGAAAAAAAGGTTTTTTATGACTCTAAAAATAGGTGTGAAACTTTTCGTGGCAAAATTTGGAAAAAAAAGCGTTGCCTGAGGCTTTAAGTCAAAAAATGCTGCGCTATATTTAGAAAACCGTCGGCTAAAAATCTTGCATATGTCTTCGGAAATTAAAGCCATAATTTGGGCCAAATTTCATTCAATGTACGGTATATGCGCATGTACCAGTCTGTCGGGAAAATAATGAGCATAAAGCGGCGATCGCTTCGCTGAAGTGAAAAGAAATTTGCTTTCGTCGCGACACAATTCATATTCTCGGGGGTGATGCGATTTTCGATGCGACAGAGTGCTCATTATTTCCGCGACAGACTTATATAAATCATACTATATCTTCGTCTGTAGATTGCCCCACCTACCTCAAAGTGCGGTTAGAGTCCAGCCAGCACACGTCGTCATCGGTGTGCAATTTGGCGCGCAGCTGTTGGACCTGTTTCTCTCGCCGTCTGCCAATCGTGTTCATGAATGTGTTGTTCCCATTGTATTGTTGGTCGCCGTTCAGCGACGACAGGCTTTGGTCGCGCTTCAGCGGCGCGAATCGCGCGTCCCTGACCAGCGAATACTCCTCGTGGTTGGAGAGTCCCATCTTGCCGCAAATCGTGACCATCAGGTCTTTGACCGGCTTCGATTCGTCCACATTCACCGTCTTCACGGTGCTGCCGTCGACGGCGCGCACGCGGATCTGACGGATTTTGTTTTGCAGCTCGAGGACATCCTGTAAATGATCATTTTTTTTTTGATTGTAAAAAATAGGGTTCAGTTGTCTATTTTATATATTGGAACTACAAATTAAGGTGTAGTATTAATCAAATTTGATATTTTAAGGCTTGTCAAAAAGATACCAGGGGTTCCTATAGCTCAAAACTAAGCTTTTGAATTGGAAAAAAAGGCATAAGCTATCTTAGGACCCGATCAATTTTACAGTGACGGACCTGATCCAGTGGCAATGAAAGGTACTATTTTTTGGAAGCATCAAAAATGTAGCAAAATGCTTCCTTCTCCAAGTGAAAAAAAAACCTCGTATTGAAGGGCGCGACCTTTTCCTTACAAAAAGAGCGAGCGCGCTTTTGAAATCGGAGTTTTTCCACTTGGAGAGGGAAGCATTTTGCCACATTTCTGATACGTCCCGGATGCAAAATGGTGCGTTTTTTACCAGTGGATCAGGTCCCCCACTGTATCAGTTGGTCGAGAAATAATGTTGATTCGCCCATTGCTTTGCAACGGCTAACCGCGGCTGTAGATCTGATGAGCGACTGCGGGACATTTTGCTGCGACAAATCCCCATTATTTTCCCGACAGACTGACAATTTCCTCGACTTTTCAATTTGATTATTGATCTTTTTTTCTATCTTTTTTTTTCATTTTTTCCCACAGCCTTATTACGTCATCATTTTCTCTACCTTCCTTATTTCTTTCTTCTCCATGTGATTTCGAAGCCTGTTTACCACATTTTCTCCCCAAACAAAGTTACACCAAGTTCCCCGCGATCGTAATATGACCCTTATTCTCGTGGCGGGTGCTCCGTCATTTTCCGTGCAGCCCGCCAGTTGGCGCGCTGATTCGCGACTCACAAGCGCGGACCGCGGGCGAGGGGTATGAAAGGGGCACTAAAGTACACTACAACGAATTATCAGCCGTTTTCTGGTGTCGGAAAGGCGCTTGATGAGGGAGGTTTGTTGACCTTAATTATGGGCGCTCCTCATGAGGGAAGGAAATCGATCTTTCGACATTTGTACGGTCATATTCATCGATTTATTTGAAAATGGCGCGGCCAGATGGGGGAGGCGCACTGCGCTAAAGATGAGGCTACAATTTGGGACAAAAAGTCCTGAAAATTTGCACAGTGCGACTTTGGTGGGTTTTGGCGCGTAGTTGCGGAATTTTTTTGCCAACGTTGTGGGACAAGTCATTTTTTCACAGAATGCGACAAAATTTGGGGCGGATTAGCAAGACTTTTTTGTCTCCGGCAGTTACTACTCTGGACGTTCGAGGGTTACTGTAAGATTACAAATAGTCTCAATGATTGCCCACAAAGGCATCTTATCTGTCAGTCGGGAAAATAATGAGCACTCTGTCGCATCGAAAATCGCATCGCCGCAAAGAAAATGACTTGTGTCGCGGAGAGAAATCAAGCTGCTTTTCACTTCAGCGACGCGATTGGCGCAGCCACATTGTGCTCATTATTTTCCCGACAGACTAATAAGATGTCTTTGTGAGCAATCTTTGAGACTTTCGCTGCCTTACAGTAACCCTCCAACGCAAACTCTCGTCTATTCCAAGCCTGCAAACTCGATCCTTGGCCCTCTAAAGTCCTCTAATTTGTCCTCGGACCCTCACGTGGGCCCAAACAAATATTTTCGGCCAACCTCATTACCCAAATGTGTTTTTCTCCCCGTTCCCTTGACGCAACCGGCAGCTGCTTACATAAGACGTATAAGTTTGGGTTCTTTGCGGGCTTCTGGTCAAAAACAATTTACGTTTTCGCCAGAAACTTGTTTTTTACACTCTTCGGAACGTATTTGCGACTACGTGTTCGTTTTTCAACGGCCTGCTTTGCTCTTTATCCATCAAATTTTTTGATGTAAAAATTTGAGAAGTCTTTACTATGTATTGGAATTTTCATAAAGTGCATGGACATTTTTTCGAATTTGCACAGTGCATTTAGAACTTTTTCCCAAGCTTGTCGCTAACGCACAGTGCATTTTGAACCTTTCGCACAGTGCATGCCACAAAAAAGCCGTTTGCACTGTGCATTTTGAACTTTTTCTCGCGCTTGTCGCTAATGCACAGTGCATTTTCTCTTTTTCGCACAGTGCAAACAACAAAAAAGCCGTTTGCACTGTGCCGACGCGGCGATATTTCAATGCACAGTGCGAAAACTAAAGAAAAAGTGAAATGCACGGTGCAAAATGGGAGGTCTTTGTTGCACGGTGCGGGACGCGACAAATTTGTTTTTTTTGTTTTCGCACTGTGCATGGACATTTGTCGCGGCCGCACCGTGCAAAAAACCCCTAATTTTTCACCGTGCATTTCACCTTTTTTTGCTGGCTTTCGCACTGTGCATTAAAATATCGCGGCGACATAAGAAAGTTTCAACTTTGTCGCTGCGTCGGCGCCAGCAATTTGCACGGTGCAAACATTTTTTTGAGGTTTGCACTGTGCAAAAAGAGGAAGATGCACTGTGCATTAGCGACAAGGGTGGGAAAAAGTTCAAAACGCACTGTGCGGAAGGGAACAAATGTCCATGCACTTTATGAAAATACTAAAAGAAGATTTCTCCTTGATGTTTTGTTATTTGACCACTTGTTTTCGCATTTCCACCCCCCAAATTCGATGTAAAACGTCGATTAATCTTTTACAGCTGGTGTCAAAATATTTTTCTCTCCCCAAAAGTTCCAAAAAAAGCCTTCTCGTGGTTTACAACGTGCAAAACGAGAGATTTCGCGCCGTTTCTCCGCCCACTTTTTTCGGTTTTTTGGAATATAAAAGGGAATTGTATTTTAGAGTGGAAGAAAATGTTCGGATCAAAGATTTCATGGCTCTCTCCTGTCGGTTTCATGCTCGCTCAGCAGCCCACGGCGATGACAAAAGCGCCCGAGGCGTTCGAAGCGATCCGCTGCTTCAATGAAAACCCAAAATTCCAGTCAAAAAGTAAGTTGAAATTTGATTATTTGTGGTGGGAAAATTGTAAGAATTACTGAGTGATAGTTCTGAAAGTATTTCCCAAAATTTTTTGGCCAAATATTGGGTAAAATCGATATTTTTTGGATATTGTAGTAGCTACAGTAAGATTTTTGATGACAAAAAATTTCTCCAGATCTTGATGAAATTTGGCATGGCTAAAGTTAAGGTATTCCTAAGGTATATACAAAATTTTGAGATCGCGTTATGCAGAAATAATCGAGATTTTTTATTCCAAAAATCAAAAATCTTTTTTTTCAAAAATTTTTTTCAAGGAAAAAATAGAAATTTTAGAGGCTATTACAGTAAGAAATCGTCTATTTTTCACCCAAAAAAATTTTTAAACCCCAAAAACAAAAATAATTATATTACACTAGGCATCAAGTCTTATTTTCCCCCATTTTTCAGTTGTTTTCAACCCAGAACCAACTCCAATCCTCTTCAAATGATCATCAACTAATTTTTTACACCGAGAAACGAGTCCCACTACTACTGTAAATACGTGTAAATATCAACCCAACAAACTGGATTTCTTGTAACCAAAGCTGTAAATATTAATTTGTGTTTTAGTTTTTGCTTCACATTGTTGTTTCATTGTTTTGTGAACGAATTTTGAATGTAAATATGTAAATATGAACAAGATTGGAAGAGTTTGATAAGAGGAAAATATTTAGCTTTTGCACTGTGCGAAAAATTCAAAAATTTGCACCGTGCGAAAAATTAGAAACTGCCGCACTGTGCAAAAAATCGAAACTTTTGCACTGTGCAAGGAATTTTCAAAAAATCTTGCACCGTGCAAAAAAATATAAACCGCCGCACTGTGCAAAAAATCGAAAATTTTGCACAGTGCAAAAAATTACAGAAAATTTTGCACAGTGCAAAAAATTCAAAAATTTGCACCGTGCAGAAAGTTTTCGAAAACGTCGCACCGTGCAAGAAATTTTCAAAAAATTTTGCACCGTGCAAAAAATGAGAAACTATCGCACTGTGCAAAGAATTACTGAAAATTTCGCACCGTGCAAAAAATTTAGGAACATTCTGCAATTTTGCACCATGGAAAAATTTTCCAAAAAAAAATATTTTTTTTTTTTTTTTGAAATTTGATTTTTTTTCCGCACTGTGCAAAAACTTTCAATAAGATCTGCACTGTGCAAAAAATCTTAAAATTTTGCACCGTGCAAAAAATCTCTGAACATGCTACAAATTTGCACTGTGCAAAACTTTTTCGAAAATCTGCACTGTGCAACAATTTAAAAAAAATCTGCACGGTGCAAAACATCAAAAAATTTTGTTCTGTGCAAAAAATTTCCAAAAAAAATTTTTTTAATTTTTGATTTTTTCGCACTGTGCAAAACTTTTTCAAAAATCTGCACTGTGCAAAAAATCCAAAAAATTTTTGCACTGTGCGAACTTTCAAAACTCCAAATCCTCTTTTAAAAGTGCCCTCTAAATCCGTCAAAGTTAATAAGAGGGTGTAATAAATCTGTTCCGTACAATGGCAGAGACCGAAAATTCATTGGAGGCATTTGTCTCATAACAGCTGTTTCATTACAAACCTGGCTTCTTTTTGTGCCAAACCCAAAGAAAAACAAAAGATTGATCGAAAACTGGAGCTTCAAAATTCCTGGTAGTACTTAGTAATCGTAAAAAAACAATATTTTTTTGAGATTTTTTGGTCATTTTTGCAGTAAAAACATTGACTTACACCATTGCGCAACAAATAATAATCGAGTTGTTTACTGCCCTCCAGCCAATAGGACTTGGATGGATCATCGTCGAGGCGAATTAGACCGTAGTCATGTGCTGAAAATGCCAAAAAAAGATTATTTGAACATCAAAAAAGGGATTTTTCATCTTATACAAGGTAAAAAGTACTTAAAATAAGGTAAATTTTGATTGAATTTGAAGAATTTATGAAGTGAAAGCAATAGAAAATGATGTAAAATAAAATAATATTGTAATAAAAATTTCATTTTATTCATTTTCCAATTAAAAAATGATGAAGACATCAAAAAACAAAAAAATTTTTGAAATTTTCAAAAAATCAAAAAAAAATTTTTTTTCGATTGCATGGGCAACAACTGTCATTATTATGCTGCGTACGGCTTGAAAATGATATATGAAATTTTTTGCGGCATAAAAACATCAATAATCATCAAAATTTACCTTATTTTAGGCTAAACAAGGGGGAAATCAAGTTTTTTTCAAAATGTAGAGTCTATAATTATTTTCATATGGTATTGTTTAGTTTAATATGGCGGAAAATAAATTTCGAGGGTCTATAAACACCATACCACACTAATTTCATTGATTAATATATGAAATCATCAAATTTTGTCTTGTTTTAGGGGAAATTTCAAAAAAATTACAAAAAACATGATTCCATCGACTTTTTCAACGTTGTTTGGTTTGTAAAATACGCCGCAAATATCAAAGTTTATCGTAAGACCCCTAAACCCCCTCAACCTTACCAGTTCCGGGAGCTCCGACCTTCTCCTTGGAGATGCGGACCACGTCCTGCACGAGGTTGCTGGGCTCGAACTTCATGGTCTTGCGCACGCCCTTGGCCTGGTAGAGGACGTCCAACGTGATGGCCACCATATTTGCGCCTGGAGCGGAGGCGGGCGAGACGGTGGGTGGAAGAGAAGGGAGAAGAAGAAAGCGGTCCCCCGAAACTTTTGCTTTGGCCCGGGTTTTCTTTTTTTGCCAAGATCCGCTTCTCTGATCGTCCAGATGCCTCTCGGCGATCGGCAGTGTCTTTTCGCGGCCTTTCGCTTGGATTCGAAGACTATTTTCAGCGGCTTTCCCGGCAGGGTTTTGGCCGAAAATCCGCGATTTTGCCGCCTCTTTCTCGGATGACTCTCTTCAATCGCCCAGATCACTAATCAAAGGCGTCGCGGACGGGTGCACAACCACTCTCCCCGATCTGCACACTCTCTGGATGGGTGAGGATGCCGAATGGATCACGTCAACAGCCGCCGGCCCTAAGGGGGCGAGTGGGAATTTTCGGGACTGGAAAATCGGCAAAGGTTCATAACAATATGTCGTATAGAACGCGGGCAAACAAGCATGTCAAATGGAGTTATGGGAATGGGAAGGGCTGTGAAAATATTACAGAGTTTGAGCGAGGGGTTTGGGTAAAAAATTGAATGCTGATTGCACAGTGCGAAAATTTTTGGACCGCACAGTGCGAAATTACTTTTTATGAGAAAAAGTGGTTTTACTATGGTAAGAATAAAACGGTATTGATAAAAAATTATTGAATTAGGGTCGATAAAGCATTCTTAATAACAATGTTTTGTATAGCGACACGAAAAAACCGGCTATAACGAATTTTTGAGTGCACTGTGCAAAATTAATTTTGATGTCTAAAACAATATAAAAAATGCAAAAATTAAATAAAAAATTGTTTGAACTGACACTACATAGCATTTTCAACATTTTTCAACCAGAAAAATTGTAATAGCACTTCTACTTTGCTCAAAATTACAAATTAAATTTTCATCGCACAGTGCGGTTAAAAAAATCATCGTAAAATGTAAAATACGAACAAAATTCATGAAAAAATAGATGAGCCATCCCAGCCTGCAAATAAAACCCCCAAAAAAATCTTTAACACTTCCAACTGGGCCGGCAGAAAAACGCGGCGAAAGTGAAGAATGACCAATTCCCCAGCCAAATGCCGGAAATTTTTATGCTCTTTCACATAAAACGCCTCGGGGAAAGAGAAGTTTCGGGGACGAATTTGCATATTTTTATGATGAGGAGGGGTTTGAAGGATTTTAAAAAAATTTTAAATTTTTGAAAAAAAAAATTTTTTTTTGCAAAATATTGAGAAAAAATCGGTAAAAAATCATGTTTTAATTTAATGTCCATAAAAATTTTAAAAATTGCATAAATTTTTTTAAATCCATAAGTTCCCAAATTCTACACATAAAAATCTCAAAATTCAGCAAAAACAACGGATTTTTTCATTAAAAATCGGTTTAAAAAATGCCAAAAAATCTTACAGACCTTCAACATGTTAAAAAATTTTTAATTTTTAAACCTCTAAATTTCCAAAAAAAATCAAAAAATCTTAAAATTCAGCAAAAAATTGAATTTTTCCAACAAAAAGTCGCCAAAAAATACTCAAAAAATCCCTCAAACCCTTTTACGACCCATTTTCAAAAAATTTTTAAAAATTTTAACCCCTAAAAATTCCCAAAAACCCTCAAAAAATCCCAAAATTCCGCATAAAAATCCTAAAAATTCCGTCGACTTTACGATTGTACAAAAGAAATGAATTCCTCCACTTTTCTCGACAATAGCCCGAAAAAATTTATGATCTAATCAAAAACAGTGTTGGCCGTGCGAGAAAAACTTGTGAATCATAAGAATTGGGGGGAAAAGAGCCGAGAATGGATTTGTTTTTTCTCTTGTGGATTCTCGCAAAATTTAAAATTCGAGTCTTTTTTTAGGATCCTGTGGAATACGGAGATGAAAATGGGGTTGAGAAATGGACAAAAAACATGGAATGGTAAAGTAAAATACTGTGCAATATAGGTTTGAGGATTTATCAGTCTGTCGGGAAAATAATGTGGATTTATCACTCTGTCGGTAAAATAATGTGGATTTATCAGTCTGTCGGGAAAATAATGTGGATTTATCAGTCTGTCGGAAAAATAAGATGGATTTATCAGTCTGCCGGGAAAATAATGTGGGATGAATATCAATCTGTCGGGAAAATAATGTAGATCTATCAGCCTGTCGAGAACGCCCACCATCGCTTAGTGACGAGAAATTTTGTGGCGAAAAATCCACCTTATTTTCCCGACAGGCTGATATCACCTTTTTTCATAAAGTGCATGGACATTTTGTCGCGGTTCGCACCGTGCACAGAAAATTCCCTTTTTCACCCTTTGTTTTGGTTTCGCACTGTGCATCGAAAATATTGCCGCAATGAAAACAAATTTAGGAATTTGCACAGTGCAAGCGGCTTTGTTGAGGCTTGCACTGTGCGAAAAGAAAAAAAATGCACTGTGCAAAGTACGAAATGCACTGTGCAAAAATTAAAAGTGCACAGCGAAAAAATGTAAAAAGCACAGTGCAAAATAGGTCTTTAGTCCCTTGCAATTTATTTTACAGAATTTCCCAGCCATAAAAATTATAAAAAATCCCAATATCAACCCATATGAAATTGACAATTTTGCTCACAATTTTACAATTATGCACATAATCATCAAAAAAGCGTCTTCATAATTTCAAAATACTGACAAAATGAAAAAACTGAGAGAATTTTCATGGATGAATCATCTCCCTCAAAAAAATTGTACAAAAAAATCCATGGCCAATTCATGCACAAAGGCTGGGAATTCGAACAAAAAATTTATGAAAAAAGACACCGCCGTGAACGGAATTTCTGTTGGAACACCTCTTTTTTCTTGCATTCAAAAGTTGAGGCAATCAGAAATGGGTGAAAAGTTATGAATACGGGAGCTTTGAAAAGACTTTTTTTTGAAGTTTTGAAGTGTTAGAAGGGTAAAAAGGAATGTTTTTTTTGAATTTGGAATTTTTTGAATTTTTTGAATTTTCATGTAACCTTGAAATAATTTGTAGCTACAGTGACGGATCTGATCCAGTGGGAAGAAACGTACCATTTTGCATCCGGGAAGTGTTAAAAAATGTGGCAAAATACCTCCCTTTCCAAGTGAAAAACTCCGATTTCAAATCGGAGCCGCGAAAAATGTCTGTAGGAAAGCATAGTGAAAATTGTTGTAAAATACGCCGTGGTCACCAATTAGTATAGATTTTTATGACACAATTTCCATTTTTACAGAGGAAGTGCATCAATTTCTACGCTTAAAAAAATAGTAAAAAATGATAAAACTTGGCCCAAGGTAAGAAAAAAATCCTCTAACATAAGATGCATGCGGGATTTCTAACTTGCGCTCTGCAGAAATAACCGATAATTTTAGGTCAAAAAATCCAATCGGGGAAATTCTTCTTTATACGAAGAACCTTTTAAGACATGTTTTAAAATGTCTCGTGGCGGCCTTCTATCTGTCTGTCGGGAAAATAATGAGCATTTGTCGCATCGAAAATCGCATCGCCTCCGAGAAAATGAATTGTGTCGCGGAGGAAATCGAATTGCTTTTGATTTCAGCGACACGATGCGACATTGTGCTCATTATTTTCCCGACAGACTGATAGGTCGTCCGGAAAATCACGAATCAACCCCTCCCCAAAATTTTCTCCATCCCCATTCCAGCTTTGTAAACCAAAAAAAGGCGAGTTCAAAAATCGCCACCGAGAAAAAAACAAGCTCTCTTCGGGAGAATTGGTTTTCTCTTTCCCCCCAAACAAAGTTTCTGACTCATTGCAATGGAGATTCGGGGCGTCAAATGTCCGTCAAAATAGTATTTGGAAATGAAATTTTGCAGACTTTGGGAGTTGATATCGGATTGTTTAGAGCGATTTTTAGGGGGAGAATTTTGGGGAAATTATAAAAATTGTAATTTTTTGTAGAATTTTGAGCAATTTTTTAGGCAATAAATAGACAAAAAATTTTTAAAAACTCAAAAAAATTTTAAAAATACTTTTTAAATTGACAAAAAATTTGAAAAATAAAAAAATAAAAAATAAATTTTTTTGCAAAAAAAACTGCCCAAAATTAACTAAAAAATCGCCTAAAAAATAAAAAAAAAAACTAAAAAATTTTTAAAAAAATAAACAAAATTTCAAAAAAAAATAAAAATTTATGAAAATGAAAATTTATTTTTTTGCAAAAATTGCCTAAAAATCGCCTACAAAACTCTAAAAATCTAAAAAATTTCAAAAATAATTTCCCCCAAAAAATCCAAAATTCCAACAAAAAATCAAAAAAAACTCCCAAAAAAGTGATTAGACTTTCCCAAAAATGAAAATTAAACCCATTCAAGCACGAAATGAATCCATTTGAAAGGGGTTTTCGAGACGAAAGAGCAGTCGAAATCCAGTCTTCAAGAATGCAAAAGTCCGATCCCTTTTCCATTCCCAAAACACTCGAAATTTGAAAAAAAACCCTTAACTTTATTATCAGAAAAAAACAATGGGGTTCTTGGAAATAATTGGATTTTTTTTTGAAAAATAAAAAAGTATTTTTTTTTTATTTTTAAAAATTTTAAAATTAAAAAATCATTAGATTTTGATCAAACTTGGTGCAAATTTCGACTAATTTTTTCTAGCAATAAGAATAGTCCACATTTTTAGCTTCCCGTTTACAGAAAAGACCGAGATTTTTAGGTCAAAAGTTGTGAAAAATGCGAAATTTTTTTTTGCAAATTTTGGCATGAAAAGTTTCATATTTATTTCTACCGTAGTGAGCAATGTTTCCCCTAAAAATATTTTTTTCCCGCCCTAAACTGGCAAAGGTAAGTCCAAAAAAAGTGATTTTCTCCGCTCTCTGCGTTCCGGGTACTCTCTTGGCCGCAAAGATCGTTGAATATCTCGACTCTCCCTGCAAGGCGTAAGCTAAAACTTTCAGGAATTGCTATGTGGTCTATGGACAAGGTCTCTGCAAAATTTAAGGAAAATATGATCGTTGCACTTGGGGTAGTTTCCTTGTGAGCCGACAGAGGAAGAGCTCAAACTTTTAGGAATTCATTATTAATACTCTACATATATGTATGTATATACTACATAAATGACTAGTGCAATACTTTATTTAGAACAAAAATGGGAGATTTTGAAAGCTTTGCCTTAATTTTCATTACAATTGGTCCAGTATTCAGGATATTTTTCATACAAAATCAAAAAAATTTGCAAGAAAACTATTGTAAAACCAACTGTGATACGAAGCCTGTATAAAGCCTGTCTACTGCGAACAATTTCAAAGTCTCAGTAGTCAATTTTTGGCCAAGCTCATTCGCCAACTTTCGGCCTAAAAATCTTGGTTGTTTCTGCAAAGCGCAAGCTCGAAATCTCAGATATTTCTTATAAAATATTACTCCAAATTTATGTCAAGTTTTATCTGAACATTTTAAAATCTGAGCGTCGCACTTTGGGCATTTCCCCATATTTTTTTGCCTTGCTCATTGCGAAATTCCCAAAAATTCCCCTATCTTTCACCTCAAAAAACCAAAAAAATATAAACAAAATAACAAATCACCCCACAGCCAGCAAATTCCAGCCCAACCTGTCATTAAATTCGCCTTTCCAACGGTTCAAACCACCAGCAAAAAAAAAGATCCGTTTCCTCCAAAAAAAAGCCCAAAAATTTTCCTTGTGCCGCAAAAAAGCCGATGCGCTGAAAAAATGGGGGCTGAAGGCAGAAGGGGGGAAAAAACGCAAATAGCGGTCGGACCGGCGATTGAGCTGACCCCCAAGTTCGGCCTGTGTGTGCGCGCTCTCCGCTCGCGGCGCGCTCTCTCCGCCCCTCTCCACTTCATTGGGCCCGCATTTCTCTGCCGCTCTCTTGTTTTTGTGCGCTCTTTTTTCGTGGCGATTTTTTACAGTCGCTTTTGTGTTTATAAGAGCTGGGGGGGAGCGGCGGACAATGCGGCTAAGGGGAACTGATCGGATTTGCAGAGGGCTAATAGAGCAAGTTTAGCAGAGTATATTATATTATCCATGGGAGATTAGAAAATAAAAAAAATCGCAGAGGAAGTGACGCAAAGCGACGCTCAGATTTTCCGTAGATTTTGAACACATTTAGAGTATAGATCATATATAAATCCATGAAAATATTAGCTTTCCCGTTGCAGGAAGAGCCGATATATTCAACGATCTTTGCGGCCGAGAGAGTACGTAAGATGTGGAGAGCGGTCAGAGAAAAAAAACTCTTTTTAACAATATCTCTGGCAATTTCGCGCGGAAAAAAATGATTTTTTGTGGAAAAATTACCCTCGACGGTAGAAATAGACAAGAAACTTTTCATGAAAAAATTTGCAAAACCTGGAAATCTTGGCCACTTCTGCAAAGCGGAAACTGAAAAAAAATTGTCTCTTAAAAAAGTAATCTAAATTTATGCCAAGTTTCATAAAAATTTAAGCTTTCCACAAAGTTTTGTTCCTTTATTAGACAGCGGAGATATCTTACACGACTTTTTTTCTATTTATTTTGAAGTCTTAGAATTCAATTGTTCAAAAATTCCTCCTTTGCCATTCAAAACCTGTTTATTGCCCCTTGGACACTAATGCATTATTAGTCCGTCCGGAAAACCTCAGGAATGAATTTTGGCACTGCAAAAAGCAACAAATTGCACAGTGCAAAGTCAACTTTGGTTTTTGCACAGTGCATGTCGCTGAAATCGCTCCAGCGACGTTGCGAACGGACTAGTACATCCTCACCATCTTTTGTGCCTCATATGTCCCTATAACACGATTAAATCGCCGGCAGCGCCTTTGAACTTTACGTTATGGCTCCTCTAACAGCTATTCAACTCGTTTTATCTTGACAAAAATGATCTAATAAAAGAAACGAAGGGCCTTTATGCAAATATTGTCCTCTTCTTTTATTTCCTTTGACCTTCGGCGAAAGGAAATATCCGAATTTGAGGTAATTATAAAGAGAGTTCCAAATATATTTATTATTTTATAATTGGAAGGGAATTAGAAGATATTTCAGGTAATTTTAGAAGAAAAATTGACTAAACTCAATGAATAACATCACAAGGGCTAAAAAAATTTTTGTTACATTAGTATCAGTCTGTCGGGAAAATAATGTGGATTCCTCGGGTCCTGGAATCGCCCGTCATCGGTCTGCGACGGCTAGCCGCGGCTGGGAATTTGGTGCTGCGACGAGACGAGACATTTAGCTGCGTCGAATCCTTATTATTTTCCCGACAGACTGTATTATTCATATCGCCAATGCACAGTGCGTTTTTTCTTTTTCCACAGTGCAAACCTCAAAAAAGCCGTTTGCGCTGTGTGAATTCCTGACGCCGCCGCAAGCAACGTAGTTGAAACTTCCTTACGTCGCAGCGATCAAAAAAAAAAAAAAAAAAAATGAAATGCACGGTGTAAAAAGGGGTTTTTTGTGCATGGTGCGGGCCGCAACAAAATGCCCATGCATAGTTTATTTGACGGACTTTTTGAGAACGTAATGCAAAAGACCAAACTCGAAAAAACAGTTAAGTTCAAGTCGGATGACCAGTAGGACCCATATCATTTCAGGGATAAAAGTACGACAAAAAATACTGCTAAAACAAACATTGTCCCTCCGAATGTTCTTTTTTGCAATATTTGAAAAAGAAAAGACCCTGCGGGCATATGAATGTCCATATAAATGTTTGCAGGGTTTTACGTTTTTGCGCTTCCGGTGGTCTCAAAAAAATTCGTGCGTAAAAGAAAATTTTTTGAAAAATTATTTTGTCGTGTACAGGATGGTTAATCCAAAAATTTTCAATCTGAACTCTACCAGTAAGCCATTAGTCTGTTAGGAAAATAATGAGCACAATGACACACGCCTATCGCGTTGCTGAAGTGAAAAGAAATTTGATTTTGCCGCGACACAATTCATTTTCTGCGGTTTTCAATATAGCTCATTATTTTCCCGACAGACTGATATCCCGTTTTCCAATCCTAAGTTCAACTTTCCCTTAGGCTACACTTTGCAGTGCAAGTTACCTTGATAAGCGTAAAAAAGCAGCCAACAAAAACGCAACATTCGTTTGTCGTAAATCGTGAAACTGGCGCCCTCAGAGAGCATAAAATCCCCTCCTCAAAAAACGGGTATTCAATTTCATTTCGAGGGGGGCGATAAAACTGCATTTGAGGACCGGAATTAACTGGCCGAATGCCAGCTGGTCGCGCTTTAAATTCCGCCCTTTCTTCCCCATTCTAATTTCGAGGCCATTCGTTGATGGCGTTCCGAAAACGGTTTCAAAACGTTTAAGAAACAATAAAGCGGAAATCTCGTGCTGTGAGCCGGTTTACAGCCATGACCCGGGGATTCGAGTGCAGCTGGAGGTCCGAGGCTGGAAAGTTTGCGCTGAAACTTCGATGTAAAGAGTTCCTGTACCACAACTCTGCGTACAATAAATGGCTTTAGAGGTTTCAAGAGGCAATGTTACACAGGAAGAGTGCCAGATTTTCATTAAATTCTGCACACATTTTGGTATAAGCTCCATATCAATTCACAAAAATTTTACCGAGATATTCAACGGTCATTGAGACCGAGAAAGTACGCGAAAACCTTTTTCCTTGCGGACACACTGGGAGTTCCCATTTCAGTAAAAAAAGAGACCTCGACTGAAAAAAATAAAAAATAAAAATCTCTAAAATGCGATTTCCCAGGAAAAAATATCAAAAAATTATTAAAAGTTATGCAAAATGCGCAGTCTTGCCTATATAAGGACCAACCTTTCTGGAAAAAATCTGTTTGTCAACAAATCGTGAGTACCGGTGTGAAGGTAGAACTGGAGAAATGGTCAACGAAACGGAGCAGAGGAAGGTGCTGCCATGCTGCCGATACCAAAGTCTCCAGTTCCCAGTTCGTTGCAAAGTACAAATCCCATTGCGCGATGTCACCAAGCGAGGAGCCGATGGCCATTGGCAGTGGAGCAAAAATGGCCAAGAAGGTAAAACGGCCACAGTCCCCCAGAGAGTTCTTCAGGTAAGTTAGTGCCACCGTAAAAGACCCTTTTTCAGAAACGACAGGCGACTGGAAGAGGTGAGGCGGCTATACGTTGACCTCTACAATCTTCTGGACCGTCTCTATAAGGCACAAACCAAAGCTGAAAAAAAGCATACGCTAGATTAGCCTCAGTTCTCTTGCTTATCACTTGTAAAGAACTCCAAAGGACATCGAAAAATAACATCGAAAGGGGCATGTTGGCGTTAGAGCCAAAATTTTCATACACTTGATTCTTCTCTATAAAAGTCACGGATCTCGTCATTTTCCAATCACTTTTTCCTTCCGCTGGTGTGCGAATAAACATAATCTCCTTGATCTTGCCCTCTCTGACCGGTCGGACCCACGTCTCCTACTCTTCTCGTCTGGTCATCCAGCTTACAAGTTTCATAAAAATTAAGCAATTATATACATCGTATTTTAATATTTTTTTTGTTGCTTTTTTTCGTAATATTGTTTACTACAACTGCAAAAAATCAGTGTTATTGCAATTGATTTTCCTGATCGTTTCGATCCAATCCTTTGTCGCCTTTCGATCCTTTGTATTGTGAAGCGCAATCACTGTCGGTATCTTCCCATTTAACGAGCACTTTTCGTAATCAATTTCGTCCGGCTCCGAGCAAATTCCTGGCCAATTGAGCAGAGGGATCGTCGTATTTCGGCGCACAATTCCTGTAATGAACGCGTCGTCCATGTGGACCAAGTTCATGTCTTTCATCGTCTCCGAAATAAGCTTAACTGTGTCGTTGGTGGTGATTATGAAGTAGCCGTAGCAATAGGTGGGCCAGTTTGGCTCCGGGAATTCGGATTCCGGAACATACCTAGAACGGGATTTTTAGTGAGAAAAGATAAACCGAGATCTCTGTACAACGAATTGCAAGGAAGAAAAAAGTTGTTTTTCATAGAAACTCCTTAGTCTGATGACTTTCAAATTGTTTGTAATCAGTCTTTCGGGAAAAGAATGAGCACTCTGTCGCAGCGGAAATTGCATTGCCGCCAAGAAAATGAACCGTGTTGCGGCGAAGTCAGACCGCTTTCTCTTCCTTGATCGGCACAGCGACGTGTTCTCATTATCTTTCCGACAGACTAGATGTACGTTGGCTACTGTAACTTCCTTCGCCCTAAAAAGTCCTTACCAGTCACTCCCCTTGTTCCTCAACGGATAATACCCGTACATTCCGTGACACAAAAAGTATTCGCTGCCATTCGACGTGAACCCATCGAACCCAACATCCAGCCATTCGAATACTCGTCCAAAATCCGCCGTGACGTCATCGTCCATTTTCACAAAGTGTTTGACATTCGGGCAGTATTTCATGTGGTATTCGTGCATGCTGTACCATTTCACGTAATTTTCGCGATACGTCTCGATGTGGTCGTAGTAGACGATGTCGTTGTATTTCATCATCTCCGCCGCTAGCGACATGAACTCGTCTTTTTTGTTGTCGCCAATGAAGAAGCGGAAAAGAACCGAGCGGTTGGTCTGAAAAAGCGAAACATTTTGCCGCGAAAAATCCATATTATTTTCCCGACTGACTGATATAACAAACGATTTCAGAGGTCCTAAGAAGCGAATTCGCCGTATTTTAAACTCACCGTTTTGCTGATAATCTGTCGTATTGTCTGCCGACGGTGAAACGAATCCTTGTCGTTCATAGTCATTGAATATACCACCATCTCCACTCCATCGCATTCACTTTTGTTCCTCGGAACGGTCATATTGTAATTGAATTGGGTACTTCCAATCTTCAAATTGATAGGTTCCATTTTGATAGAGTCCACGTAGTCTTGTATCAAGTCCTCTAAGGTCGGCACTGGATTGTTGTCGGGGACGGTTAAGTAGGAGGTTGAATATATGGCAAATTGAGGGCTGCTGGTTATGTAGATTACTGAGCTTGCAAAGACTAGGAAAGCTGAAATAATGGTATTTCAAAAGTAAGCAAAATTGCCCAGCAATTGACTATTACATGTGTCGTTTTCTGTCGGGAAAATAATGAGTACTCTGTAGCATCGAAAATGGCATCGCCGCTGAGAAAATGAATTGTGCCGCAGCAAAATCAAATTGCTTTTCACTTCAGAGACGCGAATGGCGCAGGGACTTTGTGCTCATTATTTTCAAGACAGACCGATAGCCAACAAATGATAATACGGCTGAACTGCAACCTACCGAAAAAAGATAGGGCCAAAAGTTTGCTGTGATTTCGAGCACATTCTTTGACGCCGCTTTGCAACTCCGATTTCTCGGACTTGTCATCCAACATGGTGTAGTGCTAAAAACACTTCATTTTGGTAGGAATAATTCATGCCAGGGAGAAATAGGACCACAGCATGGACAAAGTAAAATTCAAGGACCCTCGTGTACAAAGCTTTAAGGAAGTTGAGTTGGATCGATTCAAATAAGGCACCGCGCAAACGAAAATATCATTTGATTAAAAAATTACGCCTCCATACCACAAAAAGGTCACTAAGAAGGCAATAGAGGGTCGTAAATACTCAACGCAACAATTACGAATTAGTCTTTTGTTACAGCCGCGTTACAGTTCATCACAGTGGACCTGAAACCACATAAAACTTGTGTTCTTTTGGCCTCACATAAAATCTTTTGCGAAAAGAAAAAATCTACCGTGCGTTGGCGACAACCACGGGATGTCTGCAAAAAATCGCGGCGACGGAGTTGAAAACATTGCGCTTAAATTCCACAGTGAAAAAGGAGTTTTCACTGTTAAAGCAAGCCCTCAAAAGTTAATTATAACAAAATCAACCGGTGACAAAATATCGCAACAAAACACTCAACGAATGTTCTTCAAATCCACAACGAGTTGTAGTCCCGTACAGGAAGCAAAATATATATATCCCCTTTGATTTCATGTACTAACGGCCCGCCGCAGCTAGGTCAACATGTTTTTACACAAAACATAGTCATGTCATCCTAATTGTTCAATTTTATGCAAAGAATTTGTGCACCCACGCTGACATAAACCTTCAAAATGGGTGATATCACAAGGCAGATCGGTAACTATTTGTCTTAATATGAGTTCAGGAGACATTCGAATCATTGAGCGGATGGTTAAACAAAAATAGATGGCTTTTCGTATCCGTTGGCATTGCACAAGTTAGAGCGCAAAAACGAAAATTCTGCAGCCAGAGCTTTGCTGAAACGCCGATATTTTTAGGGCAAAATTTGGCAGCAATGTGGCGCCTTTTTGCGACTTTTGGCATGAATAGTTTCATACCAGCAAGAATGGTACGCACGAGAACTAAAAATTTATAAATCGCGCTTTGCAGAAACCACCTAGATTTTTAAATTGAAAAAAAATAATTTTTCTACACGAAACTGTTAAAGATATGAGGAAAAAACCTTTTCTGTCTCTGACCGCACTCCGGATTTTGTGTGCTCTCTCTCTCTGCTGCAAAGGCAACAGGCCAGAGCGATGGCTAGCCCGCATATACTCAATAAAGCTTTAACTCGCGCTCTGCAGGTGCAGCCAAAATATGCAACGCGGCCGAGAGAGCACGCGAAACCTGGAGAGCGGTCAGTGAAAAAAAAACTCTTTTTGGCCGTATTTTCGTCAGTTTCTTTCTGCCCTATAGGGTAGAAACGGGTATACAACTTTTTATTCAATTCTATAACACGTTGTAGTCGCTAGAAAAGAAACAAAATATATATATTCCTCCCGATTTCATGGCTCACCGCAGCTGAATCAACATGTTTCTAACAATGTCGTTTTACGTGTTTTCAATTTATGCAAAAATTCCTGCACCGACACTGATTGCAGTTGCATAAATCTGGGATTTGAGAAGGCAAGTCAAAAGGGGCGATAGTAGACCGTTACCTGGTAAATGTGGCTGGATTTGAGTTCAGAGGAGAGCTCGGACCATAGAGCGGATGATTAAACAAAAAGATGTGGCTTTTCGTATCCGTTGCGCTGGCACAAGCTACAAAAATGAAAATTCTTCTACAGCCCACGTTTTGCAGAAACGCCGAGGTTGGAGAGGGAGGCATTTTGCCACATTTTTTTAAACTTTTCAGATGCAAAATAGTACGTTTTTCGCCACTGGATCAGGTCCGCCACTGTAGTGCATTCTTATAAAAATTTTTTATTACAGTCGCGGACCTGATCCAGTGGCAAAAACTTACCATTCTGCATCCGGGAAGTATCAAAAATGCTGCAAAATACCTCCATCTCCAACTAAAAAGCACCTTCGTTTTGACGGTCCCTCACAAAAATAGCGGGAGTGGTTTTGAAAATGGAGTCTTTTTACTTGGAGAAGGAGGTATTTTGCTACGTTTTTGATACTTCCCGGATGCAAAATGGCACGTTTTTTGGCATTCGGTCAGGTTTGCCACTGTAGCTCGAAAAAGGTTTTAAAAAATTTTCAAAGACACAGCAACTGCTGCTAGTTCAACCCACCGTTTCTTTAGTCATCGTTCGGTATATCAATGCAAAATATAATATTTTCTCTTCGTATCTTTGACTTCAATAATACAACTTGTCTTTTTGCTAGTAATAAGCTCAATATACAGGGCCAGAGCCATGTTTAAATCCAACGTGCAGAAAACACTTTATTACCACAATCACAAACAATGTTGATATATAAACGTGGTCACAGAAGTTCTTGCATTCGATCTTCGCCGATGAGGCGTAAACCACTGCAAAAATCGATGTGCAGCGATTTGGAAAACCCAGTGTCAACAAACTTGCGAATCTGAGAAAAATCAGTGCGGACTTAATAGCCCTGCACTGATTTTCAGAATTCAGTGCATTTTTAATAAGTCAGTAATGATTTTCTAAATTCAGTGCATTTTTAATAAGTCAGTAATGATTTTTGAAATTCAGTGCATTTTTAATAAGTCAGTAATGATTTTTGAAATTCAGTGCATTTTTAATAAGTCGGCACTGATTTTCAAAATTCAGTGCTGAGTTTAGAGAAGCTCCGCCCCCCTTTCTGCAGCGAATCAGGAGGCAGCTCTAGAAAATTGTCTCCGCCTTCTTGAACTAGGCCTTGCACCATTCAATTTTGAGGTTAAATTAGCCGTTTTTTTTGGGGTTTTCAGATATTCAACATGGTAAATATATACTTTTATCCTTCTAAACAACAACAATCAAAAAACGATTTCAAAAATATATAACGAGTTCCCAAAAACAAATAATAAATAAATTAACGCTATAAAAAGAAGCAACTACACTAAAAGTTCTACCAGAATTGAATTCTACTTAAGAGATAATCTAAATAATATTAAATGGAACGACTGGTTGAAGGGGCAGCTGACGTACGGGTACCATCGGATGTTCGGGGCTGGCTGTGTCTTTTGGCTGGTTCCTGGTAATTGACTGGGACGTATCCCCGTGTGTACTTCTTCTTCAGTCCATTCAGCGACCAGAAGTCGGGGTGCACCATCACATTATTCTTCGATGCGGGGACCAGGTTGTTGTTCAATGTGTCGCCTAAAACCACATTATTTTAACGGTTACCACTTACTTTCTTCTTTGCCTATTGTCGATCGAAGAACATTGATTTAGAGCCTCTTCCACGAGCTGTTTTTGAGGAGAAATTGCGATTTCCCGAATGGCTTCTAGCTGTTCTGTAATTTCTGAAGGAATTTCGAGTTTGTTCACATCATTTTCAAGAGATGAGCTGGGTTCTTCGGCTTCTTCCGACGGATTTTCCTAAAAAAAATGAGATTTATTGCCAAATCCAGTAATTTCTAGGTCACTAATGGCTGATTTCCACTTTTATTAAACTTCAAAAGCTCAAGGCTTTAATTTCACGCCTTATACTAGAGCATCAAGAAACTTTTCTACTTCTTTTTCAATTTTCATACCTAAATTTCAAGAACAATAAGAAAAACATACCTGATCGTCGCTGAAACCCAACTCAACGTTCAAACTCGCTTCAATTTGGTCCTCAAAATCTGATGTGTCGTCTTCCGTGCGCAGGATCTCGTCGGATTCCACAGGGTCAACTGGGTTGTTCCATCAGCTACCTAAAAAATAAGAGCTAAAAAGTTATATTGTGGTAAAATTTGCCACGAAAGTCGTAAAAAATACTGTGCTTGTTCCATCAGCTACCTAAAAAATAAGAGCCAAAAAGTTATATTGTGGCAAAATTTGCCACGAAAGTCGTAAAAAAAAATACTCTGCTTGTTCCATCAGCTACCTAAAAAATAAGAGCCAAAAAGTTATATTGTGGCAAAATTTGCCACGAAAATCGTAAAAAAATACAAGTTTTGGGCCTAAAAATTACGAAATGATCCGCAAGGACTTGATCCGTGTTTTGTGTCTCGCAGGGAAATTACAGGATTTGTTTGACTCACACTCTTTTCTTTTGCTGGCTTTTTTTATCTTTTTTCGCGAAGTTTTGTCGCTTGGGTCCTCTGACTGATTTGGGTATTATTTTCAGCTGGGAATGATTTTTATTGGTGTTGATTTGCTCCGTCTGCTTTTACTGCATGCGACAGATGAATATTTGCGCCCCATTTTGTCTGTTCAAGGTAAGTATTTGAATTTTTCTTCTGTTTTTAGGCTTCTTCGAGGAAAACTAACGATAAATTTAGCAGAAAAAATATTTTTTGGTCGGCAGACACCTAAAATATTTGCTTTCCAGAAACGGACGAGATGCAATCGATTATGGAAATATTATGCGAGGTGCGTTCGAAGCGGGCCCGTCGTGGATCAGACATCGCGGATAATTCTTCAAACAACTCGTCAACTGCAATGTTTTCATCGCTCAACTCGGCTTCTGTTGTGTGTGTTTCGTCTTCATGGCGGACAATTTGGAGGATTTCTTCCGGGAGAATGTTGGTATCGTCCTTCCAAAGTCCGTCTGGATGGTTTTCATCTGCATTCCGGTGCTGGGCTTCTGTTCCATTCGAAAGCTCTCGAAATTGGGGCCATTCGCAACCGCAGCCAACGTGATTTACTTGGGCGCAGTGGCGATTGTGGTATATTTCTTCTCCAGCAACCTGAAATCGACGGATGAGCTGACGACATGAGGAGAATTGCGGGATTTGCCACTGTTCTTCGGCACTGTGATGTTCGCCTTCGAAGGTGTTTCGGTGGTAAGTTGGGTTTGAAATTTTTGATTCCGCCTTTAGATCATCGAGAATCGAATGCAATGCCGGCAGAATTTTATTCAGTGGAATGGAGTGCTGCAACCTTCTTGAGGAAGCCACAATCGGAGAAGTGAATGAAGTAAGTCATTAATTTCCATTTTATTATTGCTTAGGTTCAGTTTTTGCATAATGATGTCGTATTTTAGCAGACTCCAATTTTGGAACCATTTGGAACCAGTCAACGACCCACACCGCAATTTTCCAACAGTGGACTTGGAAGCAGAAACCAGTTTGGAGAGCGTCCTCGGTTCCAATCCTCCAATCCAATGTTTGGAGGAAGCCGACCATTGGAAACCGATCGTCCATCCACGTCGGGACATCGCCAACGGCCAACGACTCAACCCCAACTGGAAGACGATGTGTTTGATGAGGAGAAAGAACGATGGAAACCGTAAAACATCTTGTATTATGTCTCGAAGATAAACTTTCTATAGGATACGGGTTTATTTTTTACATTAGCAACTGGTCATGATTCCAGTAAAGAAAACATAGAAATCATCTTGCTTCCAGTTTCACTTTTGTTGATTCTCCTTCCAAGGATGGAAGTTGTCAAAAAATCTGGATTCTGTTTTATTTGAAAGTATAAGGTGCTTCATAAACCTCATTAGTGGCTACAACGGAGCACGGAGTGAAATCCGCAAAAAAACGGCGTTTTTCTAACGCCTTTTGCGTTCATTTTGAGAGCTGTTACCTGATTGGCTCCAGAAAAAGGGGGCGGAGCTCCGGGTCTAAGTCAGCACTGAATTTCGAAAATCAGTGCCGACTTATTAAAAATGCACTGAATTTGAAAAATCATTACTGACTTATTAAAAATGCACTGAATTTCAAAAATCATTACTGACTTAAAAAAAATGCACTGAATTTGAAAAATCATTACTGACTTATTAAAAATGCACTGAATTTGAAAAATCATTACTGACTTTAAAAAAATGCACTGAATTTTAAAAATCATTTCCGACCCAAAATTAACCCTGCACTGGGTTTTCCAAATCATTGCACATCGATTTTTGCAGTGGTTTACGCCTCATCGGCGAAGATCGAATGCAAGAACTTCTGTGACCACGTTTATATCGTTAATATATAGAGTATAATAAATAAATTACGTCGCAAAAACTTGAAATCATGTCCTAAAAGATACTATAATAGTCTCAAATCACCGTGTCAGGTCTCAGCACTCCAGCGTCCGCATATCCTCTATCCATCCCTTCGCCAACTCCCTATGCGTTACATTATGCACAACGAAGAAGGAGTGAATCGTGTCCAACAGGTCGCAGTTCTCGTAGCTCACGTGCTCCGGCTGCGAGAAGATGCCGTGCCAGTTGATGATGGGGATGGACAGGTTTTTGCGCACAATCCCGGTAATGAATGCGTCGTCCATGTGGACCAGGGAGATGTCTCTCATCCCATGTTGAACCGAGGCGATTGTTTCGGTGGTGGTGAGAACGAAATAGCCATAACAGTAATTGGGCCACCAGCGGCGTGGGTATTCGTCCCAGGAAATGTACCTGAAAAAAGTAATTTTTGAAATCGACCGGTCGAATAAAGAGTTTTTTATCAGTCTGTCGAGAAAATAATGAGCATTCTGTCGCATCGGAAATCGCATCGCCGCCGAGAAAATGAATTTTATCGCGACAAAATCAAATTGCTTTCCAGTTCAGCCACGCGATTGGCGCAGGACATTTTACTTATTATTTTCCCGACAGACCGATGAAAAACGATTTAAAAAATAAATGTACATATAGATAACAGCCAGCTCCTAAAATTTCGTTCGAGGTTTGCCGGGAAAGCCGAGATAATTAGCAATCTTTGCAGGCAAGAGAGCACGCGGAAGGTGGAGATCGGGCAGGGACAAAAACTCTGCTGCCATATCTTTGTCGGAGCTGAATTGGCCCTGGATCACTCTGTCGGGAAAATAGTAACCGGAATGCCTTTCGCAATATAAGGCAATATATGGCTCGGGATTAATGACTCCGTCGAGAAAATAATGAACACTGTCGCATCGAACATCGTGCTGAGGCTAGTTTATCAGTCTGTCGGGAAAATAATGACCACAATGTTGCATCGAAAAACGCATTGCCGTCGAGAAATTGAATTGTGTCGCGGAAGTTTCTTTTCCTTTCAGCGACGCGATTGGCGCAGCGACAGAGTGCTCATTATTTTCCCGACAGACTGATATTTCCCTATTTTTGATCATTGCTCTCTTGCAAACCTACCATCGATCGCCCAGCTTCCTGTACGGCTTGTAGCCCCTCATCTCCTGGCACAAAAAGTACTCGGTGTGATTGGTCAGCAGCCCACCGAAATCCAGGTCGAGCCACTCGAAGAAGCGCCCGTAATCCACCGCCACATCATGGTCCATTTTGATTACATGCGTGACGTTCGGACAATGCCGTAAATGGTACTCGTTTATCGTGTACCATTTGGCGTAATTTTCGCGGTACGTGTCTTTGTGGTCGTAGTAGACAATATCGTTGTATTTTTGCACTTCCGGAATGAGAATTGTGAGGTTGAGATCGTCGGATTTGCCGAGGAAAAAGCGGAAGATGATGGAGCGGTTGGTCTGAAATTACTGTGTGTCAAACTCCTATCAGTCTGTCGGGAAAATAATGAGCACAATGTCGCTGCGCCAATTGAAGTCGCTGAAGTGAAAAGAAATTTGATTTTACAACGACACAAGGACCGACCTCCCCCAGAATTGTTGGTCAGCTATGCTGGCAAATTACGCGTCGCAAAAATGTAGGGTACCCTCTATTTTTAAACCACCTCTATTGGAAAGGCTATCAGTCTGTCGGGGAAATAATGAGCGCAATGTCGCTGCGCCGATCGCCTCAAGTGAAAAGTAACCTGATCTTGCCGCGACACAATTCATTTTCTCGGCGTCGATGCGACAATGTCTACCTTTGCTACATATATCAGGTCTTCATCAAGTTGGTGACCTACGTCGTGACCAAGGTCTTGGTGGTTTCTTTTAAAATCATCAAAAAAATTGCTACACTGGTTGACTATGGCAAGATTGACTATGGTACCTATGATAGGTGAGGTTATGACCGACCTCGTAACCTAGGTCGTGATTGAGTTCAAGGTGGTACACATAAAATTACGTAAAAATTGTCCCATTATTTTACTAGAAAGGTCAAGACTTCTTTGTTTGCTCAGGTCGTCATAGAGCTGGCGACCTATGTCGTGACTATGGTCATCAATAGTTGTGACCTGACCTAAAGGCGTCAAAAACCTCCATATCAATATGCGGACTCATTTTCAGAATAGTGATTCAGATTTCTTTTGCTTGCAACTTATCGCTCCTTTTTTTTGGGTAAAGATGAAGAGAAAAGATCAAGGAAATGAAGTTTCCGAAAACTTTGTTTGCATGCCACAACCCTCATCCCCCGCAGAAAGCGGAATCGGCGAAACATCGCTACCCTCCTAATCTTGATCTCCGGGAAGCAAGCGCAAACTACAGGGAACAAGTGAGTTTGTGTCCGCCATCAGTCTGTCGGGAAAATAATGTGGATTCGTAGCGCCTTGGAATCTCCGTCATCGCTTTGCGACGGCTAGCAGTGGCTGGAGATTTGGTGTGCGATCGTGTCGAAGAATTTTACCGCGAAAAATCCACATTATTTTCCCGACAGACTGATACTAGGCAGACCAATAAGTGGGGCAAAAAAAGTGCCGTACGTTGACGAGCAATATTTGAGTGCCTATGCAAAGCGCGGACTAAGATTTTCCGGGATTGCTGGGTGAGATATCCAACGGTATTTACCGCCTAGAGAAGCGAAAAGCGGGAAGCGCTCACAGAGAAAAACACTCTTGGCCGCCTTTTTGTGGATTTGTCTTGGTAAAATGTCTCATCTCGTCGCATTCATCACCAAATCTCCAGCAGCGACTGCCCATTGCAACGCGATGACAGCCGGGAAGAGTCCACATTATTTTCCGACAGACTGATAGACAGAACACTCTCTATCCTTACTCACCGTACGCCGCAGGACTTCTCGGACAGTCTCCCTCCTCTCAAATGACTTCTCATCCCCCAGAGTCATCGTGTAGACCACCACCTCCACTCCATTGCATTGATTTGGATCCACCGGGATGCTCATGTTGTACGAGAACTCTGTGTCGTTGATTTTGAGGTCAATCTGCTCCATTTGAAAAAGCGCTTCGAATGGAGCAATGTCGAGTGGAGTTTTTGGCAAAAAGAGTTTACCAAGCAACGTATACACAGTAGAGGCATTGGAAATTAGCAGGACAAAGCAGATGATTGCGCCTGGAAAAAGCTATGTCAGTCTGTCAGGAAAATAATGAGCACCCTGTCGCAGCGAAAATCGCATCGCCGCAGGGAAAATGAAAGAAAATCAAATTGTTTTTTACTTCAGCGACGCGATTGGCGCAGCGACATTGTGTTCACTACAGTATGCGTCATAATTATAACCGCACTTTTAAAATGAGTGTAACTTTTGTGATTGTGAATAGAAATGTGTCATGTTTGGCACCAATGTGCATCAGTGTACTAGAAATGATGTCCCAAAAAATCATTTTCAAGAGTTTCCGTATTTTAGAGAAAAGCTGCAAAAACCAAAATTATGATACTTTTCGGTGTCGCAAAATTATAACCGCACTTGCGAATTTGGGGTATTACCCTAATAAAAACACAGGATATCAATAACTGATGTTTAGTTACGCTTCCTGAGGCCTCAATAACGCCCATCACACGACCCGAAACCCTCTGGGCAAATTTTTTTGGCGCATACTGACCCATCTTGTCCCTGAATCGGAAAACGGCAGATTTTCGCTCAGTTAGACCGTTGGGCTCAAGTTGTGAGGAACTTCCTGGTCGTCTCGGAAGCCTTTAACAAATCTAAATGTTATGGCAGACAAAAGTTGACCACTGCTTCTGGTTGAAGAGAAATAATCCGCCGGACTTCTAACTCCACCATCTCTGGGGTTCACTTAAATCAAGAACTGAGCTTCATTAGTAGCGGAAGCACCGTGCTGAGGGTCGCAAAACACAGCGACGTCATCATAAGGTATTATGTGAAGCTCTGACCCCAGCTGACCCCGGTTTACGGCAATCCACAGCCGAAATTTGCCAAGGAGACATTCACAACAGAGGTTGATTAGTGGAAGGTCGCTGAAACCGACGTTAGACCGTTGCAATACCATATTCCTTGTGGATTGCGTAGTCACACGATGCCCTGACGGTTTTACATACCAAAGGCACGACATTAAAAACGTATCGAGTCGCTTCTCGTGTCGTAATTATAGAGGCCGCCCGTTGATGACTTCGGGCGCCTTCAAAAAAGCCGGAGGCCTTCCGTCCGCGGCCACGGCAACTCAAATGAATAGCTTCGAGTACTACGAAGTCTTAGGCGAACATCTGGAGCCGTATTGGCAATCTGGCTCTACTTTTGTTCGAGAATGCCCACGTCAACCGTAGAAGGTCGACATACCAGTTCCTTTGACAGCAAGGCATTTGCCACCATAGACTCGCTCGCATATTCCCTGGGTTTAAATCCGATAGGAAACTTGTGGGGCCCCCTCGCCCGTTGATTACATCGCTACAACAAGCGGTATTCCAAGCGAAAATCTGCCGTTTTCCGCTTCAGGGACAAGATGGGTCAGTATGCGCCAAAAAAATTTGCCCAGAGGGTTTCGGGTCGTGTGATGGGCGTTATTGAGGCCTCAGGGAGCGTAACTAAACATCAGTTATTGATATCCTGTGTTTTTATTAGGGTAATACCCCAAATTCGCAAGTGCGGTTATATTTTTGCGACACCGAAAAGTATCATAATTTTGGTTTTTGCAGCTTTTCTCTAAAATACGGAAACTCTTGAAAATAATTTTTTGGGACATCATTTCTAGTACACTGATGCACATTGGTGCCAAATATCACACATTTCTATTCACAATCACAAAAGTTACACTCATTTTAAAAGTGCGGTTATAATTATGACGCATACTGTATTTTCCAGACAGACTGATAGGGGAATTGTAACAAGTGCGACGCTCAGATGTGGATGAAACTTGGAAAAAATTTAGAGTGATTTTTTACAAGACACATCCAAGATTTCTAGCTTGCGCTTTGCAGAAACAACCGAGATTTTTTGGTTGAAAGTAAAAAATGTGTAATCTTTTTGCAAATCTGGCCATAAAAACGTTTATTTTTATTTTTTTCTATTTCTAGGTAGTAATGTTTCGTAGCATTGCCAACTATAATACTTCGCCCGCACAGTGAAAAAAGGTGTTAAGATCTTTTGAAAAAAAAACTTTGGCCTCCCCGGTATCTCTGCTGCGAATGCAAAGCGCAAGCTATAATTTGAAAAAATTGACATGTGGCCATGTGGCCTATTCCCGACGTGAGGGCAAAAACAAAAGAAAATCTAAGCGTCGCTCCTCACTACAACCCAGGGAGTCTCCCGCCTCGTTGCGGCGCTTCGCCTACCTAGTATCGGTTGAATTCAAACGAAATTTCAAAAATGAATTTTTCGGCTTCGTGGAAATTGGACAGGGTGAAATTGGACAGATTTTTTTCACTGCAAAAAATGATTATTTGATGATTCAATAGTGACATTTCGTACGAGAAAAATCTGTCCAATTTCACTCTGTCCAATTTCCACGAAGCCAATTTTTCGTGTGGTTTTCCGACCGAAAAATATTTTTTTCGGAATTATTTTATTTCGTTTGTGAATTTTGACACTTCGTTTGGACGAAATTCAAAAGTGGGCGGGAGACATTTTTGTTCTATTTTGGGTTGCCGTGCACCTTCTCAAGTTCTAAATTTGACCTACCCGCAACAAGAGCACACCACCTCTTCCGCACCATGCCTCCGGTCCAACGTCTGGCCCGCATGTCCAGGGGTCGAACAAACTCAATTTTGGTTTTCATGACTAGCAGATTCGGAGGTCCATAATCTCCGGAAAATTGCAAAAAAAACAAACAAGGCGTTCAGTCGTTTTGGTTTTCACCGTCGCTTCCAAAATACGGCCGCTCAAACAAAGCAAAGGTTTCAGCGGAATACGGAACCGATCAGATGTGTAAACAGCGGCGCGCAGATGAAGCTGTAGCCTAGTGTTCAGCGGGGCGTGCACGGCTTATATACGTATGGGCGGCGGTTGGCACGCAATCTAGCAAAAGTTGTCGTGGATATCAAACAAAATCAGCGCGATAGCGATCCCTAAACCGCTTCCGCCTAGCAGCGCACCCGGTCAACGTCGGTGCAGCGAGAAAGCAAGGGGAGAATTGGAGAGGGCCCGAGGAACAGAGGGCCGTTTTGCAGGGCTTGAGGATTCCGCGCGAGGGTTTCAATTTTTTTCAAATTTTTTCGTACGTATCTCGCCGATGTGTGCCGTAGGCGGACAAACTTTTTGCTGATCTTTTTTTCTGAGTGCAGAGAGATAAAATTTAAGGGAAGGCGGCGCTTCACAGGTCGCAATTGAGGAGGAAACGGAGTCCCGGGGGAAAACATGATCACACTTTTTTCACAACACATAATTTAGATGCCTGCAAAAAAGAATTTTTGTGGCCTTCAGCGACATATAATCAGCACAGTGAAAATGAAAAATGCTCTGTGCAATTTTATATTTTTTTGAAAGAATTCTGTCGATTGCGACGTCAAGATTTTGTGCTCAAAGGGCTATGTATCAACACGAAAGTTGTCATGTTTCCACTTATGAAAGTGTCCAAAAAATTGACAGCTTTTTTTGGACACTTTATCAATGACGGTTTTTTGGACGAGGTCAGAGGAAAGGCGAAATATTGCGTAAAATGAAGAGATTTTCTATCTCGAAGCTGACTGATTTGATCTTTTTCGTTTTAGGCTCAAAAACCCGCCTTGTTCCAAACTACAGTGGGGGCCTGGTCCAGGGGCAAAAAACGTACCATTTTGCATCCGGGAATTATCAAAGATGTGGCAAAATACCTCCAACTACAATAGAAAAACTCGAAGGGCCGCCATTTCCCTCAAAAAAGAGATAGTGAGCTTTTGAAATCGGAGTTTTTTCACCTGGAAAGGGAGGTATTTTGCTGCATTTTTGATACTTCCCGGATGCAAAATGCCACGTTTTTTGCCACTGGATCAGGTCTCCCACTGTATGTTTCCATCAAACTTCAAACAGGGGCGAGGGAAACGCTTGGAGAAATCGGCAAAATCCCAACATGTTTTAGACGTTGTTATATAGTTCAGGCTTCAACCAGATAGAAGACGACCGATTTTTTATTTGAAACATATATGGTGAGGTTAGGCAGGAGTCCAGCTTCAAATTTATGTGTGCAATAAACCCATCCTAGCCCATCTTCCATGAGTAATCAGGTTATCCTTGGAGCAAAAAGCTATCTTTGAGCTAAAAAATCTTCATTCAGGAGAAAGGTTGGTTGATCAAGCTCTGAAAATCCAAATTTCCCCAGATGTTGAACTTTTTTTGAAATTTGCATAAACGGAGTTGTCAAAGGAAGAATTGATTTCCCCATGGGAAGGTTGCAACGCATGTGAAAAGGAAGTCTACCTTCCCGTTCCCCATTCATTTTCTCACAAACGCATCGAGATGGACGGTTGCCATCCCGCTCTGTTCCTGCTGATGATCGTCAACGTTGATGTTCTGCAAGGTCAAGAAGAGAGAGGTTGCGCACAGCACTACTCAGTTAATGGAAACAACCGCACTAAGCCGGTGTGCAAGAAAGACGAGATTTGCGTCGAACTGGGTGTGAAGAACTTCACCGTTTACGTGGAGGACCATAGTGTAAGTGTGACACACGAGACCAAAAAATAGCAAATAGCCTAAGCGCTGATCTACTTCATAATGATTTTAAGGCCAACCAACTAGCTATACGTACCATCTAGCGTTTTGAAAAAAAAAATTATTTAATATTATTAGTATTTTGCCCCATAGCAAATATTACTGTTTAAGGGACAAATGAACCGTTTATAATTTTTCGCCCTGAGGCATTCTGTAAAAAATGAAAATGCTATCTTGCACCATTTTTCAAGGGCTTTACAATGGTGTATAACACTTGCCATTTGGTGAGGTTTAATTTATACATTTTCCTAGTTAGGCTAACAGAGGAAGTACCCCAAGTGCGACGCTCAGATTTTGATGAAATTTGGCACAAATTCAGAATATTTTTTTCTAAACTATATACGAGAATCCTAGCTCGCGCTTTATAGAAATACCGACATTTTTCGATCGAAAGTTGGCGAAAATTTGACAATTTTTGCCGAGTTTCGGCACGAAAAGTTTCGTGTCTATTTCTACCATACAGGGTAATGTTTCCACAAAAAATCAATTTTTTCCGCACGAAACTAGCAAAGTTATGATCAAAAAGTGTTTTTCCCTCTCACCACCCTCCGAATTTTGCGTACTCTCTCGGCCGCAAAGATCGTTCAATATCTCGGCGGCGCTTGCAAAGCGCGAGCTAAAATTGCGCCGCCGCTCTTATTTTACCAACCCTATTTTCAGGACTATTACGATCCGTTTGATTACATGAGCGTTGTATCGCGTGAGTTGTGTAACAGCAGTGTACGTAAAAATTCGTTTTCAGGATACAAAGGCGGATTGTACACGTATGAGAACTTGCAGTTGAAAACGGGCAAGCGATAGTAAGAGTTTGTCCACGCCTTTATTTTATAGTTCTTGTTGCTACAGGGGTTTTCAAGAAACGCGAAGGAAAGTGGGACGCAGCGACTTTGTTTTTGGAATATGTATTGTTAAGCGACATTAATTTTCGTCTGTGAAATACAATGAGGGACCTGATTCATTGACAAAAACGTACCATTTTGGATCCGGGAAGTATCAAAAATGTGGCAAAATACCTCCCTCTCCAAGTGAAAAACTCCGACTTTAAAAGCGCGCCCGCTCTTTTTGTGAGGAAAAGAGCGCGCCCTTCAAAACGGAGTTTTTTTATTGTAGTGGGAGGTGTTCTGCCACATTTTTGAGACTTTCCGGATTCAAAATTATACGTTTTTTGCCAGTGGATCTCTGTATTTCATAGGCAAAAATGACTGTATTTTAGACAAAAAATTATGTCGCTTAAAGATATACATACAGTGACGGACCCGATCCAGTGGCAAAAAACGTACCATTTTGCATCCAGGAAGTTTCAAAAATGTGGCAAAATGCTTCCCTCTCCAAGTGAAAAAAACTTCATTTTTACAGTGAGGGACCTGATCCAATGGCAAAAAACGTCTCATTTTGCATCCCGGAAGAGACCGAAATGACTCCAAACCCTTCCCTTCTCAAAGCTAAAACTCCGCTTTGAAAAGCGCGCCTTTCCTTCAAGGCGGGCTCTTCAAAGCAGGGTTTATAGCGAAAATGAAAGCAAAGTTGTAAAATTCAGAAAAAATTTAAGCAAAGTTGTAAAATTCAGAAAAAATTGATATGATTTTTGAAATCAGCGCCATCGAAAACCTCCCCCACCCTCCTCTTTTCTTTTTTTTAGCGGACCTTTCCGCAGCGGACCTTTCCGTACTCAATCCTGGATTGACGTGCGGGCGCGCTTTTGAAATCGGAGTTTTTTCACTTAGAGAGGGAAGCATTTTGCCACATTTTTGATGCTTCCAGGATGCAAAATGGTACGTTTTTTGAAACTGGATCAGGTCCCTCACTGTAGTGTAGAAAAAACTCCGATGGCAAAAGCGTTCCCGCATGTCAATCCAGCGCATTATCTGCACCGTTTCGAAACTTCGTATCGTTTTCATTGATTTAAAAATGGACATGTCGCTCTTTTTGTGAGGGAAAGGGCGCGCCCTTCAAATTAAAGTTTTTTCACTTGAAGAGGGAGGCATTTTGCCACATTTTTGATGCTTCCCGGATGCAAAATGGCACGTTTTTTGCCACTGGATCGGATCGTCACTGTAAATATTATAGTACGCCAACGCAACCCATTTTTTGGGCAACCACCTTGACCTTGGCCACAACTTCGATCGCGAGCTAGTAAAGTTCAGAAAAAATGAACGCGATTTTCGAAATCGAAATTTTATGAGGGATTCTGAAAGGAAGAATCGATCTTCTCATGGGAAATTTGTAGCAACAATAAGTAGACATGGCTCCTCGGCCGGCCGAAATGAAAAGCAATTTGATTGTCTCCGCGATACAATTCATTTTCTCGGCAGCGATGCGATTTTCGATGCGACAGAGTGCTGATTATTTTCCCGACATACTGATATAGTATATTATATTTATATATGTATTATTATCGTGTCCAATATCACAAAACAATCATATTTTCGGTGTCAATGTAACACCGTATGAACAGAACATCCTCTCGAACGTATTTCCCCATCACATCCAACGCGCAAAACTTTTGCGCGCCGAACGCGGAGTTGCGCTCCGCCGAAGGCCGGTGCAAATAGTTGTCGTCTTCGCCGTTGGGCGACGGCTTGATCACGTAGACCATGTGCTCTCGCTCGTTCACATCGGGATTCTGATCCATCAAGGTGAACGTGACTTTGTGGACGAAAGGCCATGGCAACAGAGCGTCGTGCTCTCCGCGCATAATCGACAGGTAGACGCTGAGGAATTTGCCGCTGGCTGCAAAAAAATATTCTTGTTTCATAAGTAATATCAGTCTGTCGGGAAAATAATGAGCACTCTGTCGCATCGAAAATCGTATCGCCGCCGAGAAAATGAATTGTGTCGCGGCAACATCAAATTGCTTTTCACTTCAGCGACGCGAGCGACATTGTGCTCATTATTTTCCCGACAGACTATCATACCATGGTTTGGAATACTCTCTAGAGCAGGTTAAGAAATTTTGGGCATTGCAAAGACTATCGCAGAAAAATTTCAAAAAATCCGTCATCCAAATTGCACCTTGCAAAGGTTTGGACCCAATTTTTTTGTGGGCCCTCTGGAGAGCTCCTAGCCATGTACGGCCGTTGTTTATACCACCGACGCACTTTATATGGATGTCATCGTGACATATTTTCTGGACACACAAGATTTAGAAGACCCCAACTATATGTATATATGGCTAGTTCGGTAATGTAATTCTAGGCACTAATGGCCATCTCAGACATCGAAAAATCCAACAAAAAAAACCCCCCACGAATTACATACCTGCGCCATCGCCATTCAACGCCGCGCTCATCACCAATTTGTAGCCATGACGGCCCGACAAAAACGGTGGGGAGTAAATCACCGGCCGCGAATTGGTTTTGGCCTCTTTGAAGCGCTTGTTGTAATCGTCGATCCGCCAGATGTATTGAGAACCGTACAACTTTTCGAGGGCGTCCACCTGCAAAAACAGGATATTGCACCCATGTATATACATGTAGTTTTCAACTACCAAGGCAAGATTTTGTCAAGAAATCTTACCCGGCTCTGCAGAACGGTGACATTTCGGTTGGTCCTGTCCATATTAAGATGCACATGGGTCAGGAGCGCTTGCAACTCGGTGGCACCTTCGCAGAGGAACCCGAGATGATTTACCAGGTCGTCCTTGATGTGTTTTTGAAGGTTCTCCCGCCCTCCGGCGTAGTTGCAGCCGAATTCACCGAAGGGACAGACGGAGCCCTTCTTGGGGCAATCGGGAAGATGAGCGTTGATCTGGAAGTCGTAATGTAATTTTTATCCTATATGTTCTACTGCAATATCTATTGTTCCATTTGCTATTAGCTAGCTAACAATAAGTAATGCCCAAAAAAATTATCAGTCTGTCGGGCACACATTTTATGCGACTATGGCCACTATTTTCCCGACAGACTGATAAAAAGTTATAAAAATCAGAGAAGGGGACTCTTTTTAAGGAAAAAAAGTGGTAAGGGATGACCAAGGTATTAGTTTTGCTGGGAAGCTCAATTTACCGGCCCATTCTGAGCCGAAAAAACGCCAGAAAGTCCATAAAATTTTTTCGGCGACGTCGCTGGTTGCGCTCGCAGAAAAGTGCCTGTCGCTAAAGCAAAAAACGTGAATTCGCATGCGAAAAAACATGCAAACTCACTATGCAGAATTCTACGGACTTTATGGCGTGACCAATGCCAAGCTGTCGGGAAAATAATGAGCACTCTGTCGCTGCGCCGATCGTCTCGCTGAAGTGAAAAGCAATTTGATTTTCTCCGCGACACAATTCATTTTCTCGGCGGCGATGTGATCGACAGAGTACTCATTATTTTTCCGACAGAGTGATATCATGTATAATATGTAGCACTCCTACCTCCTCTCTGGTCTTCTCCTTCAATCCACATCGGTTGGGGCAATCGATAATCATCAGCGGGCACATCTTCAAATGCAGTTTCATCCCTTTCGCACTGATCTCTTTGCCGCAGAACTCGCAGATCACCATCTTCTTGGTGCACTTGGCCAAATGCGCCTCTTCGTCGCGCTTTGCGTACACTTTGCCGCAACCGCGCGGACAGGGGATGTCGGCGAACTCGCAGGAAATTACGTGCGACTTCAATTCCTTCAGAATGCCCGTCCAATCGCAGCCGTTGTCGGCGTAGCTGCACTTGACGCCGAGCTGTTGGATCTCCTTGGTGGTGGCTTTGTCTTCGGGCAGCTGAAAATTGCAATTTGGGTCATATGGAAAAATAGAGCTTGTTGAAGCATAGGACAGAATTGGTAGCTGCAGCTAAAGAGCAGCCCATAACAAGCGACTTCAGAAAGCCCAAGGGCAGTTTTAGGTAAGAAAAGCGAGAGCTCAAAGTGCGGAAACGACCGAGATTTTTAGATTGAAGGGCGGCAAAATCTTGACACTTTTTGCAGAATTTCGGCACGAAAGGTTTCATCTCTATTTCTATTGCAAAGAGCAATGTTTCCACAAAAAATCAATTTTTTCCGTATGTAGCTGACAGAAATATGGCCAAAAACTGCTCTTTTCCCTGACCGCTCTCCGGGTTTCGTCTACTCTATCGACCTCGAATTCCAAATTTAGGTTTTTTTCTGTGTTACTGTAAGTTCAGAGTCGAGAAAAAAAAACAGGTTAGCAAGATCTAAAATTAGAAAAAGTGGTCATATTGCAGTCTTTGCCAAGTCTTTGCCGAGCATCCAGTGGCTCTTACTAGGGCTTGTAGACACCTCCTAAGACCCTGTTTTGGGTCCCATCCTACCCTACGCTTCGTATCAATCGATTTTGGCGGGGCTCAATTACTCCGGAACCGGGCTTCGTAAAGAATTACTGTATTTTTAGGGTAAACAGAGACCTATTGCCAACAATTAGTTGCGACCTCAACACTCACATTCTTCGGATCACACGGCTTCCCACAAGTCGGGCACTTCTCCACCCCAACCAGACATGCACTACAAAACAGATGATCGCATTTCAATCGCTTCGGAATTCGCAGAATCTGCCCACACACTTGGCATTCCAAATGGGCCGGGACCTCGTCCAAGAAGATGATATCCACGTCTTCGGGAGGCGGGTTCTCGGCGACAGTGTTGAGGGGAAGATCCGACGCCTTCACTTTGACGGCCGTCTCCGCGTCCGGATCCTCCGCCGAGTGGAGCCAGTCCTGGACGGGCGAGGGGGCGGCGGACGGAGGCGGAGGAGCAAGGTCGGATGGATGGACCTGAGGGAAAAGAGGGTCATTATTTGTTGGACAACCTAATAATGTTTACAGGAGGTACATACAGTGGCGGACCTGATCCAGTGGCAAAAAACGTGCCATTCTGCATCCGGGAAGTATCAAGAAATGTAGCAAAATGCCTCCCGCTCCAAGCGAAAAACTCCGATTTCAAAAGCGCGCTCGCTCTTTTTGTGAGGGAAAGGGTTCAAAACGGAGTTTTTTAGTTTGAATGGGAGGCATTTTGCTGCATTTTTTGATACTTCCCGGATGTAAAATGATACGTTTTTTGCCACTGGATCAGGTCCACCACTATGTGTGAAAAGATGATAGTGAAGCTTTTATCAGTCTGTCTGAAAAATAATGAGCACAATGTCGCTCCGCCGATCGCGTCGCTGAAGCGAAAAGAAATTTGATTTTGCGGTGACACAATTCATTTTCTCGGCGGCGACGACAAATCCACCTCCTCCAACAGCGAATCATTTTTTCGACCCATAGACTAGATTTTAGGCGAAAAACGATTCGTTGTCCAGAGGGCTGACTGAATTTGTCAGTCTGTCGGGAAAATAATGAGCACCCTATCGCATCGAAAATCGCCTCGCCGCCGAGAAAACGAGTTTTGTCGCGGAGAAAATCAAACCTCTTTTCACTTCAGCGACACCATCGGCAAAGCGACAGAGTGCTCATTATTTTCCCGACAGTCTTGGGAGGACGGGAAATTCTACTTACCTTATTCGAAGAGCCGGGTCTGTACTGAGCTGGCGACACCTCCAATAAACCGGGATTTTTATTCTCCTTGCCATTAGCTTTGGGCCGATTTTCGGCCGCTTTCGTCTTGGGCCGATCGCCGTTTTCGGCCGCGTTGGTCTTTGGCCTCTCCGTCTTGGTTTTTGGCCGCTCTTCAGCGCCTTTGCTGGTCTTGGCGCGCGTTTTTGGACGGTCAACTTCAGCCATGGACGCAAATTTTTATAACCCTTACAATTTTTTTGACTTAAAAAGTACAGTAAGAAAAAGAATGAGGATGTTTTAATTCCGAAGGCTTTCTTGTTATATACCTCGCTTTTTTCCGCCTGTCGTTATGGCTGTATCCATGCGATTTGAGGGCGAATTTACGGGCTGATCCCGTTGTTCTGGACAACATTGAGGAGAGGGGGACGTGACATGGATAAAATGGATAAAAGAAAAATAAAAAAAATGAAATACGAGGGAAAAAGGAAAGTACTGTAGCAGAAAATTAAAGTAACATGTATTTTAGAGCTTCTGGCCAATTCGCTTGAAATTTTTTTGGATTTTCGTGGTGGGACCCAAAATGAAAATAGATGTTGATGGAAACATGATTTTTTCCGAATAAAAATCGGTTTAATCGAAGAGAAATAAGTTGTAAAATACGTGACGGGAAAAAATTACAAACATTTTGGGAGATTTCTTTCAATTTTTATATTGTACTTGACAAAAAATCCCAAAACTTTTTAGTCAGTGGTTTATTTTCGATAACTGAACATTGGTCTTGCTGCTGAAATCGTCGAAAAATCGTGGGCTTGACTTTGCAATGCAGGTATCGGATTTTGGACCAGGATCGTTGATCCCATGGGCGGTGGAAGCGGTTTTCTGGGAACAATCCGAGATTTCGTCAAGATTTTCCTTTTCGTCCGCGTCCAAAAACTCTTCACTCGACTTTTCTTACTCCGTTATGTCAAAAAATAACCTAAACTCGCTAAAAACACTAAAATATTGACTGACATGTTGTTCTCGAGGTGGTGGTCCAAATTGAAATTGCAAAAACGGTCATAATGCTTCCTTGTATCAAGTCAAAAACATGGAACACTGACTTTAGATGGCCGATCAAAAAAATCACACATAAAAATATTTATTTTACTTTTCTTAAAAAAATACAATGTCTTCTCGGGTCTTCCTAGTCATACGACTTGAACGTGACACCAATTTGACATCAGCACTTGGAAAACGAACAGGAAGGTGGAGCTCGTGCAACGGTACGGTCTGAAAGTTTTTCAAAATATAAAATGCGCTTAAAAACCAATTCGCAGGTAAAAAAAATTAAATTCCACATACCGAAAGGTAATATCTGATAATGCCCGCGGCCACGTTTTCCATCGTCAAGTCATCCGTGTAGAGACCCCTCATGAGACACAAAGTCACAGCCTCTTTGATGTCGAAAAACTCGTCGGGAATCGAGTTCTCGTCAGTACACTCCAACTTGGTCTTCGTAACTTCCTCAAGTTTCTTCATTCCCGCCCAAGGCAATGGAGCCATCATTCCCAAGACCATCTAGAGCAGGCTCTCCGTGTCCTCCGACTTCAACGCTTTCTTCGCGTGGATGTGAGTGGTAGCCGTTTCGGGGATTGGATAGAAGGCCGAGCGTTCCGAGACGATTCTATTGATTGCATAGCCGAGGTCAGTAATGACGAACTGCAAGAAAAAAAAATTTGCGCCAAGGAACATAGTGTTGTAAAATCCCTATCATATTTTTATATCAAGAAATCGATATTGAAGCCATGATAATTGCCCCACTTGTGTCAACCTTTCCACATTCGAATCACAAATACTTTTCCTAGACCCCTAATAGAGCTTAAATTCCACATACCGAAAGTTAGTATTGATAATGGGCGCGGCCAAGTTTTCCATTGCCAAGTCATCAGTGTACAGACCCCTCAGGAGACACATCGTTATAGCCCCTGGAAACTCGTCCGCAATCGAGCTTTCGTCGGTAGGAAGCGCCGCACCGAGAGGCGAGAGTGTGAAAAGAATGAAGGGACCCATTTAGATTTCAATCTTCTTAGTGGAAAATTTGCATAAAAATCAAATTTTTGCAAATAAATTTTTCCTCATTTAGGGGTCATTTTTATTCTAAGGTGAGTTGTGTGGCCGCTCTCTGGGAGCTCTGAAAATTCGAAATTCCCACGATTCCAAACTTCGATTATAACCGGCACTTGAAGATAACAAGGTGGAGATGGAAAAATTACGGCGATATTTTGGAAGTTTTCCGACATTTGTGGGCAGGAAATACTTGCGGGAAGCCGACACTTGCGGGCAACAGTTCCAAAAGTTCGAATACAATCTGTGTGATTGTTTTTTCCTGTTGCCCGCAAATGTCCCAGGCTGCCCCCAAATGTTTCAGCTGCCCGCAAATGTGACCCCCAAATTTTGCCCGCCAAGTGGCTGCCCGCAAAAAATTTGCCCGCAAACTGGTTGCCCGCAAGTGTCGCGACGCCATTGTTATACTTAGATATATACTTTGTTGTAATGTCATTCCAACCGTCAACCGATTTGCATATTCAATCTTTTGCTAGTGTAAACTTTTAGACTCCGCGAGCTGCGCCCTATGTCATCGAGGTGGATCGTATCTTATGAGTTGTATAAGAGCTAAATTACGACAATGAACGAGATTTATTATCTGAAACCCCCGTTTTACGTTTTTGTAGCCATTCTATATCCTAGGGCGCAGGCTGCCAAAAAAATTTCTGAAAACTTCAAGGTTTGCTTGAAAATCGGCTGGCGTTTTGTTACATTTATTTTTAAATTTGTAAATAGTCCTGTTAGCTCCTGGAAAACCCGCAGAAACCCCGGATATCTCTCGACCAATCTCCCCCAAAGTACAATATATTATATATAAATGGTTGTAATAACCGCACTCAAAACAAATGACTAATGTTGACATACACACGGAAAATATATACGGAGTACATCGAATTTACATTCTCAAGATTTTGAACTTTTTTGAAATTTGCCTAATCGAAGTTTGGAATCGTGGGAATTTCGAATTTTCAGAGCTCCCAGAGAGCGGCCACACAACTCACCCTAAAATAAAAATGACCCCCAAATGAGCAAAAATTCGATTTTTATGCAAATTTTCCGCTAAGAAGATTGAAATCTAAATTGGTCCCTTCATTCTTTTACACTCTCGCTTCTCCGTGCGGCGCTTCCTACCGACGAAAAAACGATGTGTCTCATAAGGGGTCTCTACACGGATGACTTGACGATGGAAAACGTTGCCGCGGGCATTATCAGATACTACCTTATGGTAAGTGGAATTTAATTTTGTTTTCTACCTGCGAATTGGTTTTTAAAACACGATTTCTGACTCACTGAATCAGCCGTGTGCAAGGCCGGGACATAGGGAATTTTCGATTTTGAGATTTAAAGCTGGATATGACCGCACCCATCATATAAGTGTGTTCCTGAAGCCTTTTGCCCTAATTCTCCCGTTAACCTAGTTTTATTTACAATTTAAGCAATTTATAGTAACGTCAAACATCTCAAAATTGAGAAGACGTAGAGCCGTAAAACTGGTCATTTATGTTTTTGGGCACTGGGAATCCAATGGAGGTGGTTTTGGATCGAAAGGATTACTGTAACACAGCAAACTTGCGCTTCGGCCGCTCAAAATCGGCCGTAAAAAAGTTGTTTCTAAAAACCCACAGCTGAATTTTTGATATGTTAATCAGCATAAAATTCTGCCCTAGAAACATTCAAAAAAGTCCAAAAATCCGTGTTGCTATTTTCGTGGTATAGTGGATTTTGACAAAGTCTACGAATCTGACGTCCCGGGTTCAAACGTCCGCTCTGTTAGTCGGACAGCTCCCAGGGGTCTAGGAAAAGTATTTTTGATTCAAATGTGGAAAGGTTGACACAAGCGGGGCAATTATCATGGCTTCAATATCGATTTCTTGATATAAAAATATGATAGAGATTTTACAACACTATGTTCCTTGGCGCAAATTTTCTTTTCTTGCAGTTCGTCATCACTGACCTCGGCTATGCAATTCGAATCGGCTCGGAACGCTCGGCCTTCTATCCAATCCCCGAAACGGCTACCACTCACATCCACGCGAAGAAAGCGTTGAAGTCGGAGGACACAGAGAGCCTGCTCTACATGGTCTTGGGAATGATGGCTCCACTGCCTTGGGCGGGAATGAAGAAACTTGAGGAAGTTACAAAGACCAAGTTGGAGTGTACTGACGAGAACTCGATTCCCGACGAGTTTTTCGACATCAAAGAGGCTGTGACTTTGTGTCTCATGAGGGGTCTCTACACGGATGACTTGACGATGGAAAACGTGGCCGCGGGCATTATCAGATATTACCTTTCGGTATGTGGAATTCAATTTTTTTTTACCTGCGAATTGGTTTTTAAGCGCATTTTATATTTTGAAAAACTTTCAGACCGTACCGTTGCACGAGCTCCACCTTCCTGTTCCTTTTCCAAATGCTGATGTCAAATTGGTGGCACGTTCAAGTCGTATGACTAGAAAGACCCGAGAAGACATTGTATTTTTTTAGGAAAAGTAAAATAAATATTTTTATGTGGGATTTTTTTTGATCGGCCATCTAAAGTCAGTATTCCATGTCGTCCCAAAAAGGCGACCCATAATGTCTTGACTTCACACTGCGGACACGTGCATTCGGCGTTGCAACGAGATGCCACATTGAAATTAGAAGACTAAACGATGTCTGATTGAAGGAAAAATTATACGAAAAGAGCAATTCATGATTCAAGCTAAAAAACATCAGATTTATACTTTAAAACAGAACAAAATTGCATTGAATGAAGATGACAAAGAAGGGTTTAAAAGATATTTGTAATGATAAAATTAACACATTAGCTGATGGACACTACGAGATTTCGAATTGAGTTTTTATATACGAATATATTTCCATATTACATTGGATTACATTGTATATTATATTCTTTTGTTAATGATTTTTATTTTTAAAGCATTGTGAAAAAATTTTGTTATTTTTGATTTGGAATTTTAGTTTAAGAGGAAATGTGAACATTCATTTCAAATTGACATTAGAACGTTAGTCATTAAAGATATTCAGTTAGTTTTTTCTACGGTTGTATGCTGGTATGTTATTTAGGCTTCTTTTGACCTTTATTGTTCAAATATATAAATAGTCGGTCATGTCCGATGAGTAAGTTGAAAAATTTAATGAACTTCAATTAAAATTAGAGTCCGGAACAGTACTAAACCAGTTTTTTACCAGTACTTTTGTACTAGTACTGGAAATTTTAAAAAGCTACCTGTACTACTGGTTTAATATTGATACTGGTCTGAGTACTAGTAGTGCTGGTTTTTAAGGAAAATTCCGGACTCTAATTAAAATAGATGAGTTATATCATTTATTTACAGGTGATGGCCAAATTAAATTGTGTGAAAAACCCACATGGAGAAACATTTGGGATAATTCTTCATACGGTAAGACTACAGATTTTTTTGTTTTGTAAAATATATATAATATAATTGAATTTGTTTGCAGTTTGACCTTTTTCTATTATCATTTTTATTTTAGTTGGACGCGTACTTATTACGGGTGTTTCATTTGGTGCCGGGTATGCAGTCGATGAAATTGAGATCATTCATTCCCATAAGGGGCAACCGCCTGTTCAAATCAAAACAACTTTGGATTTTCTGGTAATTGGAAGCGAATATCTAATTTCTAGTAAGTATATTAAGAATGTTTGCCAAATTAGTACCCTATAAAATTATTATCAATTCCAACTATCAATAAATAAAGTCATAGATTATTATGTATAATACTATAGTTAAATCTGGAATGGAGCGTGAAATCTTATTTTGTCACTCGTTTCCGATTATGGAAAAAAATACGTCCTGCAGGGGCAATTAATTGGATCAATGTTCCACGTCGACTGGAACGTTTATTGGACGAATGGAAAAAGGAGATCAATTAAATCAAATCTTTTTTTTTTTTTAATTTATTCAGAAGTTGAATAAAATATCACAACATACAACACATATTTTGAATCTGAAATGATCAGGCAAATATTTATAGTAATTATGCTAAGACAAAAAGTCGACTATACTTTAATCTTTAGAGCAAACACAGAATCCTGCATGAACGCACACCGAGCCAAAACAATCATCGTCGTTTAAACATGGTTTCTTGTCACAAAAGTTCTTCGTACATTTTCCATCGAACCAAGACCATGGTCGTGATATGCTAAGAATAAAGATGCAATAATTTGCATTAAGCTTCCAACTTACCTTTAGTACAGTTGCAAAAAGAGTGACGAAGATCGCACGCACCGTTCAAACCACATTTTGAATCATGTTTGCATTTCCGAAAGTTAGAGCAAACACAAGCACACCGTTTTGTAATCCTCCCCCCAATGCAAATTCCTAGGATATAAAAACTCGTTCAATTATCTATAATTTTAATAACTTACCTTTGTGGCCACAGTCTCCATCCGTAGAACATGGATTTTCGAACTCGCACTTATTTGTGATTTTTTCTTGCAAGATTGCTTTATCATACTCAACAGTAACAGATAGTTCAGAAATCTTCGTTGTTTCAATTGTGAGAAACATTGTGATTATTAATATTAATGCTGAACGAAAAAGCATTTTCGCTACTAATCGTAAGAAATGAATCTGTATCAGCCTTATTCCAAATTGTCGTTATGATATAAAGAAAGATTGGCAAGGTCACGAGATAATAAACTTAAAACACGATTTCTGAGTCAGTGAAGCAGCCGCCAGTTAGGCCGTGACATAGAGAAATTCGATCTCGGGTTTTTTGCTTCAATGTAACTGTACCCGTCCTAAAAAGCTTGTGATATATTTTTTTATTATTTTTTAGACGATTAATTTAAGAGCATGCACCACAACATTCGTATTTTACCAAACAAAAATCAAATATTTACAAAACTGAAAAAAATCAAAAAATTCAATTCATCAAATTTTTCCGCCCAAAAATCGGTCGGTTCCTGAGTTTGCCATCAAATGGAAGAAGAGCATGGCCAAGTAATTTGCCCCAAAAAGCATGGACAAACGAAGATTATGACCACCTACATTTTTGGAAGGTAATTTTTGACATTTTTCGTTTTTTTTTTTTTGAAAAATCGATGTTTTTCAGGCCATATCAAACCACTCAAACATCAGATGGCCATCAATGGATTCGGGTGGGCGGTGGATATCAGCGCCGTTCGGAGTTGGAGACCCGACTGTTTCAACGGCGGCTTGAAAGACAAAAACTCCCGAAAAATCTGAGAAGATGGTCAAGCACTGCCACTTATACCGTGGAGAACAGTGAAATCGGTGAGATCTCTTCGATTTTGTATTTGCAAACATTTCCGCCAAAAGTTCGCAAAGGTACGGCCGAAAAACGGTTTTTCTCACACCGTCTCTTCATTTTCTATACTCTCTAATCTGCAAAGATCGTTGAATATCTCGGCTGCGGCTGCAAAGCTTCCGCTGAAATTTTCAGACATTGATTTCCAACCTATTTAGGCAATGTATGCAAAATTTTATCAGATTCGAAAAACTTTTTTATATTATCCATGACACATTTTTACATCAAAATTTTTTAGTCAATTCGCCGGAATCTCTTCCAAATGTCAACCGGACCATCTGCATTGCCCGTCCACTCAGTTCCGCGGATGATACGCTCGTTGAGGACACCAGAACCAACGATTCTTTCGACTTTGCCATTGCCAGACGGCCAATTCCCAAGATTTTTCCTCAAAAAACCCATAAAATCTCAATCGAATCGACCAAAAGCCCTGATGCAAACTCCAAGGACTTCTTGGAGGTGGACGAAAAGTCAAGTGAAGAGTTTTTGGACGCGGACGAAAAAGAAAATCTTGACGAAATCTCGGATTGTTCCCAGAAAACCGCTTCCACCGCCCATTGGATCAACAACCCCGCTCCTAAATCCGATACCTGCACTGCAAAGTCAAGCCCACGATTTTCCGACGATTTCAGCAGCAAGACCAATGTCTAGTTATCGAAAATAAACCACTGACTAGAAAATTTTGGGACTTTTGTCAAGTACAATATAAAAATTGAAAGAAATCTCCCACATTTTTCATAAATGTGTGGAGTTCTAACAATAACGTATTTTACAATTAGGCCCAGGGATTCAGCCGAATTTTTATCCGGAAACCATGAGATTTCCATCAACACCAATTTTCATTTTGAGTCCCACCGCGAAAACGAGCAAGTGCCAAATCTTTTTGGCATTCTGTCAATATCATCAAATCGTCGAAAGAAAACGAATTTTTATCGTTCTACCGACTTTGTTAGGTCCAAACAACCTTTTTATGTAAATTTTGCCGTTTTTTACATTTGGTTTGGCGTCTTTTACGAAATGACTTTAGTATTCCCAAAAAATTGGTTGATTTTAGTTGAGTTTGGCCCGAAAACTGATCGATACTTGAAATGCCAGACTATCTTGGAGATGATCAACGCAAACAGAAGAAGGATCCCACTAAAGAGGAGGAGGAGAAGACTTTTCAAGGTAATTTTTGTCTTTTTTTCTCTGGTTTTAGGGTCTATCTTCTAAAATAAGCTAAAAATTAGCCGTAAATGTAATCAACAGCTTAATGAATGTGTTGCAGCGCTCGATGAGGGAGATATTGCCATTCTGAAGCGATATGGACAAGGACCGTATGCGGAGCAATTGAAAAATCTCGAAAATGACATTGAAAGTTGTCTGAAGCGGGTCAACGAACTTTGCGGTGTGAAGGAGAGTGATACGGGTTTGGCTCCCCCCGCTTTGTGGGATATTGCCGCCGACAAGCAGGCTATGCAACAGGAGCAGCCTTTGCAAGTGGCTCGTTGTACGAAGATCATCACGGGCGAGGGACATGATCCGAGGTATCTGATCAATGTAAAGCAATTTGCCAAGTTCGTTGTGGATTTGGCCGACACCGTCGCACCCACCGACATTGAGGAGGGCATGAGAGTTGGTGTGGACAGGAATAAGTATCAGGTAAGTGCGATTTTACTTGTCTTTTTGGTGGTTTATGTTATTTTAGATATCAAAATTAGAAAAATGTTTGGATTTGGTAAATTAAGGGTTGAATGTCGCCAATTTTTGTCTTATTTGACGAATTATAGATCCATCTTCCTCTGCCAACCAAAATCGATCCCACTGTCACGATGATGCAGGTCGAGGAGAAGCCGGATGTCACTTATGCCGATATTGGTGGATGTAAAGAGCAGATTGAGAAGCTCAGAGAGGTTGTTGAGACTCCGCTGTTGCATGTAAGTCTTTTATATTTGTTTTTCCAATTTTAGAAAGCAAAAAGACGTCTTTCATGAGATCAAATTGGATTGAAATTTCGATTCTGACCAAGCAACCTAGTACAATATTAGATATTCCCATTTTAACCCGATTCTTTTAGCCCGAGCGCTTCGTCAACCTGGGAATTGAGCCTCCGAAGGGTGTGTTGCTCTATGGTCCTCCTGGTACCGGTAAAACTCTCTGCGCCAGAGCCGTCGCCAACCGAACCGACGCCTGTTTCATCCGTGTGATTGGCTCGGAATTGGTCCAAAAATACGTGGGAGAAGGTGCACGAATGGTGCGAGAGCTCTTTGAAATGGCCAGAACAAAGAAGGCATGCCTCATTTTCTTCGACGAAATTGATGCGGTTGGAGGCGCGAGATTCGACGATGGAATGGGCGGAGACAACGAAGTGCAGAGGACTATGTTGGAGTTGATCAACCAGTTGGATGGGTTCGATCCCCGAGGAAATATCAAAGTCTTGATGGCCACAAACAGACCCGATACGCTGGATCCGGCGCTTGTCCGACCGGGCCGTCTCGACCGCAAAATCGAGTTCGCTTTACCAGACTTGGAGGGTCGCGCCCACATCTTCAAAATCCACGCCAAACAGATGAGCGTCGAACGCGATATTCGATACGATCTCCTCGCCAGACTGTGTCCAAACTCCACCGGAGCCGAAATACGTTCGGTCTGCACCGAAGCCGGCATGTTCGCCATCCGCGCGCGCAGAAAAATGGCCACCGAAAAGGACTTCCTCGAAGCCATCAACAAAGTCATCAAGGTCTATGCGAAATTCTCCGCCACCCCCAGATACCTAACCCACAACTAAATTATTTCGTATGTAAATGAAGTATGAACAGTTTTTGTTGAATATTTGACACTGTAAAATATGTTTCAAAGCTAAAAACATTAAATATTATGGAATTTGAGGAGCGATATTGTAGTAGGGAAATTTGATTTTTTTTTTGTGAATTTTGATTGTGTTATGGAAAAAGGACTTTTATTTAGAATTTTTTGAGCTATAATGGACTTTTGGATACTGAAAACGTAAAGGAAGAATTAATTTTTAACAAAACGTTATATTTTAAATAGTAGACAAAAATAAAAAAAAAATCTTTGAAATCCCTCAAGGAAATTAAAAAGAAAGCCTCCATTTTACTTCTACACCCTCTATAAAACACCTTGATACTATGAGTTCACAAATTATCAGTAAAAATTATACTTTTGACCTAATCTAGTGCAATATAAAAATTTCAAAAATTAGGCTTTATTCATATAACATCAACAAGAACAACAAAGAACGCAAACGAGAAGGTGGTTTAAACCAGAAGAACGGCATTTATACATCCATCATTTTCGGGGTTATTCGTGACTTGAGCATACTTGGCCCAAACAACTTTTCCGCCCTGCGTAACCATTCCCAATTCGGACGTGTTGACCTCCAGAATCGTACCTTTGGTGATGACACCCAATGAGGTGTACATCTGAGACGAGGGGTTCTTCTTGACGCCAACAATCGGAAGACAAAAAGTGGTCTGCAGCTCGGGATGGGTAACATGCGCCTTCTTGAAACGTAGACCCATAGGTCGGATGAAGCGTTCGAATTTGACGGGTTTTCGGGTAAAGTTCTCTCCGACAAATGTGACCTTCGTACACATTCGTTTCCATCCCTTTCGTCGAGATTTTCCCGTGTTGACCACCTTGAAGGCTTCGGCGTCGCTGACGGCTTTCACTTTGGGCAATGGGACTTCGTATTTACCCTAAAAAGAACCGTCATTTATTCAGCTTGCGAATGGTATAAAACCCATTTATCTAGGTTGAGTATAACCATCAAAATTTTCCGAATTTCCGAGACCATCCAACATTATTCATCCTAAATCTCAAAAATCCAAATAAAATCCTTACAGCTTTCTCCTTTCTCTTCTGCTTGATGGAATTACTGAGTACATTACCAGCCACTTGCTTCTGACGATCCAACAAATAGGCAGGGACGGCTCCATCGGGCGCTTCGTCAACTGTACTGGTCTGTTTCTTTTCTTCATGCTGTTTGATCAGCTTCCTCATCTGCACCTTTTCGGAGTATCTGGCTTTGTTGAAGAGCTTAGCCTTCTGTCCTCTCAGCTTCTTGGCCATTTTGGAGATCACCTTGGGCTGACGCGCCAACTTCTTTCGTCTAAACACAGAAGAACATGTAGAATATAACAAAAACTCACTTTTTCTCTTCATGGTTGAAACGTTTACCATGTCGCTTCTGGTGCAGTTCAATGTGTTCGTTTTGCGGCTAAAATCGACGAAATTAGGAGACGATTGCAGATTTTAAAAGTAATTTTATAAATTTATGCTTTTTGATGTCTAAAACAATATAAAAATCTAGACTCGCTAATAATCTATCTAGAATGACACAAAAACTTACCATCTTTGATCTGTGGACACCGTTTTATAACAATTACAACGTAAAAATCTCGAAAAAGTCCGAGAAAAGTAGGTGTAACAGAATGCCAAGAAAGATTTGGCGGCCATTTGTTTTCGTGGTGGGAGAAAAGTCAAGTGACAGAGTTTTCGGCGCGACGAAAATTTCGCGAATTTTGCCAGTTTTGTGGCCAAGAAATTGTTCTCTTGGAGGTTTCAGATCGTCTTCGCATTTATTTATTTAGTTTTTTGTCCATTTTTTGATCTGCTGTCAAGTGCAATATCTGGCCTTGACATTTTTTTCTCCTTTTTTCAAGACGCGCGCAGATATGGATCACAAAACAGTCCGGAACGCTCTTTCCCACCGTGAATTTACTCCTCTTTCTGAGTCAGAGGGCGCGCGGCGTCCCTTGGCCTGATTGATGGCAAAGGCGGCGTGAGTAATGTAATTTTCGCTGTTTCTATTTTACGAGGTGGACGCCGGCCTTCTTCCGAACGTCTGTTGCGCCTTTCTGGGTCGTCCGAGACGAACGCACAGCTGGTTTTGTGTGTTTTGATTCGAATAACGGGTTTCGACTGTTTTGTGTTGTGATGCCAATGTAAATGGGATAATTTCGAGTCGAAAAGAGCTGCGAATCCGGTTGCGCGAGCATGAAGAATATCAAAAGTGGTGTCTTCTTCCTGTACGAGGCCTTTTTCTTTTGATTTTTTGCTGGAAATTTGGAGAGTTTTGAATTTTTCGATATTAACCATGTCTAAGATGGTTGATGTCAAAAAATCCTTCAATATCGAGGTATTTCAACCTGAAACTCCGCAAATACATGACGATTCTGAAGAATGATGAAGATCCATTCTCCAGCTGTGCCGAAAATCCCCATCGTTTCTCGGAAACCCATTCAAATTATTGGAAATACCTCGGAGCCTCGAAAATTCGAAGAACCGCGCTGTTTTTTCGCCAAACCCCGCATATTTTGGGTCTAAAAGTGCACACAGTTGAGGGTGAAAGTCTTCAAATACAATGCGGAGCGGATTTACCGCCGGGGTTTAGCGTTTCGATCCGGGAATAATTGTCAAGTTTCATTAAAATTCAGGTTTCCTCGCCTCCTTTTGTGCGGAGCCGAAGGAATCGCGGAACGGGCGCGTTATTCCGATATGAAGATTGATTTCTATGTGACGTTGCAGGAGTATAACTGTCGGAAGATGGCTCAGGTGCATCGAGCGGTCACGTTGAAGCCGACGGTCGACGCCATCGGCTTCAGCAACTTCCCGAACCAGGTGTTCCGAAGGTGTATCAAAAATGGCTTCGATTTCACGTTGATGGTTGTGGGTGAGGATTTTTGGTGGTTGTGTTGGAAACTACATGGCTCTGGCTTCATTTTACAATTTACATTATATAAATTGGAATTGAACTTCAATGAGAAATATCCAATATTATTTTAGCCATCTAAAATAATGTTTTTGACCCAAAACTCAATTTTTTAGTATAAATCAGATGAAATTTATCTTCCACAGTCAAATATAGGCCATATAGCTTCTAATAAGCCGAAAATTTCAGGTCAAAGCGGTCTCGGCAAGTCCACTTTCATCAATTCCATGTTTTTGGCCGAAATCAATGAACCCCATTCCCACAAAATGACTCCAGAAGCCTTCAAAACCGAGAAAACTGTCAAGATTCATGCCAAAACCTTGGAACTGGAGGAAGATGGCGTCCATTTGAATGTGACTTTCGTCGACACACCTGGTTTCGGCGACTTTGTGGACAATAAAGACTGCTGGGACCCGATTGTCAAGTATATTGATGATAGGTTCGCCGAATACCTGAATGAAGAGACCCGAATTGAACGAAAAGCAAAGATTGAGGACAAAAGAGTCCATGTTTTGTTGTATTTCATCCAGCCGAGTCGAGGGTAAGCGATTTTTTTGATTGATTTATATTGTACTAGGCCAGGTGAGAAAAAATGATTTTAGGTTGTCTCAATTGGATGTTCTGGCGTTGAAATCTCTCCATGATAGAGTGAATATTGTCCCAGTGATTGCTAAAGCTGATACGTTGACTTCGGAAGAGCTGACGGACCTCAAAAAGACGGTAAGAATAGATGTCTAGTGTAATATAAAAAATTGTTTGTAGTGTTGTTGTTTGGCTTTCAAGCTTGTTGATGAGGAGTTTGTAAGGTTTTTGGGGGCATTGTCCCTTACTTAAAAGGTTGTTTTGGTCAAAATTTTATATTACTTTATATCAATTTACAAAAAATTTTTATATTTTCAAGGAATTTTAAGCTCTTATCACTTTGATTTGTCCGATATGGAAAAGATGTGACAGACGTATTTTAAAAAATTATTTTTTCAGCTCCTCGAACAGTTCATTGAGTTTGAAATCAAACTTTACGAGTTCCCGGCCCCATACGAATATGGAAACAAGTCCAAAAAGGAGACCGACTACCGCGACAGAATCCCCTTTGCCATTGTCGGATCGAACCAGGTGAAAGACAATGGAAGAAACAAGTCCAGAATCCGTCAATATATTTGGGGCACAGTGGAGGTGGACAACCTGGAACATAACGACTTTCTGGCCCTTAGGGATATCCTGGTGAACCAGAATTTGATGGATCTCATCGATGTGACCAAAGAGGTGCATTACGAGAACTTCAGGTCGAGACAAATGCAGAAAAGCCCTAAGGGTTTTGTTGCAAGTGAAGAGTAAGTTGAGGGGAATTTGGTGGAGGAAAGTGGATTTTTGATGAGTTTAGGAAGTGATTGAACGATTTTGGGCTTTGTCCGGGAATTGGGAGGAATTTAAGAGCTTTTAAAAGGGGTTGTTATATTGTACTAGGCAAAAATGACCTTATTTTAGATAAAATTGATGGTTTTGGTTGAATTTCTCGCAGTTTTTTGATGTTTCAAGGGAAATTATTTAATTTAGAGGTTTTTTATTGCTTTTAGACAGCTCCGTAGATAGTTTTGAAGCAATCGTGACCTTATTTTAGCCATTAGTGAGGAGCTATCCTAAATGCCTTGAATTTCTTTATTTCTGGTAAAACTTTTTTCTGATTTTGATTGGAAATGAATTTTATTTATGTTGAGTAGTCCCCACTACAGTCCGAAACGTATTTTACTTTCAGAGACCCATTCACACGCATGGAAAAGGATCAGCGACAAAAGGAAGCCGAACTTCAAAGAGCCCACGCCACGAAGGAACGGATATTCGCAGAGAAGGTTGGCGACAGACTGAGTCGAATCCAAGAAGAGGAACGAAAAGTGAGTCGACTTTTGATGTTGTTCATGACATTTGATGTCATGGATAATATAATTTTTGGATTTTTATGTGGTTTAGGATAATCGTGATGGAATGTTTATTATCTGGGTTTCTGGCATATTTAGGCTCTTTCTGGATAGATTTAGTTAAGAAATTAGTTTTTTTTCACATCACATCTGATGTCATGGATAATATAATTTTTGTCGATTTTTTGCAATTTTTGAATTTTAATATTAATATTGAGCCTATTCCAGCTCAATGAACACGAAAAAGCCCTCGCCAACGACCTCAGGGAAAAGCAATTGATGTTCGAAGTGCTCCAACAACAAGTCTTGGAGCTCCGAAGACAGAACGGCCTGAACGATTCCAGCTCTTCCCACTCTCCAGACGGCCGAAAAAAGAAGTCCAGCACCCTCTCACTCTTCCGCTAACCTCCATCTTGCTCACAATGCATAATTAATTTCATAAGAGTATGTGTCATGTAAATTATAAGAATAAAGCGTAATTCAAGCAAATTTTTAGATGTTTTTATGGTGGAAAAGATTGTTTAAGAAACAAAGAAGTATTTAAAATTGATTTTATGACAGTTTTTACAATTCGAAATAGTTTTTAAACATTTTTTGGGAGTTTATTCCGTCAAATTTGCCAGAGTTTCGTCCTCTTTTCTCCCCGAGGCAGTTTGCCCATTTTGAGTCCTCTTATTCTTCATTCGCCGATTCTGGAACCAGATCTTGATCTGCGTCTCGGTCAGGTTCAATTCGCGCGCCAGTTTGTAGCGCAACGGCCGACTCAAGTACTTGGTCTCGGAGTATTGTCGCTCCAATTCCATCAATTGCTCCGAAGTGAAAGTGGTGCGGGGACGGCGAATTCGTCCCAAATTTTGCCACGACCACACTGAAAAATTATTTATTACTACTGGGAATAAATGAAAAGCAAAAATTGGATTTTTAGGTAATAATTTATATTGTAGTAGGGAAATTTTAAAAATTTTAAGTTTTTAATGGAGAATGCAAAAGGGTAAAATACGATAGCTTCAAACACTCGGCTATTTTTTAAGGTTGGGAAAAAATTTGACAAGGAAAGTACTTCTATGGGGCATGGAGTTACACAGGTCGAGACATGCATCAAAAAATAGCAAAATTTTTCTGATTCAGAATATTAAAAAATTAAAAAATTAAATTATTTAAAAAAAATTAATTTAAAAAATTATGGTTATTTGTTTTGAAGTTGAAAACCGAGCAAATCTATAAGAATAGCACAAAAGGCCGTATTTTACCAAAATTTGGCTACTACAATATAATTTTTTGCCTCACAAGGAAAGTACTTCGATGGGGTATGGAGTTACAGGTGGAGACATATATCAAAAAATCGAAAAATTTTTCTGATTCAGAATATTTAAAAATTAGCGGCCCAATTTTGGTTTGAAAGGGTGAGAAAATCCTCAGAACTTTTCTCGCAACACCACACAAATGCCTTTTTGACCAAGTTTTTACCAAATCAAAAGTTTTGTTTTGAGCTAAAATAAACCCTTGTATCTTGACAAGCCTTAAAATATCAAATTTGAGGAATATCACATCTTAATTAGTAGTTCCAATATAAAAAAGAGGTATTTGTATGGTGTTGCAAGAAAAGTTCTGAGGATTTTTTCACCCTTACAAACCAAAATTAGGCAGCTAATTTTTGCATATTCTGAATCAGAAAAATTTTTTGATGTATGTCTCCACCTGTAACTCCATACCCCATAGAAGTACTTTCCTCGTGAGGCAAAAAATTATAATGTAGTAGCCAAATTTTGGTAAAATACGGCCTTTTGTGCTATTCTTATAGATTTGCTCGGTTTTCAACTTCAAAACAAATAACCGCTGGCGCAACACCCCAAAAAACAATTACCATACCCCGAGCCAAAATTCCCCCAAGGCCATGTGCGCCAAAAACATTTTATCCGGGGTTATATCCGCTTTAATTCGATTATTTCGGCACTTTTTGTACTAAATCCCCTCGAGGGAGTTGGAGAGCGAAAAGAGAGCGAATCAAAAACTGGCTCGGATACATGGAAATGCGGGATTATGATGCATCATTCTTTGATAAGACTACTGTAGCTTTCTAATCTTTCAAATCGACAAAGTGCAGTCGAAAAATCTGCACTTTGATCTGCCAAAATAGAACTTACAAGTCAGCAGTGGATTGTAGAGCATCCCACTTTGAAGGAGATTACTGTTGGAGAGTAAAGACGCGTTCAAAAGTTGAGTGGTCGGGTCGGCCAGGCTTTGCGCAAACTGTTGAATGTCGGACGTTGGTTGGGCAATTGCTTGACTGTTGGAGGGCGAAGGTGTTTGACAGTCGAAGCAGAAATTTGCCCGGAGCTTACTGGAAGTTGCGGATTAGATATTATACAGAGAACCAAGCAACAAAACCTAGTCATAACGGGCAACTTCAGAGGTCTAAAGAAGAAATTTCTGGCCGATCGTGTCGCTGAAGTGAAAAGCAATTTGATTTTCTCCGCGACACAATTCATTTCCTCTGCGATTTTCCATGCGACAGAGTTCTCATTATTTTCCCGACGGACTGATAAAGCGAAAATTTCTGACCGAAATAAGTCTCCACATAGCGAGAGTTTTCTATGACGAATATCTACTCTTTGTTCCTTTCAATTCGTTGCACAGAGGTTCCAAAAAAAATTTAATTTTTACTGTCGACAAAAAGGTCGAAGAAGAAAACGAAATGAGCCCGAATTTGATGTCAAAAAGTATCGCAGAGACAGAAAGAGATTGTTTGTGTCTTTGCCATACGTTTTGATACCAAATTCAGGCTTATTTTGATCTCTTTTTCGACCTTTTTGCCGATAGTAAAAATTAAAATTTTTTTGGAACCTCCGTACAACGAATTGCAAGGAACAAAAGATAGATATTCGTTATAGTAAAGTCTCGTTATGCGGAGATTTATTTTCGTCAGAAATTTCTGTTTTATCAGTCTGTCGGGAAAATAATGAGCACTCTGTCGCATGGAGAGTCGCAGAGAAAAATGAATTGTGTCGCGGAGGAAATCAAATTGCTTTTCACTTCAGCGACGCGATCGGCGCAACGACACTGTTCTCATTTTTTCACGACAGACTGATAGACCTTTGAAGTTGCTCATTATGGCCAGGGTTTGTTGTCCCGAAGTTTGTTATAGATCGTCTTCCCTGTAACCCAGCGTTAGTAGCCTTACAGTGGAACCTCTCTACGACAAACCTCAATGCAATTCGTGAGACAAAGTCTGTCTATAACGGGCGCTTTTGGAGGTCTCGAGAGGCAATTTTCGACCAAAATGAAGTCGATATAACCTTTCGGCATCGATGTTTGGCCTACAATGGATTTACCTCTATTTTTTTAGGCCCGCAGGGCCTTTTCTAACGAGTTAGCTGCCACATAAACATACCTAGTATCCCCATCAAGAACTCCTCCAATACCGCCATTAGTCTCCTCCATTGGCCTTTCTACCGTCTCCGTTTTGCAGTCGGCCAAACATTCAATCGAACTGAACATTCTGAAAAAACGACAATGACTCCGAACCCAAAACTCCTCGCAAATTGGTTCATTTGGTTTCGGTTTGGGACATTCGGGGTGAAAAAATAATCGACAATGATTTTTATAATTGAATGGCCTCGAATTGGCCAAATGTTATTACTCGGGACGCTGGAACAGAGGGATGAGCCAACTTTTGAGGGGATTACAGTACTATTACTAGTTGCTGGGAGAAATTTTGAGGGTTTATGAGGGATTCTTTAGGGAAAACTATCCTTATACGGAGAGATTTTGAAAATTCTTTCAAAAAATCTCAAAATTTTTCTCTAAAACCCGTTTTATAAAATCCACCGTATCCCCGTGACTCCAAAAATAAAACAATGCCCGAATCTGACAAGATTTGGCGTCCATGATATCCAAAAACCTACTGCAAATCCCGCATCAACGCCTTATGCAATCCCCGCGCGCGCTGATTGGCCGGCCCGCTTATGATGTCCGAATAAGGCGCCGCCTTGGGCCATTTGTTTCGCCGGAATCTCGGGGGATTGGCGGCCGAAAAAAGGCGAAGAATTTCGGCTGTTTGATTGAGTGCGACAAAAAGCCGCAAGTAATTTTTTAGAAATTTTTAATTTTCTCATGACATATTTAATTTCGTTGCGTTTGAGACGCCAAGTTTGGGCAAATGCCGGGAAAAGCTTGTTATTATTTGTGACAAGTGGGTTTCGGTTACGGTAAAGAGGGGGTTTTGGGATGGGGTAAAACTAATTTTGCGGGCAAAGATTGAAATTTACGGCTAACAGGGGAAGTACTCCAAGTGCGACGCTCAGATTTTGATGAAACTTGGCATAAATTTAGAATAATTTTTTCTAAAATGTATACGAGAATCCTAGCTCGCGCTTGGCAGAAACAACCGAGATTTTTAGATCGAAAGTCGGCGAAAATTTAGGACTTTTTGCCGAATTTCGGCGCGAAAGGTTTCATGCCTCTTTTCAACTGTAAAGGATAATTTTTCTACAAAAAATCAATTTTTTCCGCACGAAACTGGCAAAGTTATGGTGAAAAGGCGCTTTTTTCTCTGACCGCTCTCCGCGTTGTCTTGAAGTACTTCCCCTGTAAATTTTATAGAAGTCGTTTTTTTTAATAGAATACTCCAGCAATAGTTTATGTACAGATAGTTTATTATCACAACTATTAAAAATATATGTATTTTGAACCTGGTTCATTGAAGTATAATACATGATTTGCATATCCTATTGCTGTGAATACTTATCACTTTTTTGTACCCTTATTCGCTGTCGGCGAAACAAATCTCATCGGCGGCTTCGCCGATGATTGGAAGACTGGAAGGCTGAATGAGATCACTGGAATTGAGGGAGCGGAATGTGGAGAACTGGGGGACGGGGCTTTCGAGGCGCCGCCGGTCGCCTGGCTCGCTGTAGGCGTCGTTGCTTTGCTGAAAAAAATTGTGGAGAATATTACATAAGGAAACGTCAGCCTGTCGGGAAAATAATTTGGATTTGTCACAGAAAATGTCTCGTGCGACGAGTCCACATTATTTTCCCGGCAAACTGATAAGGTCAAAATTCGGCTAATTTTAAATCTGCGTCTCTGCTACGAACTCTTTGTGTTTTAGACCAAATTGAACCTCCGGACAGTGACGCCGTTCTATAACGAAGAAATTTTTTGGTCCCATTGAGATTCGTTGTACAGAGATACTGCTTACGTATGTATTACCTTCTGTCAATGGGTCACAAGAGACCAAAAAATTTGTTCGTTATAGAAGGGTTTCACTGTCTGTGGGTTCAGTTTGGCCTAAAATCTAAAATTTCTTCCAGAGATTTTTAAAAATTGTTCGTTGTAGATAAGTTTTGTTTTACGAGAGTTCGTTGTAGAGAGGTTCCGTTCCTTTTTACACGTTTTGGTCACATGGGATGTTTTTGACCAGGGAATGTATAAAAACACCCTTTCTACTTACCAATTCTTGGTCGAGCAACGCTGAAGGACTCTCCGACAGCAATGGCGTCTGAGATTTGCGTAGGTCGGCTCTTGTTGGCATAAAACTGTGGGTAGTTTTTGTTGTGTCTAAAAAATTTTACACGTACAAGTTTACAATACGTTTCACTATGGGTTCTGTATTTTAAAAACCCACTTTTCTTCGGCGTCTTTGCCTCTTTTTTGTTGGGAAATTTGCTCGCGCAGAGCAAATATCCAAGCAGCAAAATTAGCGCAGTGACAAAGAGAACCAATAAGATGACTATGATTATGATCACATAATCGTATTCCATCGGGGTTACTGTGATGACCGAGACCGGCGTATCATTGAAATAGACGGGTTCGAACATGGCGTCCCAGATTGGGAGTTGAACATGAACTTGTTCGACTGAAAAATGGAATGTAAAATACGGATATGCCTTTTCAAATGCTGTGAATATAAAACTCACTGGGCAATTTGCCGGGCTTTTCAAACTCGGCACATTTTGCTTGCGTTAATGGGTCGGCTTTCTCGGGATGGAGGTAAAAGTCTTCTTTGTTGGCTGACTTCCAATCGAGATACTGTTTCAGCGGAGTTAACACGAGATCGTTTTCTCCGAAGTAGGTTATGAGGAGGTCTGAAATTGAGGTTGTAAATACAGAGCGTTGTGAAATGAACCGTAGGGGGTAAAAAGTATTTGTTAACGAAAGGGTTTTGTACAAAGGATTGAGGCACTTTTAAACGCTGTGATTCTTAGTAATTGAAGGGAGAGGAGAGACATTTTATACGATGAAAAATGTCTTGAAGGTTTCGTCGTATAAAATGTCCTGAGTCGTGACCTGTCTGCACAGTGCAACGCCGCGCAAAAATCTTGTCGCAACCTTCGAAACGGTGATGAGAAGAATCCACAGTGCACTGCGTTATCAGTCTGTCGGAAAAATAATGAGCGCAACGTCGCATCGAAAATCGCATCGCCTAGTCATTTTGCTTTTCAATGAAAATCAATTTGCTTTTCACTTCAGCGACGCTGGCGTAGCGGCATTGTGCTCATTATTTTCCCGACAGACTGATAACACAGTGCACCTTGGATTTTACTCGTTGCCTTTTCAAAAGTTGCGACAAGATTTTTGCGCAGCGTTGCACTGTTCAGACATGCCAAGATGAAGGGGAAATTTTATACGATGAAACTTTTAACACATGTTTCGTCGTATAAAATGTCTCTCCTCTCCCTTCAATTAAAGTACGCACTTCTGGAAGCCTAGCAATACACTTGGCCAAATACAGATTATTTCCCGTCGGGACCCGTGAAATATGAATTTTTTCCCACGACCCCCCTCGATTTTTTTTTTTTTTGCTGGCGAAAAAAAACGAGAATGTTTTACGGGGACTAGCTGGTTGCATTTTTTTATTATACTTGATGAAGCTTTGACTAATTTTCTCCGTCCCGCTGGTGAGATGCGCGTTTTTGTTGAACCCCACCCAGTGCAAGATCCCCAACTTGTTCCTAAACAGACTAAAGGATGGCAGATACATCAAAGTGAGTTCCGTTTCTCTTTGTTTTGTTAGTTTTAGGTAAAAAAAGCTTAACTGGAAACAATAGGATGCGTTTTGTATTATACTTGATGAAGTTGCGACCAATTTTTTAGGGTATCTTCACTGTTCTCGACCCAAAACTCCGTGACGTTTTGGAACGCATAGAGATCTGTCCTCACCGGGTCTCCGTCACTATTGGGGTCTTCATGTTCACGGTCAGCACACCAAGAACGTCGGCTGTAAGGGACGTACTGTCTGTCGGTGTATCCAAGAAGAAGGGAGGATAGGCCGACCTGGCGCCGTTTTCATTGGTTTCCCATCTTTAAGTTATCCTTTATGTTGTTCATGTTAATGAGAAGGAGAAAAATAAACTTATTATTATATTATTCCTGTTGAATCTTTTAGGAAGTAATAATCTATTCTTTTTTTTGAAGGTTTTTGTTTAGAATAGGTAATAAAAGGTAATGAATATATGTCAAACATGTGCAGGTTATTAAAGATGAATGTTAGTTATAGCGATCATAACGTCTCTCTCAGTGTCAATGTTGCTACTCCTTCCGGAAAGTCGCCGGACCAATTTCTGGCGCTTGAACTGTGCGAAAAAGGTGTCCGAGCGACAGCCCGAAAAAGCCTTGCACGGTGCAAAAGGAAAGAAATTGCACAGGTGCAAAGGAAAGTTTTGTCTTCGCACAGTGCGTGTCACCGATTTCAGTCTGGCGACCTTCCGGAAGGACTTGTAATAATGAACTGTTATTAATCCTGAAATCATGCCGGCACCTCGAAAATGTTTTACACGCAGTAAGGAAAAGCCGTGAAAAAATATTGCCGAAAAACTATTCTCGCCAGCAAAAAAAATTCGAGGGGGGGTCGTGGGAAAAAATTCATATTTCACGGGTCCCGACGGGAAATAATCTGTATTTGGCCAAGTGTATTGCTAGGCTTCCAGAAGTGCGTACTTTAATTAGAATGACACAAAGCGTCTAAAAGGGCCCCAGTTGGCCCACTTAATTTCAAACTTACTTGAAATACACCCTTCGAACTTCTGACTAAACCGCGCGATTTTTTCCATCTCCTCCGGCGACCCGCTTCCCATCCAAATCTCTTGAATAGTATTTGGATCCAAATCCACATCCAAGATATCCATAGAACTGTCCACTGCGATCCTCATAGGTTCGTATTCGGCGAAATTGAGTTGAATAAAATGCCGGAAGCCATCGGAAAAATTTCCGGGAATTGTCGTAGTAGCAACGAAATTTCCACGGTAAACAAAATTTAAGGAGCCATTCTTGCATAGGATGATTAGTAATTCGTGATCGGCCTGGAAATGTTAGGCTTACATGTTAAAATTTGCGCATTTTTTTGACATGTAGAAAAGTTTTTAACAGTAGAAATTGACGTCACCTACCTCAAAACTGATAGTGATGAGTCGCTGTTCCGCCCTCAATTTCCTCGCTCCTTTCGTTGAGAAGGCGAAACTCAGCCGCTGCTCGTCACTATGGACTCTAACCAGCTCTTTGGTGATGTCGTAGCCGAGTGAAACTTGGCCATCGAACCGTAATCCATAATCTTTTGAGCAGTCCTGCCCCATGAATGAGGTCCGATCGCAATTGCAGCCGACTTTGGCGAGCGATGATCTTTGGGTGGTATGCCATTCAATAGAGCAAAAGCCACCGTTTTGGCAATTGATCAGGTCGCAGGCGTTGGAACAGCCCATTTGAATCGCGTCTGAAAAAATTCAGGTACTGAAATCAGTCTGTCGGGAAAATAATGAGCACTCTATCGAAAATCGCTCTACCAAAAATCGCCGCCGAGAAAATGTACTATGCTGCGGCAAAATTAAACTGTTTTTCAGTTCAGCGACACGATCGGAATTGTGCTCACTATTTTCCCGACAGACTGATGAAAGTCTGCCGAGGATAGCCAAAAATTAAAACCTCTGTGAAAGGGATATTCAAAATTAAAAAAAGTTTTATGCCAGGGTACCCCAAGTCTTGAATTTTGCTTTTACTAAAACTTGGGCCCGTCTGGTATCCATGTTTGGCGAAATGAGAGTCCATACTGGCGAAATGAGAGCCTTTTACACACTTTTTTTGAGAATTATCAGTCTGTCGGGAAAATAATGTGGATTCGTCGCGCCTTGGAGTCACCCATCATCGCTTTGCGATGGCTAGCCGCGGCTGGAGATTTAGTGCGCGACTGCGAAGAAGCGAGACATTTTCCTGCGACAAATCCACATTATTTTCCCGACAGACTGATAATTCCAAGTTATCAATTTTTCTTGGCTGTTGACTGTTATCATTCTCATTTCACCATGACTTACTCGAATTCTCCACCTTGAAGGCCCCATTCTTCATTTCCAGCGGATTTTTGGGCCCATTTTTTGTCGGAAATGCCAATCCTCGAATACATCCCAGCAAAGACGGGATCTCTGTGTCATAATAGACTCTTCGTAGGGCCCGGTCTTTTCTCGATTTTATGCCGGAGGTTCGGGGCAATCCTCCAATGAATAGGGTGGTGTAACGATGAACAGCGATGATGGGAACGGGAGAATGCGGAGGGAAAATCGCTTCTGAAATTGGGGTAAAATACGATTGGACGACTTTTAGTCTTTGTATAGAAAGGGCTAAAAAAATTTTGTAAAATGTGGTGGAAGCAACGAGCACAACAAAACCTCTCTATAACGAACAATTTCAGAGGTCCCATGTGTCAATTTTCGGCCAAAATGAACCTCCGTATAACAAAATCTTTCGATAATGGAGGGGTTTTGAAGTACGGAGGTTCATTTTGGCCTAAAATTGACTCTGGGACTCTGAAATTGTTCGTTATAGAGAGGTTTTTTGTATGGTTTTCGTTGTTTCAGTCTGTCGGGAAAATAATGTGGATTTGTTGCAACAAAATTTCTGTAGCCTCGTCGCTGTCGCGATCAAATTTCAAGACCCGTCGCAAAGCGATGATGGGCGATTTTAAGGCGCGACAAATCCACATTATTTTCCCGACAGACTGATACATTTCACCTTCGCTCTATTGCAGGTCATAAAATAAAGTAAATTACCGTCGACATTGCCTGTAAAGTTGGTAATTGGACGACTGGAGAGCACATGACGCCCCTTGAGTTCACAAATTATGTTGTCGGCTTCGAAAATGACGGAATCTCTCAGTTTCTTGACTGAGACTTGAACCCAACGCATTTTTGAGAATTCTGAAAGTGGATTAGGTTTTATGGTAAAATACGTTTTTAAGAGGATTCTTTTTTTCACACGGCGAGGATAGGTTATTTATCAATTCCTGGAAGTTTTAGCACGCTTTTTTGTAGCCGAGAAATTCAACAATCTTTGCAGCCGAGAGAGTAAACGAAACTCGGGGAGAGGTCATAGGGTGACGTACCTGATCCAGTGGCAAAAAACGTCTCATTTTGCATCCCGGAAGGGACCAAAATGTCTCCAAACCCTTCCCTTCTCTAAGCGTTAAAACCCCGCTTTGAAGAGCCCGCCCTGAAGGAAAGGGCGCGCTTTTCAAAGCGGAGTTTTTTAGCGTAGAGAAGGGAAGGATTTGGAGTCATTTTGGTCCCTTCCGGGATGCAAAAAACGTACCATTTTGCATCCGGGAAGTATCAAAAAATATGGAAAAATACCTCCGTCTCCAACTAAAAAAAATCTGTTTTGAAAGGCGCGCCCCTTCCTTCACAAAAAGGGCGGGTGGGCTTTGGAAATCGGAATTTTTTCACTTGGAGAGGGAGGTAGTCTGTTACATTTTTTGATACTTCCCGGATGCAAAATGGCACGTTTTTTGCCACTCGATCAGGTGCGCCACTGTAGAAAAAACACCTCTTGGCCATATCTTTGCCAGTTTTGTGCGGAAAAAAATGATTTTTTATGGAAACATTACCCTCTACGGTAAAAATAAAAGTAGACACAAAACTTTTCATGTTAAAATTTGGCCAAATTAGCAAATTTTTACCAACTTTTTTACCAAGCTAAGAATCACATATTCACCCACCATTCGTCAAGCGCGCCGAAATCCGACAACTCCTGACTTCCGTGTCGTTGTTCAGCGTCAACACCAGCTCATACTCATTTTCCAGATGAATCTGTATGAAATTGTCGAACTGGTCGTGTGCATACAGCAACAAGGCCTGTCGTTGGTCCGTCCGAAACGACAGCACAATACTCGAGTTCAGCGGGTTCGCCGGCAGCTCGTCGTTGACGTACTGAACGAACGCCGCACTCGCGTCGTGGAAGGAGATCTCGGAGTTGGCGTTGATGTCTGAAAAGCGGAATTTAACGTCAGTTACTGTACTCACCATGCTCGCATTGGTCTCCGTATTGGGTCAGAGGGTTTTTGCATTCGCAATGACCAGTTCCATTAACCAAATCTTCCACGCAATGCATTCTTTCATGACACTCCAAGTTTTGACAGTAGTCTGGGCATCCGTATTTTACGCCGCCTGAAACTACGTGTGGTAATTAGTTTAAGGGGGCACCTCTCAACACGAAAATTGGCTTTCCGTTTTTCTCTTATGATACGATGTTAGCTTATCATTCTGTCGGGAAAATAATGTGGATTCTTCACGCCTTGGAATTGCCCATCAACGCTTTGCGGCGGCTGACCGCAGCTGGAGATTTGGAGACGAGACGAATGCTGCGACAAATCCACATTATTTTCCCGACAGACTGATATTCAACCTTCTCAAAGTGTATGGATTTCATTTAAACAAGACAAAATGCAGTGGAAGCAACGAACCCAACGAAACCTGTCTATAAACGAACAACCGCAGTCGAGAAAGATGCGGCAAAGCTTTGTAGCCTATGTTACAGTGACTTTGTGAACGGACTACAGTGCCGGACTTGATCCAGTGGCAAAAAACGTATCATTTTGCGTCCGGGAAGCATCAAAAAAATGTAGCAGAATACCTCCCTCTCCAAGTGAAAAAACTTCGATTTTAAAAGCCCGCCCGCTCTTTTTGTGAGGGACCCTTCAAAACGGAGTTTTTTAGTTGGAAAGGGAGGCATTTTGCCACATTTTTTGATACTTCCTGGATGCAAAATGGTACGTTTTTTGCCACTGGATCAGGCCCCCCACTGTAACATAGGCTACAAAGCTTTCCGCATTTCCAACCGATCAGAAACAAGAGTCAAAAAATATATCAAGTTTTTGACCCGACTATCACTGTGTCTGGAAAATAATGTGGATTTTTCGCAGCAAAATGTCTCGTTTTGTCGAAGTAAAAAAGGCATTTAAGTAGTCTGCAAGTGACTGGTTTGTAGTCATAATGGTCCCCTTTTCCCTACTCGTTACGCTTTTCGTGGCGAGACACAACAGTTTTTATTATTGACCATTTTTTTTGGTGCATCCTGTATAATATTTATTAAACCCTTTCCTCACCCGTCTTGAATCCCGGTGCTTCCAGTTTCTGGTTCATCCTCACATTCCTCACACATCCCACCATTCCCTGCTCCTTGTAGCCGCCCACAAACATCTTCATCGACAACGCGATGAAATCCTCGGCCTTCTTATAGCCGTTATATCCGTCCACACCCAATCGGACCTCCTCTTTCACAATCTCCAACGAAACGCGATGCCATTTCAAGTCGTTCAGCGGCGTTGGCACCTCCAACGCGACCGTTACATTATATTTTTCGTCCTTGCGGAACCGAAATCGCAAGCGATGCCCGTTCTCCAGCGCGATAAAGAAGTCGCTCTGCCGATTGCCTTGGCCCGACACCAGCTTGGCCACGTTCCATTGGGCGGTCCGGAAGTCGAACTCAATAGAGCGAATGTTTTCACGATATCCCAACTCGATGTAGTCGGTTGTGGAGGGAAAAGTGAACGAGAATTGGTCGGAAAACCCTCGATCCCCGTGGCAAACCAATGGCCCCAAAGTTAGGAGGGCTTGGCCAGGCGTGGGCAAGATTTTTTTGGCGAAAATTTTGATGACTCCCGACTTTTCGTTGAGAAATCGACCAGAATCCGTGGAATTGGAGGCGGCGGAGTCGCAGAAACAGGAGGCTGAAAATGAGATTTTTTGAAAAAATTTTTTGAGGAAACGGCGAAAGTATGAGAGATTTTTAGTGCAAAATTTAAAGGAATCATTGAGATTTTTTGTTCGGAAAATCTGACTTATCGAAAAAAAAATTTATTTTTGGATTTTTTCAACTTGACCAGCCAGATTGGGCATGTGACCGAAAAAATTTCAATCATAAGATCTAACTAATCATTTTTTAATTTTGAGTTTTTTGAACTTGACCGGTCAAATTCGTCAACTTGACCGGTCAGATTGGGCATGTGACAGAAAAAAATTTTCAGGCTAGTTTGAAAAAAATCAAAATTTTGACCTTTATTTGAACTCGGCCGGTCAGATTGGTCATCTTGTCAGTCCAGATTGGGCATGTGACCGAAAAAAACTGTTATATTTGGTCGGAAAATCTTCTTTTTATAAAAAAAGTTAGATAAACTCGAAAAAAGTCAAAATTTTGGCTTTTTTTGAAATTGACCGGTCAGATTAGGATTGTGATGAAAAAATATTTTTTTTGCCTGAAGGCCCAATATCAGTCTGTCGGGAAATAATGAGCCCTCTGTCGCATCGAAAATCGCATCGCCTCCGAGAAAATGAATTGTATCGCGACAAAATCAAATTGCTTTTCACTTCAGCGACGCGATCGTTACAGCGACAATGTGTTCATTATTTTTTCGACAGACTGATAAGTTGACCAAAATATTCTAAAAAAATTATCTGTTTTTGAAGTTGGCCGGTCAGATTGGTCAACTTGACCAGTCAGATTTTTGCCAAATTTTGTCGAATTTCCAAATAAAAAATTTGAAAAACTCACTGCATTCTCCGCTAGCTGAGCATGAACATCCTTTATAATGGCCTTCTGTTCCCAGAGTTCGAATTGGGAAGTCGAAGCCGGCGCTTTCGAACCAAGTTGCATTCCGATCAAATCTTAACGGTGCCCCAAGGCAAGTATAGGAAATTTGCTGCTCACAATGACTGCTGATTTCCTTCAGCATCTCCAGTTGTTGGTAGGAGAAGAGACTGAAAAATTTTGAAATTTTTTGAATTTCAAAAATTTTTTGCTCCAAAAATTGAATTTTATTAACAAGGGAAGTACTCCAAGTACGACGCTCATATTTTCTTTAAATTTTGCACACACGTCGGCTATGGACTACATATCAATTCCTTAAAGTTTTCGCTCGCGCTTTGCAGGCGCCGCCGAGATATCGGACGATTTATGCCGCCGAGAGAGCACGCTGAACGTGGAGAGCGGTCAGAGAGAAAAACGCTTTTTGGCTATAACTTTGGCAGTTTCGTGCGAAGAAATTTGATTTTTTGCAGAAACATTATCCTTTACGGTAGAAATAGGCATGAAACTTTTCGTGCCGAAATTCGGCAAAAAGTCCTAAATTTTGGCCGACTTTCGATCTAAAAATCTCGGTTGTTTCTGCAAAGCGCGAGCTAGGATTCTCGCATATATCTTAGAAAAAATTATTCTAAATTTGTGCCAAGTTTCATCAAAATCTGAGCGTCGCACTTGGGGTACTTCCCCTGTAAATTTAAAACCCTTACCGATACATAACAGGATAGTATTTGTTGCCACTATCTTTGAAAGACCTTATAATCGTATTTTGAGGCACATTTGTTTCCACAATTGTCTCTCCTTTGTCGCTACACCTCACAAAAGTCGCTGGTGAGGGGCCAGACCCATCCAGATCGACCTCATAGACCCCCGCTGTCTGGTTGTTGCCAACTATTTCCTGACAGGTTCGAGGGAACAAGGCTGAAAAATAAATAGCGACATTAATAAAAATCGACACATTTTACAATAGTAGATGGAGTCATCTTTGCGACGTTAACTTTGAGAAAACAAAACTTTCGCTTTGCACTGTGCAATTTCTGGCTTTTGTCACAGTGCGAGAGGTGTTTTTCCGCCGTCAAAAACGTACCATTTTGCATCCGGGAAGTATCAAAAATGTGGCAAAATGCCTCCATCTCTAACTTAAAAACTCCCTTGTGAAGGGCGCTACCTTTCTTCCCCCACAACAAAGCGGGCGTCCTTTTGAAATCAGAGTTTTTTTTCACTTGGAGAGTGAGGTATTTTGCCACATTTTTGATACTTCCCAGAAGCAGAATGGTACTTTTTTTGGGACTGGACCAGGTTTTCCATTGGGAACAAGGGTCTCCTCCAACCGATTTACAGTGGCGGATCAGATCCAGTGGCAAAAAACGTGCTATTTTGCATCCGGGAAGTATCAAAAAATGTAGCAAAATACTTCCCTCTCCAAGTGGAAAAAACTCGGATTCCGAAAGCGCGCCCGCTCCAGAGAGGGAGGCATTTTGTCACATTTTTTGATGCTTCCCGGGTACGTTTTTTGCTACAGGGTCCGTCACTGCAGGCTATAAATTTTAGCCCGGCCCGTGAGCCGGGCAAAAATGTTTAAAAAAAAAATCAGTTTGTCGGGAAAATAATGAGAACTCTGTCGGAACGAAAATCGAATCGCTGCCGAGAAAGTGAATTGTGTCGTGGAGAAAATCAAATTGCTTTTCACTTCTGCGACGCCATCGGCGAAGCGAAATTGTGCTCATTATTTTCCCGACATACTGACAAATTTTTTCGTTTTTTTCAGGTTTCTTTTGCAAAATTCAGCATTTTCTTCTTGGTGTATTTTACATCTCTTTTATTATGTTTTTCAAGATGCTTGAGCTTTTTAAAACAAGTCAAAAATTAAACCAAAATTTGCTTACAAAACTGGCAAAATGTCCCGCCATACCCATTTTTACAGTGACAGGTAAAGGTCGATCTTTTCGGGTCGCGTTTACAGGCGACCGCATTCAAACACTGGCTCTTCTCGTGCGCCGAACACATTTGGCGGAGCCGTTTGTCGGCCTTGTCCTCCACCGTCTTGATCTTGTCCATGATGTCCGAGGCGGAGATGTTGTTGGCTTGCTGGAAATGGGGAAAAAAATTTTTGTAAATTTGCAAAAATTGAATATATTTTTGTAAAATACGGCAGATCGTTTTTTCGCTTTATTTTCAAAACCAAACGTTTTAATCAAAAAATTTTTCAAAAATAAAAATGACACAGATTTCTTTTAAATTTTGCACAAACTCTGGGCGCAGGTTACATCTCAATTTCTGAAAGTTTTGGCTCGCGTTTTGCAGAGAGAGCCGAGATATTCATAGGTCTTTGCTGCTGAGAGAGTGCGTGAAATGAGGAGAACGGTCAGAGAGAGAGAGAAAGAGAACTTTGCGGCCATATCTTTGCCAGTTTCGTGCCGGAAAAAATTGATTTGTTGTGGATACATTTCCCTCTGCGGTAGAAATTGGGATGAAACTTTTCATGCCAAAATTCCTCAAAAATCGTCACATTTTTCCAACTTCTGGCTTCTGCAAAGCGTCAACAGGCAAAAAATTTTTTTCAAATGTCTAGTTCAATATTAATGCAGCGTAGGTCCCAGGTTGAACTTATGCCACCTTGCCATATATGTTTTAAAAGTGGACTTCATCAGCTACAAAACCGTGCCTAAAGCCTACCCTGTGAAGCACTTCAAAGCTTACAGGGATCCACGCAACTTGACGACCCACAACTAAAACCTCAAAAAAATCTCACCAATAACTTGGAAAGGCGATCCAAATAAGTCGCCTCTTCGAGCGTCGAATTCGTCTCGCCGATGACGTCATCCACCTCTTCCAGGCCCGCGATAGAGATGGTCCCCTCACTTGGCAGACCCTCCAACGACCCGTAGTTTCCGATATTCAAGTGGACTTGAAGAAGCTCGTAGCTGAGAACCGTATTCTCATTTACGGTAAATGTGTAATCATTGACGGTAAAGGCGTTCGCGGTGAGATTCCAGAGAAAAACAAAGGTGTTCTGAGTGCCGTCGATTGATACTGAAGGCAATAAAAGGTGAATTAAAAAAAATTTTTTTTTAATTAAATTTTTTGATTTTAAAAAAATTTTTTTTTCTTCAAGTTCGACGCTCAGATTTTGATGAAACTTGGCACAAATTTAGAATAATGTTTTCTAAGCCAAATGCGAGATTTCTAGCCCGCGCTTTGCAGAAATGACCGAGATTTTTAGATCCAAAGTTGGAAAAAATGTGACACTTTTTTTTTTAAATTTTGCCATGAAAATTTTCATGTCTATTTCTACTGTAGAGAGTAATATTTGCACAAAAAATCATTTTTTTCCTTGCCAAACTGGGAAAGATACAGCAAAAAAAGTGTTTTTTCTCTGACCGCTCTCCTCGTTTCGCGTACTCTCTCGTCCGCAAAGATCGTTGAATACCCCGGCTCTCCCTGCAAAAGGCGAGCTGAAATTTTCAGACATTGATGTGTGATCTATGCTAAATGTGTGTGAAAAATTTCAAGAAAATCTGAGCGTTGCATTGGAGGTACTTGTAAATTTTAAAAAAGTGTAATTTTTGATTAAAAAATAAATAAAAATATTTTGGAAAAAAGATTTATTTTCAAAAAAAAAAACGGTAAAACGCGTGGCCAACTTACTGCTATCTTTGTTTTGATAATGAACTAGATATCTTTGTTTGTCGTCCTGCATAATTATTGAGAAATGCTCGTCTTTGACTTGAACTGTCGCCTGAAAACAAAACAAAAATGATTAGAAACAAGGATCACTTTTGATACTTTTTAAAAGTATCAACGATACTTTTGGATACCTTTTCCAAAATTTTCGTTAACACTTTTTAATATTTTTGAAAGTTTGATTCAGTTGCGCGTATTTTGAAAACTCACCACAAAAACATTTTTAATGACGTCATCGGGAGATCTGGCTAAGATTGTAATAATTCTACCGGTTTTGTAAGTGGTCATAAAGGTGATATTTACACGTAAAAATGGAGAGGCTGAAATAAAAAATATATTATTTTCTAAAATACGAAAAAATAAAAAAAAAATGGAAATTATTGAAAACGTTGAAATTTTTTTTTAAATACGTCATAAAAAATATCTTTTACTTTAAAAATTTAAAAAATTTTTAATAAAAAATAAAAAAATTGCTTTAATGATCAAAAATATTTAAAAAAACCCACTGGAAATTCAAAAAGAATAAATGAAAAAATAAAATAATATGAAATAAATACAAAAAAATTTTTAAAAATACCAAAAAATCAAAAAAAAAATTAATTTTAAAATATGCTAAAATAAAAAAATTTACCATAATAATTTTTAAAAAAATAGAAAAACGCCGAAAACAGCTAAAAAATGAAAAAATATCGAAAATTAAAAAAAAATATTTTTTAATTTTTAATTTTGATTTTTTAAAAAAAACTTCAAAAAATCAAAAAAAGAAAATAAAATAAAAAACCTTACCACTGATATTCCACAGCATGGGTTCCAGTTCGTAGACAATATTCTGATCGCCCAACGAGTACTCGGTCACCGAATCCGACGCCATTGCACAATGAAAAAGGAAGATTATGATCGGAGATATTGCCGGAACGGCCCATGGCCGCATTCCTGCGGTCGACTAGAATGCGGGGGGCTATGTGACCAGCTTGGGGAAAGCTGGAAGAGAAAAAAATTTTTTGTTTAAATTTTTTATTAGATAATTGAAGAAATCTCGGAGAACAGATGGTCGATAAAAAAATTTATAAAAAAAAATTGAAAAATCGGGGAAAAATAAAAAATTTCATAAGGGGTGGATGCCAAGTATAACTTTTTGATTCTCTTTAAATTTTACAGACTAATTTCGGAGACATCTTTGAGCGAGATTTCACCATATACAAGTTTTTTATGGAGAGTCAAGCAATTTTGAAAATATAAAATGCAAAAAAACGAAGCACCGTATTTTACAAAAAAAAAATATATATATCAGTCTGTCGGGAAAGTAATGACCATCTATCGCACCGAAAAACGCATCGCCGCCGAGAAAATGAAATGTGGCGCGGAGAAAATTGTTCAACCACGGAATCGGCGCTGCGACATTGCACTCATTCTTTCCCAGACAAACTTATAAATCCACATTATTTCCCGACAGACAGATCAATCCACATTATTTTCCCGACAGGCTGCTAATTCCACATTATTTTCCCGACATACTGATAAATCCACATTTTTTTTCCTGACAGACAGATAAATCCATATTATTTTCCCGACAGGCTGCAAATTCCACATTATTTTCCCGACATACTGATAAATCCACATTTTTTCCCGACAGAATGAGAAATCCACATTATTTTCAAGACAGACAGATAAATCCACATTATTTTCCCGACAGACTTATAAATCCACATTATTTTCCCGACAGAATGAGAAATCCACATTATTTTCCCGACAAACTGATAAATACACATTATTTCCCCGACGGACTGATAAATCCGCATTATTTTCCCGACAGACTAATATATCCACGCTATTTTCCCGACGGACTGATAGTATATGGCCTATACCCGACATATGTGCAAAAAATTTTTTTATTCGCACTTGGAACACTTCTCTTGTCACAAAAAAATTCTTCCAGAAAAAAGTAACTTTCCTCACTTCCCTTACCCCAAAAGTACAATAAACTCCACCAGAACTATTTACAATTGTTTAGTAAACACACCGTCGCAAGGGATCGCAAAACAAAGAAAAGGCAATTTTCGCGCAATAAAGAGCAATTTGAAAATGGCGGGAAGTCAATTATGAAAAATTAAAAAACGTTTTTTTTCTCTCACTTTTCTTCCCGAGTTTATAATGGGCGGCGATTAAATGTCGCGCTATAACGGATTAACGGCCAAATGGCGCTGCGGAAAAAAAGGATTTGAAATGCCATTTTGGGGTCAATTATAATGTATGGCCGGGAAATTTGATGGGAAACCAAGAGAAATTTGAATATCAAAAAAAAAGTTTGTCGGGAAAATAATGTGGATTCGTTGCGCCTTGAAATTTTTCCAAAATTAATTTTCAGTTCAGCGATTGGCCCAGCGATTATGCTCATTATTTTCTCGACAGACTGACATTTTGAGAAATTTGAATATCGTTTTGTCGGGAAAATAGTGTGGATTTTGCGCAGGAAGATGCCCACCGTATCTCCAGCCGGCTCTCGCAAAGCGATGGTGGCTGGTTCCAAACGCCGACCAATGCACATTATTTTCCCGACAGACTGATATTCAAATTTCTCAAAGTATCAGTCTGTCGGGAAAATAATGAGCACGCGGTTGCATCGAAAATCGCATCGCCGTCGAGAAAATGAATTAAAAAAGAAAATCAAGTTGATTTTCACTTCAGCGACCGATTGGTGCAACGACTTTGTGCTCATTATTTTCCCGACCGACTGATACGTTGAGAAATTTGAATATCAGTCTTTCGGGAAAATAATGTGCATTTGTCGCGGCTTGAATCGCCCATGATCGCTTTGCGACGGCTAGTCGCAGCTAGACTTGGCTCTCGGGCCGGCCCGGGCCGAAAATCGCGGCCCGGCCCGCGGGCCGGAAGAGGTCGGCCCGGCCCGGCCCGTTTCAATTTTTCTTCGGCCCGGCCCGGCCCAGCCCGCGGCCCGGCCCGGGCCGGCCCGGGCCGGCCCGAAAATTGAGAAGAAGTAAAAAACCTTAATTTGCTATTAGATATGACATATTTTTCTTTACTATAACAACTAACAGTACATTTTTAAAGCAAAAAATTACTTACCAACGCATTGCCTTTTTAAAATTAATCAAAAAATTCCCGAGATTCGTTTTCAGACTATTAAAAATTGCCCCAAGACCAATTTTACAGATTCAGCAAGGGTGGAACCACGTTTAAGTTGCGGCCCGGCCCGCGGGCCGGAACAGGTCGGCCCGGCCCGGCCCGTTTCAATTTTGCTTTGGCCCGGCAGCCAAGTCTAGTCGCAGCCAAATCTCCTAGCATGTCTTTGCACGGCGCGGCCCGCGTCACTCACAAACCTTTCCGTCTGTCGGGAAAATAAGCGTGGACTTGTGGCAGAAAAATGTATCGCTTCGTCGCAGTCGCGCACGAAATCTCCAGCCGCGTCTTCACGAAAGCGAAGATTGGCAATGTCAAAAGTTAAGGCGCGACAAATCCACATTATTTTCCCGACAAAACGATATTCAAATAAAAATATTAATTTCCCTTGCTAATCCGTTTACATCAAAAAATTGGTTTTTCCTTCGTCTTCACGGCCACACATTTGAATGTGTCCCGCTTTTATCTTTTTATTCGTTTTTGCAACGCTCCCGGGGGAACCATCTTCTTTCATAAAGAGCGTTTCGAACAACATCGATCATGAAACAAAAATTTTTTGGAACAAAATTGATACTCAATTCGTGTTTCGGAGGTTGCAAACAGAAATTTAAAAATCATCAAATTACAAACATAGTTTTTTTTCAATTTTTTGACTTTATACTGACAAGGGAAGTATTTGAAGTGTGACGCTCAGATTTTGATGAAACTTGGCACAAATTTAGAATAATTTTTTCTAAGATATATGCGGGAATCCTAGCTCGCGCTTTGCAGAAACAACCGAGATTTTTAGATCGAAAGTCGGCGAAAATTTGGGACTTTTTGCCGAATTTCGGCACGAAAAGTTTCATGCCTATTTCAACCGTAAAGAATAAAGTTTCTACAAAAAATCAAATTTTTCCGCACGTTATGGCCAAAAAGCGGTTTTCTCTCTGACCGCTCTCCACGTTTAGCCTGCTCTCTCGGCGACAAAAATCGTTCGATATCTCGGCGGCGCCCGCAAAGCACGAGCTAAAACTTTCAGGAATTGATATTTAGTCCATACCCGATGTGTGTGCAAAATTTAAAGAAAATCTGAGCGTCACACTTGAAGTACTTCCCCTGTGAATATCAATCTGTCGGAAAAATAACGGCGGGTCGTCGCTTTAAAATGTGATTCCAAGGCGCGACGGTCCGCCGCTATTTTCCCGGCAGACAGATAGTAGGTCGAGCCGCTCAGAGCCGGAGCCAAGTGCCGGCTCCGGAGCCGTGGCAATCTCTGCTTGTCAGGCTGTGGCAAAAATAATGAGCAAAACGTCACTACGCCAATCACATCGTTGAAGTGAAAAGCAATTTGATTTTCTCCGCCACACACATTTTCTCGGCGGCGATGCGATTTTCGATACAACAGAGGGCACATTATTTGCCCGACAGACTTGATATTCACATTTCCCAAAAAAATTTCTTCCCCGATAAAACGACCGCCTAAGTCAATTAAAAAACGGCTTCCAAGTTGGTCCTTTTCGCCGCGATTTTATCTCGGAATTTTAATTGTCCGTTCCCCTTCTGCATCCCAAAAAACAGACGAAGGGAATTTTTGGGGGGAAGTGGCCATTGAAATTAAAAAAAAAATATTATTCAGATCGGGGCTGGTACGAAAGAGTGGCCTTTGTCTGCGAAATTAGGTTATCGGAATATGCGGATGAAACGGGGGCCAAACTTGTGGCCAGATCTCCTTCGGATCGTCTTTTGACTAATTTGATGGGATAAATCAAAAACTTGCGGGATCAAAATGATGACTAAACCTTTGAGTTTCTCCCCGAAAACAATGTAAAGAACCTTGTTATAGCAAAAGCTCTCTATAACGAACGAGTTTTGAGATAGCAAAAAAGCAATTTTACGAGAGAATGAGCCTCTGTGGAGGGTGAATTTTTTTTGACCGGTCGATTTTTTCGAAATTTTTCACATCTCCTCTAGGCATGTCACAGTCAAATTATCAGTCTGTCGGGAAAATCGTGAGCATTCTGTCGCACCGAAAATCGCATCGCTGCTGAGAAAATAAATTGCGTCGCGGAGAAAATCAAATTGCTTTTCATTCAGCAAAATGTTCATTATTTTCCCGACGAGCTGATAGAACTGCCGATTTTTGCGACACGTGTTTTTCGGTCTGTCGGGAAAATAATGTGGATTTTTCGCGCCTTAGAATCGCCCATCATCGCTTCGCGACGGCTCGCCGCGGCTGGGGATTTTGTGTGCGATGACATTTTGCTGCGACAAATCCACATTATTTTCCCGACCGACTGACCTTTGAAGGGATAGGAAAATTTTTGGGAAGACTGAAAAAACGCATTTTCTCATCGCCGCAACAGTTCAGCCTGTCGGGAAAATAACGTGGATTTGTTACAATCTCAGACTGATGGTAAAAAAACAAAGATACAGTCGAATCTCTGTACAGAAAATCACAAGGTAGAAACAAAAATTTATTGGCTATAGAAAGGCGTTGTTGTCGAGAGGTTCATTTGGGCCTAAAATTGAGTCAAAATTTGTCGGTAGCAGTCTGTCGGGAAAGTAATAAGCACAACGTCGCTGCGCCGACCGTGTCGCTGAAGTGAAAAGCAATTTGATTTTCTCCGCGACACAATTCATTTTCTCGGCGGCCATGCGATTTTCGCCGCGACAGAGTGCTCATTATTTTCCCGACAGGCTGATAATTTGACTGTGACATGCCTAGAAGACCTATAAAAAATTTCAAGAAAACGGACCGGCCCTTCTTTGAGAAATTCCCATTTTAAAAGTTGGATGTACAAACGGTACCAA